TATGAACACCCCCACATATCCAATTAACAGTTTACTTTTTAAATTGATAAATACCACAGTATGGTACAAATAAAACCTTTTTGTTTGCTTAAGGTAACTAATTTTGTACCTGTCTTCCTGTTAAGAACTATCTGAGCATGGATTATATATCTTGCTCTCGGAGACTCAGTCAAAGTAAAATTAGGATGCAGGTCTAATAGTAATGCAGATAATTAATATATATTCAGAGAAACCACACCACATTGAGATGGTAACCCCTTTTTCAATGCCAATTAATTCATAGAATTATTTGGCAACAGTTAGCAGGTACAGATAAGTCTATCTTTACAAATCATCAGTTTCAACATATACAACATGCAGGGACGGATTTCCCACAAAGCGACTGAGGCCATGAGGCAGCATGCATGAGACTGGTGGCATGGCTGGTGTTGAGATCAAAGATGAAACAACCAGCATGAATTAATAATTAAATTATTGAAGTGCTGCCTGTACACTTCCTCTTTCTTTACTGCTCCATCGCAGACAGGTCAGAATATTTGCTCCCCTGGAGCTTTATACATTTACTGTCATTATCTATTTGTTCCATTCTATTTTCATAACCTCATTATCATTGCTTTTATTTCCTTTTATTTCCTTTTACTCTGTTCTGTACTGGGCTGTGGGACTAGGGGCTCTCTGTGGGTTTTTCTACCCTCCTATCTGCCCCTCTATTCCTTCTGGGACCCTCCCTTGGCCTCCCCTCGGTCTCCCCAGGTCCCCCCACTGCCCCCCTAACCTGGAGTACCCTCCTGGGCTCCCCCCTTGCGGCCGGTATCGTTCGCGGCCGTTTTCGCGCCGGCCCGCTTCCGCCCGCGGCCGGCCTCAAAATTTAGTCCCCGGCTTGCGGCCTACCTCGCGGCCGCCATTTTGGATCGCGGTCATCGCGAGATTCTCGCGGCCATCTTAGTTTTGCCTCGTGCATCTCATTAGGGACTCAGTGTGGCTGTGCTAACTTGCTGTTACCTCTGCACTGCTGTTTTTCACACCTTTTGTGTCTGACACCACTGTGACTGAAGGATTACCTGCTCAAGCACTCCATCTGCTGCTATCAATCTGCTACTCAGTCTCTGTGCCTCATCTGCTTCTATCAAGCTATATCCTGTGGCTGGGTCAGTCAGGTCAGTGCTGCTGCCTGTTTATTATTATTGTGACCTGCACTCAAGGGTCCCAACCCTGTGCAACCGGGGTGAGCCCCCACTATAAATACGCTGCTTACTGGGAGACTAGCTGTTGCAGTTCTCTCTAACTGGGTGAGCCCCAGTTTATAAGGTCACTACTATACCCTGCTGGCGTTATTCTGGGCTTGTTCCCACCATACTACCAAATCTGACCCTACGCTTATTATCAAGACCTGGGTGCCCGTTTATTGCTGTGCCTTTCAGTGACGTATCAGCCTACCCTTAACATGGAAGATTCCCAGAACGTCCCTGTGGACTTACAGGCCATGATTAACGCAGCTGTCGCTGCCTCTGTGGAGAAGGCACTCTCCAAGGCCCGAGCTTCGGCTCCTGACGTGCCAAAACGCAGACGTCCACGCCACGAGTCGGATTCTGAATTGTCCGACCACCAGACAAGGGATGACTCCCGCCCTAAAAAACGCCATGACAAAGGCGAAGATTATACACCCAAGCCACCTAAGGGTAAGGCACCTGCCAAGCGCAAGTCTGCCAAACTACACACCCCACCCCGCGTCAGGAGTACTCTTCAGACGAAGAGCAGGGCCCTGCCCAGTCCATGTCAGTGCTGGATGAGTGGCAAACTGACGCTTCTGAGTCGGACTACGACGCATGGGGCTCGGACGAGAAATCTGTCTCCGCTTTCATGTGGGAGACCCTCCTGGGTGTGGCCCAGACAGGAGGTATCGAGGACACTGCGGACGCAGAACCTCCTCTTGATTCAGACACCATTTTGGACCCCTCAGGTCAGGCGATGTTCGACCCCCGCAACATACGGCACCCCAGATCGGGTGACTGGTCGCCTCCAGAACACCTTTCCAGGTTTATGCACCTGTGGCTCCGCAAACCTCTGGAGAAAGAGGTCCGCAGCCGACTCAGGTCTGAATGCCCACGCCCTTCCCTGCCGGATAAGGTCGCTCAGACCCCAGAATTCGACAAGGTTATGTCAACCTTCGTGATGCGCAGTGGTAGAGACCCTCGCCGAGGGGTAGAGAAAGGCCTATGGGGCGCCCAAGATAACCTGCTGGATTCCGTAGGCCCCCTGGCTCGCATTATGTATCTGGTGGATGATGCCTACGCCAAAGCCGACTCCTTCTCCGTCGAGGACATCAGGGAATTGTCAGGGTACCTGTTGGTGATGTATCCAGGGAGGACATCCTCTCTGCTTAGGGCCTCCCTTCCCCTAGCATTTCGGCATATTCCGGCCGTTTTCGCGCCGGCCGCGCTAGCTCCTCCCCCTTTTATGACGCGACGCCTAGCGTCGACGTCATGACGTCGGCATTTGCATAAAGTGCCGGGAACCGCTATTCCGGACCTTTTGGGGGCGTGGTCTCTATTTAGGTACAGGGTATTTAAAGGAAACCTTTACTACTGCTCATTGCCCTGTCGTGGTTCTAGCTTGCTAGTCACTCAGCGCGTTCTTTATCTTGTGTTTCCGGTTTTGACCCTTGCTTGTCTTTTGTCCTGTTGTCCTCTCCTCTCCTTTGACTCGGCTTGTATCTCGCTTACCTGTCCTCCGGCTCCCTTGACCTCGGCTTACCTTTTGACTATTCTTGCTTTGTCCTTACGTTAGTCCGGCCATTCTAAGGTCCGGTATACGTACCTCATTCTGTGCGCACTCTGCGTATTGGATCCCTGTCACTTTCCTGACATTACGACAGGGCCATGATGGATCCTGCAGGTGCTAGCCCTCCTGACCCCAGATTTGAGGCCATGGACCATAGAATGGACCAAATGGCTTTAGCGTTACAAACTTTGTTAACACGCTCCAGTACCCAGTCTGAAGAAATACGTTCCACTGCTAGCCACTCGCTAAGTACTGGTTTGGAAGTAGCCACTGTAGGCGCATCTTCCCATGTCACGTCACCTTACGATATGGGGGTTCGCCTGATGCTTGTCGTGGTTTTTTAAACCAGATAAGCATACATTTCGAACTACAACCCCGGGCTTACCCCACTGACAGGGCTAAGGTAGGCTTTATTATAACCCTGCTAATAGATAAAGCACTTAGATGGGCCAATCCCCTTTGGGAGAATGACAATCCTTTAGTCTACAACTACACTGCGTTTGTCACGGCTTTTAGAAGAACCTTTGACCCCCCAGGGAGGAAGATTAATGCGGCCAGATCCCTGTTACGCCTTAAACAACAAGATAGGACCCTTGTAGAATATGCTCTAGAGTTTAGATCATTGGCAGCAGAAGTGAAATGGAACGAACAAGCTTTTATGGATGTTTTCTTGAATGGGTTGTCTGATGAAATTCTAGATGAAATTGCCACAAGAGAACTTCCGGAAAATTTAGAGGATTTAGTATCCTTCATTTCCAGAATAGATGAACGCATGAGACAGAGGCAGAACACTCGGGAAAGAGTTACTAGACTTCCTGTAAGACTCGCTCCCTCATTTCAGAACCCTGACTCCTATAATCCTACTCCACCAGAACCTATGCAAATAGGTAATACTCGCTTATCTGAGGCTGAGAGACAGTACAGAAGAAGGGAGGGTCTCTGTTTATACTGCGGGCGGAGAGGTCACCTACGTCTTAGTTGCCCTAATCGTCCGGGAAACGCTCGCACCTAAGTTCCCTTAGAGGACGGGCCTTGGGTGTTTCATTACTGTCCTCTATGCATAATAAAAAAGACCATAGGCTTCTGATTCCTGTCTCTCTAGCTTGGGAAAAGGGGTTTATTGCTACAATGGCATTATTAGATTCTGGAGCAGCAGAAAGCTTTATAGACCAAACTTTCGCTAATAAGCATTGTATCCCATTCCAATTGAGAGATACACCCTTGGCCGTTGAGGCCATAGATGGTAGACCTTTATCTGAACCAGTAATATTCCATGAGACCGAACCCGTTAAGCTTACTGTTGGTATTTTCCACGAGGAGTTGATTTCCCTTCTGTTAATTTCCTCCCCGGCAGTCCCAGTGGTACTAGGATATTCTTGGCTCAAGAGACACAACCCTCAGATTGACTGGGAGGGTGGAGAAATCGTTTCTTGGGGTATGGGTTGTAGGAAAGAATGTCTGCAGAGAGTTACTTCTGTTTGCCCCGTAAACTCTTATGTTAACACTTCTCAATCCACAGACGTTCAGATACCATTACAATATCTAGACCTCAAATCTGTATTTGACAAGGGTAAGGCGGATACTTTACCTCCCCACCGGTCTTATGACTGTTCTATTAAACTTTTCCCTGGTACTATGCCTCCCAGGGGTACGGTATACCCTCTATCCACCAAGGAAAACTTAGTTTTAGAGGAATATATCAAGGAGAATTTAGACAAAGGATTTATTAGAAAGTCTTCTTCTCCGGCGGGGGCGGGTTTCTTTTTTGTAGAAAAGAAAGACGGTACCTTACGTCCTTGTATAGACTATCGGGGATTGAACAAAATTACTATCAGAAATGCTTACCCTATTCCTTTAATTACTGAACTTTTTGACAGACTAAGGGGCTCAAGTATTTTTACCAAACTTGACTTAAGAGGAGCATATAACTTAGTGCGAATTAAACAAGGAGATGAATGGATGACAGCATTTAATACCCGTTACGGGCATTATGAGTATACCGTAATGCCGTTTGGGCTTTGTAACGCCCCGGCCGTCTTCCAAGACTTGATCAATGAAGTTCTTAGAGAATTCCAACATGAATGTGTAATTGTATATTTGGATGATATACTAATCCATTCTAGAGACATTAATTCACATCATAGACAAGTCAGAAAGGTATTACAGAAACTTTTACAACATGGATTGTATTGTAAATTGGAAAAATGTAGCTTTGACCAGTCTCAGGTAACTTTCTTAGGTTACGTAATTTCCAAAGACGGGTTTATGATGGACCCGACCAAACTAAAATCGATTTTAGATTGGCCTTTACCTAAGGGACTCAAAGCCATACAAAGATTTCTTGGATTTTCTAATTATTACAGACGTTTTATTAAAGGGTACTCCTCTGTTATCGCTCCTATCACTAATATGACCAAACAAGGAGCCGATACCAAAACCTGGTCTACTGAGGCTTTATCTGCTTTCGAATCGCTCAAACAGTCTTTTGCCTCAGCACCTGTATTAGTTCATCCTGATACCTCTCTACCCTTTTTACTTGAAGTTGATGCGTCTGAAACAGGGATAGGCGCAGTGTTGTCCCAAAGACAAAGTTTAGATAAGCCGCTGCACCCTTGCGTTTTTTTTTCCAAGAAACTATCACACACTGAAAGGAGATATGACATTGGTGATAGAGAACTTCTAGCTATCATTATGGCATTAAAGGAATGGAGACATTTGTTAGAGGGCACCATCCTCCCAGTTACTATCTTGACTGACCACAAAAATTTATCGTATATGGGGGAGGCCAAAAGATTATCTGCCAGGCAGGCACGTTGGTCTATGTTCCTTACACACTTTAATTATGTGCTTACTTACAGGCCTGGTTCTAAGAACACTAAGGCAGACGCTTTGTCACGTCAGCACGAACCTACCACCACTACAGAGGATACTTTGTTCCCTATTATTCCTGGAGTCAATATTATCGCCAACACCAATGTCAAAATACACTCTCCATTGCTCGCTGCTATTATGAACGAACAATCTCTTGCTCCCGAACGTACTCCTGTGGGCCGCTTGTTCGTGTCCCCCAAATTCCAAGTGGACATTATTCGCTGTTTCCACGATAGCAAGTTCGCTGGTCACCCCGGCATCCACAAAACTTACTGCCTGATCTCCAAAGACTTCTGGTGGCCCGGTTTACGTAGGGATGTGGAAGACTTTGTCAAGGCTTGCAATGTTTGTGTCAGGAATAAACTTCCGCGGGATCTCCCTTGTGGTTTATTGCAGCCCTTAGTCGTTCCCAACAAACCTTGGGCTTGTTTGGCTATGGATTTTATTGTTGATCTACCAGCTTCCAATAGGCATACAGTTATCCTCACGGTCCTTGACAGGTTTACTAAAATGGCTCATTTCGTTCCCTTGCCTAAACTTCCGTCCTCCCCCGAACTGGCCGTGATATTTGCTAGAGAAATTTTCCGTTTACATGGTATTCCCAATGAGATTGTGTCAGACAGGGGTTCCCAATTTATTTCCCGTTTTTGGAGATCCTTCTGTTCACAGTTGGGCATCAAACTGAATTTTTCTTCGGCCTATCATCCTCAATCTAACGGAGCAGCCGAACGCACTAACCAAAAAATTGAGCAATATCTACGTTGTTTTGTTTCTGAACACCAGGATGACTGGGTCGGTCTGATTCCTTGGGCGGAGTTTGCTCACAACAACCTTGTTTGTGGTTCCACTCGTAATAGCCCCTTTTTCTTGAACTATGGCTTTAACCCTACTGTTCTTCCGTCGGTGTCTCCTTCCCAGGGTATACCGTCGGTTGATATTCATGTAGCCAACCTGAGAAAGTTGTGGGATCAGACTCGACAAATTCTTGAACGTAGTTCCGCGGTGTTTAAGTCACATGCTGATAGGCGTAGACGTCCTGCTCCTATTTTTTCTCCGGGGGATAGGGTCTGGTTGTGTACCAGACACATTCGCCTGAAAGTTCCTTCCTTGAAGTTTGCTCCTCGTTACATTGGTCCTTACAGGGTACTGAGGAGGATCAACCCGGTTTCTTATTTGCTGGATCTACCTCCTACTCTACGCATCCCTAACTCTTTTCATGTGTCGTTATTGAAACCTCTTGTTTGTAACAGATTTTCCTCCCGCTCTGCTCCTCCATCCTCGGTCCGTGTGGATGGTCAGGAGGAATATATCATCAAGTCCATCCTTGATTCTCGTATTTCTAGGGGGAAGCTGCAATACCTCATAGACTGGAAAGGTTATGGTCCGAAGAGAGGTCTTGGGTTCCTGGTATAGACGTGCATGCTCCTCGTCTTCTTCGGGCCTTCCACGTTCGTTTTCCCTCTAAGCCCGGTCCCATCCGCCCGGTGGGCGTTTCTAGAAGGGGGGGTACTGTCAGGGTACCTGTTGGTGATGTATCCAGGGAGGACATCCTCTCTGCTTAGGGCCTCCCTGCCCCTAGCATTTCGGCATATTCCGGCCGTTTTCGCGCCGGCCGCGCTAGCTCCTCCCCCTTTTATGACGCGACGGCTAGCGTCGACGTCATGACGTCGGCATTTGCATAAAGTGCCGGGAACCGCTATTCCGGACCTTTTGGGGGCGTGGTCTCTATTTAGGTACAGGGTATTTAAAGGAAACCTTTACTACTGCTCATTGCCCTGTCGTGGTTCTAGCTTGCTAGTCACTCAGCGCGTTCTTTATCTTGTGTTTCCGGTTTTGACCCTTGCTTGTCTTTTGTCCTGTTGTCCTCTCCTCTCCTTTGACTCGGCTTGTATCTCGCTTACCTGTCCTCCGGCTCCCTTGACCTCGGCTTACCTTTTGACTATTCTTGCTTTATCCTTACGTTAGTCCGGCCATTCTAAGGTCCGGTATACGTACCTCATTCTGTGCGCACTCTGCGTATTGGATCCCTGTCACTTTCCTGACAGGAATGGGCACATGACATTCGTGAGTGGGCACAACGGTGTTTTTGTTTCATCGGAAACACTAATGTTACGCTCTCTTCGGAGAGACGAAAAGCAGCGTTGTACCGTATTAACGGCAAATTGGCAGACCTTGGCACAAAGGAGATTGGGCCCCAGGCACAAGGGAAACTATTTGGCGAACCGTTCCTCGAACTCAATAAACACGTGAACGTGTTCACCTCCCTTAATAAGGCGCAGTCCTCAATGCGCAGAGTTTTCAGAAGCAACCCTACCAGAGGGGTTTTTGGCCGCCAGCCGATTTTGGCCTTCAGGCCCCCGCACCCAACCAACACCATTTAACCCGACAAGAGACTATCGGCAGCAACCCTTTTCCAGAAGCTCGGATAGAGGTCGTGGACCCCGCGGACGTTCCCGCTTTGCTGCAGGTAAGGACCCATATTCCTCCACTGTTACCATGTACCCGCACTGCGGGCCGTATTTCCCTTTCTTTCCAGAATTGGGCCGCTCTATGCTCAGACACATGGATCCTACAAACTGTACAGGGATATATCATAGACCTAGTGGGGACCCCCTTTCAGGTTCAGCCCCCTCGCCCCATCCACATGTCATCCTCCGACCACAACCTTGTCAACGCGGAGCTACGCGAGCTCCGAGACAAAGGGGCTATCCAGCCGGTCCGCGACGGGGGTGGTTACTTCAGCAACATCTTCCTGGTTCAGAAAAAGTCGTGAGAATACCGCCCTGTCATCAATCTACGCGCCCTCAACGCATATGTGGTCTATCGCCACTTCAAGATGGAAGGCATCCACCTCCTGCGAGACCTTCTTCGAAGCAACGACTGGTTCACCAGGCTCGATCTAAAAGACGCATATCTGTCAGTCCTGGTGCACCCGGACTGTCGAGCACTCCTACGTTTCCTCTGGCACGGACGCCCTTGGCAATTCACTTGTCTCCCTTTCGGGCTCAGCTCAGCCCCATGGTGCTTCACCAAGCTCCTAAAACCAGTGGTGGCCCACCTAAGATCCAGGGGCATTCGATGCATCATCTACTTAGACGACCTTCTCCACAGACTACGCCAACACACTCACCTGGCAGTGTCCCTACTGGAATTTCTGTGTTTCGTGGTAAACCAACAGAAATCGGAGCTGACCCCTACCCAGACGATACAATTCCTCGGCTTCGAGATCGACTCGACGACATGCACTCTGAGACTACCAGCCTCAAAGATCACAGCCATTCGCAAGGAGATTCGCAGGGTTCTCCGTCTCGACTCCATTCCACTACGCAACTTGGCCAGGATTGTAGGACTCCTCTCTGCTTCCATTCAGGCCATATTTCCGGGTCCCCTCCACTACAGGGCCATGCAATGTCTCAAGGCGAAATACCTACACCACAGGCCTACTTACGACCAACCCGTCCCGGTGACGACGGAGGTTCATGAGGAACTATCATGGTGGCTGGACAGCATGCAAGCCTGGAACGGCAAGGCCATATTCGGAGACACCCCAGACTTCGTATTGGAATCAGACGCCAGCCTGTGGGGATGGGGTGCCTCCAACGGAACCATCTCCACGGGAGGAACATGGACGGCGCAGGAGCTCTCCATGCACATCAATTGCCTCGAACTCCTGGCAGGATCCTTCGCGATCCGCAGCTTGGCCCGGTAAAGATCCAACTGCTGCATCCTCCTGCGCATGGACAATGTATCCGCAGTCCAGTACATCAACCGTCTGGGAGGCGCTCGCTCACGCCTGCTGTCGGATATCACGAGGGACATCTTTGACTATTGCCTCCCTCGCAACATCACGCTACAGGCGGAATACTTACCGGGAGAAATCAATTTCACAGCCGACTGGTTCTCTTGCCACTGGAGAGACGTCAGCGACTGGAAGCTAAACACGAGAATCTTCAGGTCCCTGACAGCCCGGAGGGGTCCCTTTCACCTGGATCTGTTCGCCTCTCGCTACAATCACCAGACCCCGGAGTTCTTCAGCTGGCTCCCGGATCTGGAGAGCAAGGCGACAGACGCATTTCTCCAACAATGGCCGACGACAGAAGCCTACGCCTTTCCCCCATTCTCCATGATTGCGAGAACACTACACCAGATGCGGACGCAATAGATCAAACTGGTTGTCATAACACCCTTGTGGCAGAGCCAACCATGGTTCCCGGACCTCCTGGCCTCCTCCTACAGGGACCCTCTCCTCCTACCATCCTTCCCGAATCTACTCACGGATCCCAAAGGGTATCTCCACCCACTCCTCCTGGTGGCTTGGTCTCTTTCCGGGGTTCCTGGCGAGTCAGCGGACTATCGCAGGCTGCTAGGGACCTCTTATGGGACTCATGGGCCCCGGGAACTAGGCGCTGTTACCTTTCAGCTTGGGCCTCCTGGTCTACTTGGTGCATGGAACGGGACTCCGATCCATTTACAGCAACTATTCCTATGATTCTTAATTTTCTTTCCTCCTTGTTCTCATCTGGCCGCTCTTACCGTTCTGTCAACGTCGTTCACTCCGCGATTTCGGCGGCTCACACCCCCATCGGGGATCTCCCGGTCGGCAAAGACCCCCTGGTCTTCCGCCTACTCCCTGGTATGCGGCTCCGCCGCCCCCCGGCCCCCAGATACCCTCACCTATGGGATGTGGGACTGGTTCTCTGTTTTTTCAGGGATTGGCTTCCGAATGACCGCCTCTCCCTACGCCAACTATCCGCTAAGTGCGCTTTCCTCCTTTGTCTAGTATCTTTCCGACGGGTTTCGGACGTTCGGGCCTTCGACGTGGACGCTTTCGAGGTGGCCCCTGAAGGGGTCACGTTCCACATTTCGGGTTCGACTTCGGTCTTTTACCCCTTTTTTCCAGACTACCCGCAGCTCTGTGTCGTGTCCACCCTCCGCAGGTATGTTTCGGTTACCTCCTCACTCCGGTCCTCCACGTCAGGCCAACTCCTAGTCTCCTACGTACGCCCTCACGCCCCAGTCTCGGTCACCACACTGGCCCGATGGATCCACTGGATCCTTTCCCTCGCAGGTATAGACCCCGCATTCGGCGCCCACTCCGTTCGCGGAGCGGCGGCGTCATCAGCCTTCCTGGCAGGGGCGTCCCTTTCGGATATTCTCAGAACGGCGGACTGGTCTAGGGAATCCACTTTCCGTACATTTTACTTTCACACTCCCCCTTCTGCTGGGATGTCTCTTCTTCAGCGTTAAAATTGCAAAATAGGAAGCCTCCTGTCATGTTATAAAATTTAAGATTATGCTAGCTTTAGTGTACTAATAATCTTAATTTTAATAAGGACAGGAGGCGAGTATTTCCCCTCCCTTCTGTTCCCTACCCTGACTCCTCGGGGGAGTGGATCTTAAGGTGACGGATATTGGGATTGATTTTAGTAGTTACTCTATCTTCAGGACATATTCGGAATCTCTTCCATCTCTCTCCCTAGTATTGCCACCTAGACGGACAGTTTTAGTTATACAACATGCTTACACCTAACATATTTAGCCTCTGGCCAGCTTTCAATCTGTCTGTACTGATTTAATTTACACCATTCTGTTAAAGCCCACAGGCGTGAACAGTTACGGTTCATTACCTAACCGATTTTATACTCTCCTTTCAGTGTAACCCTCTTCAGGACCTCCACTGGTCGCTGGTTTGTTAACCTCACGACTCCGTAAGATGGGATGACGGCTTCGTTTGGTCTTACCTCCTATCTCGCCAGACACCGCAGTTACAGTTTCGTTGAGTTTCTGGATGTTCGAGCTCTATCTGGACTTGGATGTCGCTTCAAGAAAGAGGAAGTGTACAGGCAGCATGACCCTTATATACTATGCTGCTCAGTGATTTATATGTTACTCTTTACGTTTTCTTTACTGCTGTGGAGTTTAGTAAAGAGAGTTAATGCAAAATACTCGCCTCCTGTCCTTATTAAAATTAAGATTATTAGTACACTAAAGCTAGCATAATCTTCAATTAAAAAACAAGAAATCCAAAACATAGGAAAAGTCATAATAGACATCCTGCAAGCACATGTCAGCAGGACAGGTGTCTGCCAAAAGTAAGCAGGGACAGTGATATAGCCCTCCCAGTTGCCTCAGTAGTGTGAGGGTCAATGGTGAAGGTGATCCTGCAGCTGCCCACTTACTTGTTCCTCCATTCATGGCCCATTGGATGCGGGCTAAATAATACACATGGAAATCTAGGAACATCATCACTTGTTATGGCCTCCTCTACAGTGCCCCAAAATGGCAGGTCAGCTGGCACAAATTTGGCTATAACAAGTGGGAAGCACATGTCCATTTGTATTAAAAGAGGCAATTAAAACAAACAATAGCCTAACTTCTTACATGCCTATAGATGGAAGAGTGTTTTTTACCTTAGTATGCTACATCATGCAATAATAATATTAGCATGCAATCGGGCAAGGCCAAGGTCTACTGAAAGAATGCAGTTTAATCCAGACCACACATTATGAATTATAAATGAGAAGAAAAAATAGAAACATTGTGTCAAATCTTATTTTTTCTCATACAGATCTATTAGGAGGAGGGTGTAAATTCCATATTAAAGTAAATATGCTAAATTGTTCTGTTAAAGCGGCTCATTTTGCACCCCTCCCCGATCCAAAATGAGTCTTTTTCATAGACTTTGGAATTTCACTTGCAATGAAGCGCCATGAGTTGAAGAGGGCCAGCAGGCAGAGGCCAGGAGGGACAGGTTCAGGTAAGTAAAACTTACCTTCCCCTGCACCCCGCGGACACCAGACACCCAGAGCAGTCACTGTTGGGGGAGGGTGGGGGGTCTTTGCAAAATATGACAGAGCTGCTTTAAAGTGTCAGGAATACAAAGCTGTGTTTCTGGCACTACTGATCCCTCTGGCTCCCCACTGATCCCTTTGACTCATAACTCTCTGATTGGTTACTTTCAATCAACAAATCAGACTGTTGTTATGAGTCAAATTACACAGCATGGGAAAATTCCAAAGAACTTTCCCACGCTGTGTAAAATGACACAGAGCACTCTGATTGGTTGGATTTCAAGCTAACCAATCAGAGTGCTGTGACAGGTAAATGTAGAGACCTACCTATCAGTCTCTTCATTTACCTGTCAGAGCAATCTGATTGGATGGCTTAAACCAACCAATCAGAGTGCTTTGAGCCTAATTGCAGGGCGGGGCAAGGCTTCATAAGCCCCCGCCCTGCAGAGCTCAGTCTGCGTGGTGCCCTCCATGGGTGAAGATGGAATACTTTTTCAAATGGTAAGTTTTATTTTTTATTTTTTTACAGTTACTTAGTTAATGGTACCCCCTCACTATATTTAGGATGAGGGGGGTAGATAGGGGTTTATTAATTTTGTTGAGAGGGGGGTTGTTACAAACTGCTATTTGTAACTGGCCCTTTAAATGACCAATTGCCCTGCTTCCCTGTGTTATGGAGAAGCCTAATTGCCAGCCTTCTGCCCCATGACTATGGACCTAGTGTGTATGGCGATTTGACAGTATTTGTGGGATCTGAGCGCTGTTTGGATATATTGAGCGCTCAGATCCAAGCCATCTGGGGATAGGTTGAATGTGGGGGTTCTGTTCAGTATGATAGGAGTTATGTATTTTTGTGTCTTTTTGTGTCTTTTGCTAACATGTGGTTAATGGAGTCTGCCTCTATCCCTGGATATAAGTGGATTATTTCCCCCATTGTCTCCAGGCTAGAGGGCTCTGTAAAACCGGTTTGGGCCAGATAACCATGCTGCCAGCCAGGCCCCAAAAGATACTTTTGCTAACTTTTGAACCCCTTGTCTGATTTGTGCCATTTTTTAATATGTTGCTCCCCTGAATGGATTGATTCCAAATATGTATGAAGATTGGATGTATGGTTTTAAAGTTACAGGGTATGGGGAAAAACTGTTCTGTTTTAATTATGTTATCTGATTATCTGAGGGATGGGAATTTCCCCGAATGTATATTGTTCCGATTGGTTATGCTGCTAATTATGTGGGTGTCTCCCTTGCATGGGCAGAATCTCATAAAAGCAGAGTGTGTGCCATTAAACATCAGATCTTCTTGACCCTCTAACTTGCAGCCTTGACTCATGTTTGTAGGGGACAGCTATAATCACTACAGGGATTGCTATGCTCTTCATACTCCCTTAGCTACTGAGCTCTTGTAAGAGCTCTTGTTCCTGATCTTGCTTTGCTCTGCAGAAGGAAGAGGTTCACCTACTGCAACCTGGAGCCTGGTCGTGGGTCCAGGGCATAGAGCAGACGGCTAGATACCAGCCCAGCAGCGGTGGTTCGTGGAGTCTGCAGTACTTCCGGTGGCTACGCAGTAGTTATGGTGTCTACGGTGCTGATGGTCCTTTGGTGAGCGCTAGGAGCATTCTTTCTACGGTCCAACTTTCAGCCAGCCTGGAGGAAACCGTAACATTTGGTGGCAGCGGTGGGATGGCGTCCTAGCGCAAGGAGCAGCACCCCAACAGCACTGGTATCGTATAAGAGAGTATTGAGGGCACTGCTGGCCTCTGCGCAGCACCCCTACCTACAGCAACATGGAGATAGCAAAACCCTGGACAGCAGCCAGTGAATTGCAAATCAGCCTGACACAGTGCTGGGAGGGCGCTGATTTCATAAGGGTAGTAAAGGAGCAGCTGGTCCTGTATGGCCCGAACCCTTCAAATGATGTGGCTCATCGAGTGATGCGCCAGTTGAGTGCTGACAACCAAGCAGCACGGGACTTTGAGTGCAACCTGTGGAGGATGGGGATATGGACACCCTGTCTCCAGCGACAGAGTGAGTTACAGGGAGCGGAGAGCATCGACCTCCCTCCCCAGCGGCAGCCTGAGTTACAGGGAGAGGAGAGCAGCGACCTCTCTCCCCAGCGGCAGTGCACCGTGCAGAGGGAAGAGACAACCGGTCTCCTTCCCCAACCCCAACCAGAGGTACTCGAGGCAGCAGACCTCATAGACTGGTCATGGGTCCAGGGCATAGAGCAGACGGCGAGATACCAGCCCAGCAGCGGTGGTTCGTGGAGTCTGCAGTAGTTATGGTGTCTACAGTGCTGATGGTCCTTTGGTGAGCGCTAGGAGCATTCGTTCTACGGTCCAACTTTCAGCCAGCCTGGAGGCAACCGTAACAGGGGTGACAATAGGTCCCCCCCTTATTTTACTTTAGGGCCCCTCCCGCCACTCAGGAGCGGGGGCCGAGGGGAGGACAATAGGTCCCCCCCATATTTTACTTTAGGACCCCCACCCACCGCTCAGGGGTGGGGCCGGGGGGAGGACAATAGGTTCCCTCCCCCCTTATTTTACTTTAGGGCCCCCACCCGCCGCTCAGGGGTGGGGGCCAGGGGGGAGTACAAAATTATTCTAACTTTGGGCCCCCATCCGCCACTCCGGGGTGGGGGCCAGGGGGGCAATAGGTCCCCCCTTCAGTTTAAAAGCCCAAACTCGCGCACACGGGTGAGGGCTCGGGAGGGGGGACATGGTTTTTATTGGGGCGGGGGGTGTAGCGAAACCGATCTCGCCACTGGGCATTGGAGAAGACTGATTGCCAGCCTCCTGCCATGTGACTATGGTCCCTGGGATGTATTGCCCTTTAAAGACATGATTTGGGCATAATGGATTTGTGTTGTGCTGCTGCTGGCCCTTTAAGAACCATCTGGGGACATACTGTGGAGTTACTGGGTGGCCACCATTTCCTGTATCAGAGGCACATGGTGAGAACAATGGATGAAGCACATGGTGAGAACAATGGATGGCGGCCATTTTAACTCACAGACACTGTTTGGACTTTTCAACACGGTGCCATCTCGCCGGTATTTGGTGCACAGAGACATCGTGCAGTGGTTTTGGACTATACAACAGGGGACACATTACACAGTAATTGTTTTTCATTTAGCCTGCATATGTTCTGTGGAATCTGCATTAAAATGTAGCTTCCAAAGTACTGAACGGATCTGGGTGAATTTTGGATATGTGGTTCACCCAGATCCCCCAGTTCCAAGGATATACTTTTTATGGGGTTATTGCATGTTTTGGGGTCCCTGTGATGTGTTTTATGATACTGTATTTCTCTGCCTGTGATAATTAGATTAACAATTGTGTTCAGTAATCATATCACAGGCAGAGGGGAGGATTTTGTGTGGGAGTGTCTGTGTGTATTGTACAGATTGATTGGTTGTTCTGTAAAACCCTGTGGGCAGTACTAAATTTGTGGATTGGGAATAAAAGAGGTTGTATGTGCCAGTACAGTCAGTTCTGCTTGACCCTCAAAACGAAGTGTCTCGTTACTGGGGGAATCTACTACAAGGGATTGCTATGCTAGTCATACTCCCTTGCTATATCACTATTAAGCTCTTGTAAGAGCTTGTTCCTGTCTTGCTCTCTGGAGGAGTCTACTGTGGTTATGGTGTCTGCTGCAGTGCTTGGAGCCCTCAGGAAGCACTAGGAGCATCCTTCAACGGAGGTACCCAGTGATCCGTTACAGGGGGGTTTCACAGTGAGCAGCCACGGGCTGCTCACTGTTTACTAGACATGCTCCTACTTGCGGTATAGCGAGTAGGGGCAGAATTTACTAAGTAATTTTTAAATTGGTCTTTCAGCCTTTTGGTAGATAGCTCTCTAATACCGTGGGAATTATGGAGTTATCTACTTACTCATTCCCATCCATTGACTGGCTAAGTAACTAACATTTTATATGAATGTGTTACTTGATTGTTGTAAGTGTTGCAAATGCTTACAGCTGAATCCTGGCTATGTTTGTATACTTTTTATTTAAACTGGTATACAGCGTAACATTCTTCATTCTTCCACTGGGTATATTAGTACTTCTGCAATTCTGTGCTTCAGAACTTTGCCAATTTCGGAACTTTGGCAATTCAGCTATTTGGACATTCGGAAGTATCCGAATTGCCGAAATTCGTCCGAATTGACACTCGGAACAAAACGAATTGCACATATCTACTGGTAGACACACTCCCAAATTGTTTTTTTTTTTTTTTTACATTTTAATCCACCCAGCCACCCAACCTTTTGGATTGCTGGAATTGATTTTCTATTTTCCTGGGGTCCAGTGGGGATCCTTTCACTGCCAGCCAGGTGGGTGAGCAGTCAATGCAGATAGAAAGGGAGCTCTGATCATCTTGCTCAGTTCCCTCACGCGCCACTTAGTGATGCCGGAGTGACATCATATTCTTTTTTTCTTTTTTTTCCCTGGGTTTGGCTACTTTGACCTTAGATTTAAAATTCACTTTGAATTCTCATTTTAATGAATAGCACTGTAGAATTTACAAGGTTATTTACTAAACTGAGAATTTCAAATATAAGACCAGAATAGCTGAAGGCAGAGCTGACTTAGAGATTGTTTTCCAGTTTGACTATTTTTACCTTGTTTATTCACTGGGGCAGAGGCGGCTCTAGACTTTGTGAGGCCTTAGGCGAAACTCAAACATGAGGCCCCCACTAACACCCAAAGTGAAATAAAAATAGGAGTTGCTTTTTGTGTGTGTGTAAAGAGCAGTTATTGTATTGAAAGACGGACTTGCAGCACTGATTACAGAGAGCTAGTCTCTGTATTCATTGTTCAGAAGCTTGCAGTGTAGTGGCTCCCTGCGTGCTGCATTGTGAGCTCTCTGGCTGTGGTTGTAGCATAATTTGCACACAAAATAAATTTTCAATAAACAAATTTATTTGCAATTATGCTAATTGTTTATACCCACTATAAACACACTAAAATATGCACACAAATGCACACTGACAGAGTGAGGGTAGGCGAGTGTGACAGGATTATGGGGGGTTAATGTGACAGGGTGAATGTGACATGGTTGGAAAAGGAGGTGTGACACGCACATAAATACACACACTCAAAACTCACTTGCACAGAGACCAATACTTTGACAAATGACAAACAGATATACATTGACAGATGTAAAGTCACAATTTCTGGCTGTGTGTATTTCTGAGTGTGTCTAGCACTGTCTAACTATGTGTGTCTACATAGAGTATCCTTGTGTGTGAATGTATGTCTCTGTGAGCAAATATGAACCGTGTGTTTGGGGTAGCTGCTTGCAATGTGTTTTGTGTCTGGGAGTCTGCTTGTGGCCTTTGTGCATTGTGTTTATGGCAAAGCTATGTTTCAAGACTGTGTGTGTGTGTGATGAATGTATGATGAATGTCTTCAGCTGGTGACTGACAGGATAAATAAAGGGGAAACTGTGGCAGGGTGAGTTTCACAGGGCGAGGGGAATAACTGAGATTGGGCGGGGTGCTGAGTGTGACAGGGTAGGGGTGTGAGTCTGATATGGTTTGAGGAGGGAGTGTGACAGGGCGAGTGGAGATAAGTATGACAGGGAAAGTCTTGGCATGGTTGGACGCAGGGCCGGACTGGGAAAAAAATTAGGCCCGGGCATTTTTCAATCAGAGCGGCCCCCTAAGAAGGGGGCGGGGCCAGAGAGTGTGTGTTTTGTCATCACTAATGACAACACACCCCCTCTCAAAATGAGCATGTTGGTTCAATGCCCAGAGCCCTGCTGAAGAGCTCTGGCATTAGAAAAAGGCCCTGAAAATGTTCTGCGCAGCGCAAGCAAATGAAATAACATGCTTGTGCTGTGTTTGCTTTTAAATTGTCTCTGGTGTCTCCACAAGTGGGATACCAGAGGACAAATGGAAAGTGCATGGTGCATATGTTTGGAGCCTGCTTGTGGGATTGCGTGTGTGTAGAGTGTGGTGTGGTATTGTGTAAATAGGTCAATTTAATTTGTGTTTGTGGTGTAATATGTGTGGCTAGGGGCTGTAGAGAGTGTGTGTATAGGGGGCATAGTTTTATAGGGGATGCAGCGAGTGTGTGCATACGGGCTGAAGTGTGTGTGTATAGGTGACGTAGTGTGTGTAGGGGTTGCAGAGAGGGTGTGTTTAGAGAATGTTGTATGTGTTTGCTGACAAGGAATGTAGTGTGTGTGTGTAGGAGATCTACTGTGTAAAGGACCCAGTGTGTGTGTGTGTGTATAGAGGATAAAGAGTGTATATAGAGTAAGGGATCTAGTGTGTATCTGGAGCGTAATGTGTGTAGTGGTGCAGTGTGAGGGGTGCTGTAGTGTGTGTGTGTGTGTATGTATATATATATATATATATATTTGGACTTATTGTATGTGTGAGGGGCGCAGTGTGTGTATGTAAGAGGGGTGCTGTGTGTGAGGGTGTTTTTATCTGCTGTCACATTCTAGGTTTCTAATTTTCTTTGTCTGTTAACTCACTGAGGGTTATTTTATATATATATATATATATATATATATATATGTGTGTGCTGTATATGTGTGGGAGTGTGCTGTGTGTGTCTGGGTGCTGTGTGTGTCTGGGTGCTGTGTGTCTGGGGGGTGCTGTGTGTCTGGGTGTGTGTGTCTGGGTGCGCTGTGTGTGTCTGGGTGCGCTGTGTGTGTCTGGGTGCGTGTGTGTCTGGGTGTGTCTGGGGTGCAGTGTGTGTCTGGGTGCAGTGTGTGTCTGGGTGCAGTGTGTGTGTGTCTGGGGGTGCTGTGTGTGTCTGGGGGTGCTGTGTGTGTTTGGGTGCTGTGTCTGGGTGCACTGTGTGTGTCTGGGTGCGCTGTGTGTGTCTGGGTGCGCTGTGTGTGTCTGGGGGGTGCTGTGTGTGTCTGATGCTGTGTGTGTGTCTGGGTGCGCTGTGTGTGTCTGGGTGCGCTGTGTGTGTCTGGGTGCGCTGTGTGTGTCTGGGTGCGCTGTGTGTGTCTGGGTGCGCTGTGTGTGTCTGGGTGTGTGTGTCTGGGTGCGCTGTGTGTGTCTGGGTGCGCTGTGTGTGTCTGGGGGTGCTGTGTGTGTCTGGGGGTGCTGTGTGTGTCTGGGGGTAGTGTGTGTTTGGGTGCAGTGTGTGTCTGGGTGCAGTGTGTGTCTGGGTGCGCTGTGTGTGTCTGGGGGTGCTGTGTGTGTCTGGGTGCGCTGTGTGTGTCTGGGGGTAGTGTGTGTCTGGGTGCAGTGTGTGTCTGGGTGCAGTGTGTGTCTGGTGCAGTGTGTGTCTGTGGGTGCAGTGTGTGTCTGGGGGTGCAGTGTGTGTCTGGGGGTGCTGTGTCTGGGGGGTGCTGTGTCTGGGGGTGCTGTGTTTGTGAGTGAATGTATTTTTTTATTTAAATTTAAATATTTTTTTTTTTTACTAATAAAAAAAATAAAAAAATTTCCCCCCTCCCTTCTTCTCTACCTTTATCCTGGGAAGGGGGAGGAGATCCGTTCTGCCATCCATCCCTGGTGGCCCAGTGGTGAGAGTGAACTCTAACCTGCAGGTTAGAGTTCACTCTCGCGAGATCTGAGCGTTGCCGCGGCAACGGTAACCGCGGCAACGCTCAGAATCCCGCGAGAGGACCCGGCGGAGCTGCTTGTTAGAGCTCCGCTGGGTCCTCTCTCCTGCCTCCCTCACCCAGCCGGCAGCCGCATTTCCATGCCTCTGGGCCGGTGAGGGAGATCTTTGATCTCCCTACCGGCCCATGGAGGCACACAGCAGGGCCGGCGCTCGGGTAGTGCTGGCCCTGCAGGGGCCGGCCGGGGAGATCCTGTGATCTCCCCTGCTGGCCTCGGCCCCACGGCCATCGCGGCCCACCGGGCATTTGCCCGGTGTGCCCTATGGCCAGTCCGGGCCTGGTTGGACGGACGAGTGTGACAGTATTGAAAGGGGTTAATGTGACAGGGTGAGTGTGGCATAGTTGGGGGGTGAGTATCACAGGGTTGGGGTGAAAGTGCCATGGTTGGAGGAGAGAGTATGACAGAACGAGAGGAAGAAGGGGAGAGTGACAGGATTAAGGGGGGTTTATGTGACAGGGTGATTGTGACATAGTTGGAGGAGGAAGTGTGACAGAGTGAGGGGAGGCGAGTGTGACAGGATTATGGGGGATTAATGTGACAGGATTAGGGTGGGTTAATGTGACAGGGTGATTGTGGCATGGTTGGAGAAGGAGGTGTGACAGGGCGAGGGGAGACGAGTGTGACAGGATTAAGGGGGGTAATTTGTTTAGGTGAATGTGGCAGATCATACAGTGTTGAGGGGTGACAGTGCAGTGGGGGGTGACAGCACAGTGTGGGGTGACAGTATAGTGTAACAGTATACTCTGAGGGGGTGACTGTTTGTGTAGGGGTGACAGTACAGTGTTGGAGTGTGAGGGGTGACTGTTTGTGTGGGGGGTGACAGTACAGTGTGAGAAAGTGACTGCGGAGCTGCAGACCTGAGGTGCCCGGCTTTCTCCTCCTGAGCAAACTGACTGGAGGGGCCATTTGCACCCGGTGGCATACAGGGCAAGTTCTATTAACATTGCAAAAAATATAAAACTGTGTCAGATATTTGTGCAAACCAATAAGTCCATTAATAAAAAAATAAAAAAAATCCAACTAGAACACTCACTCTATAATGGCCTAAAGAATGGAACTTCCCAGTATTACTCTCCAGGTATGTATATAGCACAAGGCATAAAAAACTAAAATAGAGAAGAGAAATATATATAGTATAACTCTGACTTAAAATACTTTGGAAATAGATTAATCTAAAAACTCACAAGAGGAGAGCAGTAAAAGCCTACTCGAACATTAATAGCTTGGTATCCTATGATCAGGACCACAATGTGACAGGCAACCAGGATTTATTCTCACAAAAATTTAATTCACACAAAATTTCCCTGGCAGTGTATATTCACTGTGTGTCAGTAGTCCCTCCGACTCGCGGCTAGCACCTGCGGTCGTCGGGCTGTGCACTGTTGGCACAATGTTCCATCAGATCATGTCTTAAACACGCCTTTCTTCTGTATTTAAGTCCACTCAGATGAGCGTGACTAGTTACAAGTCACATACTGATTGGTCCTCATGTTAAACCTTTGGCAAACATAACTAAAAGTCCTTATGCATATGACAAACTCCTCAGAAAACATTATCATATCGCCTAAACATCATTAAATATAGTATGAGCGCAAATAAAATCTGAAAAATTGTAACAAGTCACCTGCATATTGCTATATATAGGGCTGTCTTTCCGCATGGGCATGATGGACAGTTGTCTGGGGGCCCCACCGCACTGCCCAGCCTGGTAGGGAGGACCCAGAGGAAGGACCTGTAAGGCAGATCATTCTTCCTGTGAGCAGGCTGTGTGGAGCATTGCCTCATGTTACCATGGCAATGCTCCATACAGCATTCTGCATGCGGCAGGACAGGAGACAGTCTGCACCCAGACGAGCCGCAGGTTACACAGAACTCACCACCACAGGACCACCAGGGCTGGCTGTGTCCACCCCTCCTTCACCAAAGGTTAAGAAGAAGGGTGGAGGGGATGAATATTTTATTAATGTATAGCAATATTTAAAAAACAAAACAAAAAAAAAACACACATTTGCTACCTGCACCCCTCAAACTCTGCAACACACACACACACACACACACACACAGCAACCCTCCCCTCACACAGCACTCCTCACATACAGCACACCCCTCCCACACAAGCACTCCTCCCACACACAGCACCCCTCACAAACACAGACACAACACCGCTTACACACACACACACACACACACACACACACAAATTCTGCACCCCTCAATGCTGTATTTGTGCGTGTGTATTCAGCCGTTTGTATGTATTCAGCAGTCTGTGTGTGTTTATTCAGTAGTCTGTGTGTGTATTCAACAGTCTGTCTGTAAGTGTATTCAGCAGTGTGTGTGTGTTTGTATTCAACAGTCTGTGTGTATTCAGTGGACTATGTGTGTGTATTTAGTGGACTGTGTGTGTGTATTTAGTGGACTGTGTGTGTGTGTATTTAGTGGACTGTGTGTGTGTGTATTCAGCAGACTGTGTGTGTATGTATTCAGCAGTCTGTCTGTGTGTACTCAGCAGTCTGTGTGTGTGTGTGTATTGAGCAGTCTCTGTGTGCATATATTATATTATGTATTGCATTTATTGGATTAAATATAAGTTTAATTTTATCTATAATTTAAATTTGTATTCCTGTGAGTGGTGTGTAGGCAGGGCCCCAGTGCACTGCTTTACCTGACAGCCCATAATGTTGTTAAGATGGCACTGGCTATAATTGACAGTATCACAAACAGCTACCCTGACCTTAAATTTTACATTCTCTTAGCAATCACTTTCATTTCTCTCTTTAGTAAATAACCATGTTAATATAGCTGTTAGCACTATTACATTTTATCATCCAGCACCATTACTGCTATTTCAACATGTGATGACTGTTCCAGTGACCTTCACATAGAACTAATGCTCCCATAGACTTCCCATCACATATCACTAAACCATATAGAGCGGTTTCACATTCAGCAGCTCCTTCTGCCATCAGCTGACAATCTGTACCGGAAGTAGAAGCGCTAATCTGAAAATCCTCTATGTTTCTATGAGAGTAAAGTAAGCCCCGTCCCCTTGCTGGTTTTCAGTTCCGGGTTGTCACCCTTTCACCGCTAAGCATGGCTTCTGTGTGCCGGAGCCCGGGGTTTAATGTCCTATTGCGGGCGGTGGGAACATGCTCATGGAAACCAGTAATGGCAGCTGCAGTCTGCGGCGAGGTGAGCACGGCAGCCTGGCTTTACTTGTGTCGTGGCGGGCGGTGATAATCGGAGGGATAACTGCAGGCTGAAAGGAAGGGAAATACACATTGACATCTACTGCAGGTGACAGGTCACATAGTCCTCACCCAACCAGATACCTGCACTGTGGCTGTCTGTATCTTATCCCATAATAGAATGCATGGGAGTAAGTTAGGTGCACAATAATATTATTAAAGATCTAACAATTACAAACTCACTCCTGGGTGGAATTTACAGGACATTTTAAATGCCCAATGTAAATGTAATCTCAAGATTACCTATGTATTGTAATGTGTTTCTTTGGAGGTTATTCTGTGCAAATCCTCAGGCACCTGTAAGGGCCATAGCAACAAGAAAGTGGCTGTAAAGTCTCAGCCAGTTCCTGGTCTGTGATTGAAAGAAATTAGAGAAGTGCTGCATATGTGGATTCACACTCACATCCATGGCTTTTCTATGGAAATAAATTGCATATGCTCTCACATGCTTTGTGCTTCACATTAATGAAAAATAGCCTACAGGTCAGTTAAGTATGTACCTTGTTTCAGATGGAAAAAGTAGATAACTTGTTATAAAGTTTTCATTAGTTTTAAAGCAAAACTAGGCAAGCTGGTGCTTGCTCGAATCATAGATTGCCCTTATATTCATTTAATGCCTTTGTTCTTGTATTTAATGGGTTACTTCAACCATCATTTTGGTGGTCGGGGTCAGGATTTGCCTTGTTCAGATTAAAACACTGGACATCCAGAGTTATTGGCAATTGTGTGCCTGGTGCTAGTTACCACCAGGCACATGTGACTTGGGCAGCCCAGCACTCTGCTGTTGGCTGCTTAATGTCAATTCTGTGCATGGCAATAGACGCCCACTGCTGCTCTCTTGCAGGACAAGCAGGAGAAACTTTTGCTTGCTGTTTGACTTCATTAGCAGGAACTTTCGCTAGCTCATTGACTAAATACAAATGTCACAATCTCACAAGCAGTAATGCCATATGCTAGTTCTCCAGAAATTCATTTATAAAGAGCAACTCTTAACTGTACTCAGTCAAGTGTTAACAGTGATGGTAACCACTCCACAAATTATGTCTTTAGAAAACAAGCTGTAAGTGATAGAGGTATGAGAAGATTGAAAGTATCAATAAAGCATTAGGCCAAGGCCTTATTTTCATCTTGGCCATGTATCAACAACTTAATGTTCAGCATATTAGTTGACCCATAGATTTTAGGAGATTTTTTTTAGGCTTAGCATGACTGCTTATAAACAGCATATATGATGAACTGAAATGTGGTAATTGTGATATGATAGAAGTAGATGGAGGTAACTCAAATTGTGAAGTTTGAGTCAAATGTTTTGTGTACAGACTCCAACAACTGTGTGCACTGTGCAGTGTTTCAAACTTAAACACTGCACATTCAGACTCCAAGCACCATGACCACTTCAAATCAGTGAAGGGGTCCTGGTTCATGGAGCAACCCTTTTAAGACCTTTGATCTTTGAAAGGTCTTCATGCTTAAAGTCATGACACCAAAATAGTCCAGTGCTTCTCATATAAATGCAAATATACCCTGTTGTGAAGTAGTATATAAAGAATCTTCAACTATTTCAAGATGCACATTAAGGTTTCTTTTAAAACCCTGTAGAAAAGTGAGAGTATTTGAGATATAAGACGTGTGAGAAAACAATTCTCACATACTGTATATGATTTTGTAATAAGTAGAGATGTATATTTTTACAAAACAAGTATATATAACAAAACTGAAAATACTGAAAATTCACCTAACTGGAAACATGCAATGTGGACATGGTCAGAATTGCCTAATGATTTTTAAACTCTCTATTACTGTTAATGTTATAAAAGATAAACAGTTGGTGAATACAGCAACGGTCTCTTCCAGACATTTTACTTAGTTTTCCAACACTAGAGATGCACAATGTTAATCTGAACACAATAACCACCTTATCTTACTGAAGTGGTTATGTTGCATAGATACTTTCTTTGCAGTCTTACTGCCTAATTTGTATTAGCACTTTTTTTCATCTCTGGCTGTCAATCCTAAAACTGCTTTCCGATAAGATGTAGCAATTTCATATTCTCATATTTTATTTTGAGCATTTGCGAACTATACAATTGTGAAGGTATACTATCCCAATCCAGCTGTTCTCTTTGAAGCATTTCATTGGATAATTTTGCAAGCAGGGTTTAACCCAGCACTAACTGGAAAGTATTGTTTCTGATAAAAAAAAAAAGAGGTGGATCATCATTGGCTACTAAAGTCTGTTCTGCAGCTAATTGCAGTTACATTTGTAAGGTTTGGGGGTAGAGTTTAAAAAAACAAAATTTTTTATAGATTAATATTTTTATTGTTCATGCTTTAACCAAATGCATTAAAATATGCAGTTTACCACTTGTCAGTCCCACCAGTCAACAGCAAAAATAATAATAAAAAAAGCCGGAACATCAACGTTCTAATTAGGAGTTGGTTCCACCAGACTGTGGACTTGGTTCTGTTTCAACACAGTGGAAAATTTATTCATACTTACCGTAATTTTCTTTTCCTGTCTATTATTCATGGCAGCATATACACATGGGTTAGCTCCTCCCCTACAGCCAATAGGACAGGAAAACCACCAAGGTTTTAAAAGGAGGCTCCATCCCTAAGGTCCTCAGTCAGTTTACAAGCTCTACAGTACATAAATAGAGACATTAATGGGTGGGAAGTATATGCTGCCATGAATAATAGCCAGGAAAAGAAAATTACGGTAAGTATGAATAAATTTTCCACTTTCCTGGCTAATCATGGCAGCATATACACATGGGGAATACCCAAGCTTACAAAGGGAGGGACAGAATAGCCAATCAAATTATCAGAATAATTCAACATAGATAGAAGAATGAACTGAGTACCAAATTGTGCAGCATAGACTGTTTTAACGAACAGTATGAAATGCCAGACAAACGTGTCTAAAGAGGTTCAAATGCTAGCTTACAAAAAGTCTCAGCAGAAACCATTGCCATGGCAACCCATGATGCTGCAACAGCATGAGAGGAGAGTGCCCTGATACCCTCCAGCACAGGTAGAGAACGGACGTGAAGTCCAAATTGTGCCTCATTAATTGCTTCAATGTCCAATATGTAATGCAGGACAAACTAGTTCAAAGAGGTCCAAATGCCAACTTTACAAAGCTTCAGCAGAGACCATTGCCATGGAAGCCCACAAGATGCTGTAACAGCACTAGTGGAGAATGCCCCAAATCCTTTGCTACAGGTAGAGAACGGCATTGAAAGGCTCTCACTTTAGGCACGATCAGTTAAATTGTTGCTTACATGAAGCAAAGCACCAGGGGCATCAATGCTCAATCGGTACCCTTCAGTACAGGTAGAGAATGACATAGATAAGCATTCAACATAGGCAGGATCTTCAGGTGCCAAGTGCAAGACGACCATATCTGTTGAAAAGTAGTGAAAGGGGGTTCACAGGATCAAGCCTGGAGTTCACCCATTTTCCTTGCTGGGGTACCAGCCACCAGCACTTTCTGTGCTACCACCATGGAAGCTCCTTCTAGAGGTTCGAATAATGGTTGTCAGGGCCCGTGTGACCATTGGTACGTCACTTATTGGCTTCACCACACTTAGTGGAGGTATGATTTCAATCAATGCTTATATGAAGCAAAGTGCAGCTAAGTGTTCCTCTAGAGTGTTATAACATAGAACCTTTCAAGGCCTGAACGAGGAGTAATTCCAACAGACAAAAGCATGTCAAGCTTAGTAAAGCCTGTATAGGATTGTAAGAGGATCTCAATGACCGTCTCAGGGATGCCTATACTAATATGGACTCCCGCATCAACACCAGAACTTGAGGATCCTGGTGTGTCATGGGGCCTTGTAATAGGTCTGGACGTACAGGAATTTCTCTTGGAGGTTCCAGAATCATCTTATTCATCATAGGAATTAGAGTCGACACGGTCTTCCACTGTCACCTTTTGCATTGCCTTTTTAAGAAGGTTGAAAACAGGAAATATGTACATCAGACTAAAATTCTAAATTTGAGCCAGTGTATCCTGAACCTGAGCATTCTGGTCCTAGCATGTAAAAAATACTTCTGGCCCTGGTAGTTCCAAGAAATGGCCATCAGATCTATGTAGGGTATCAGACAATCTGCGTCAACCACCAGGATATGTCAGGACATGGTTGCCAATCCACCTTGTCCACAGTTATTCGGCTCCAGCAAACAGCCATGGTATTCTGAGCCACTGGTTGTTCTTCTGTGCCCTGATCATTATGGGCTGGAATTCCATCAATACGTATCTGTGAGACCCATCTTGGTAGATATAGGATACAGTTGCATTGATATTTGAGCAAATTTGGACCCACTCGTTCTTCAGCAAGCCTCTGAAGTGAAGAAGAGCCTTGAAAATGACTCTTAATTCCATACAAATGAATGGAAATATTGTGCAACATGGTCCAAACACTGTGCAACCAATCTTATAAAAACTGGAATTTGAGCTAATAATTGACCAATGCGGTTCTGTTCACTGGAAACTCAGATCTAATCCCTCTTTCAGCTGCCAGGGTAAGGTGCAACTCCACTGATGGGGACATAGTAAGTGGCTGGCTCCAATAATCTCTCTTGTTAGACCAAGATAGGAAGGATCTGTAAGGAATCCAGAGATGCCATTGAGCCCATCTGACAAGTCTGCTGGTGGAAGCTAGGATTCCTAGTAGTTGCCTCTATTTTCTTGCTGTTACCAAGCAGAAATGAAGAAACTGGGAGAGAAAACCTTTACAATCTATGGAACTGTTCCCAAGATAGGGAAAAGCAGAGCCTACAATTTTCCACTCAGGAATGTCAACCACTGAGCTGGTCTGAAACTGCTTTTCTTGATATTCATCAAGCAGCCAAACTTTAGGAGTTATGAAAGAACTATATACCTATGTGTGCCTGCTTTCTGAGGGTCTAAGGCTATCAGAAGTAGATCCTCCAGATAATGGAACCAGGTGGAGTTCTGGACTCTCAATAACACTATATAAGCAGATAGAAAGATTCTTGGGGCCACATTGAGGCCAAATGGTAGGGCACTAACATGGAAGTTCTCTTCTGAGCTAATGCCGAAGATCTCTGCAGATTGGACTGAAAGTAAGCATCCTTGAGATATATAGAGGTAAGGAAATTATCCTTCCAGATTGCTTGAGATATGGATCTGATTGACTCCATCCCGAAGACTCTAACATTCAGCCTCTTGTTGGCCCCTCTTAAGTCCAGTGTAGGCTTTCATGTGCTTTTCCTCTTGGCACCAGAAGAGAGGCGAAACTTGTCCCTGGAACTGCTCTTGTTCTGGGACCTAAAATTTTTTTACCTGTTCGTCTAGAAGGCTTCTTCCTTCAGTGCTTTACCTTTTGATTCATTGGTCTTAATACTCCTGTTGGTATGGAGACTCCTGTGCTCGTTAAGAAAAAACTCCAGTCTATATCAATCTGGACCATGGATACCACTCAAGCCTCCAGAGTATGACAAGCCCAGGTATGTGTGATCAGAAAAATGAGGCTCCTAGTACTGGAGGAGATAGGTTCATTGCTGAAGAGCAAAACGACTGCGTTATAGCTCCATTAGAACCTTGAAAGGCAGGTTTACCAACTGCCATGAGTTACCTCTGGAGTATTCCCTGCAGGGCCAGTAGCACAATGTATCTCAGAAATACTGGTCACTGGAGGTTCTCCGGTCAGACTATGAGGAGCTGGGATCCTTGCAACTTCCATCCTAAGGTACCAATATCTTGCAGCCCTCATTCGCCTTTTCAATGGAATTATCAGAAGTTTTCCCAAACAGCACCACCCCTTCAAATAGAATGGTGTAGAGGGCAGACTTGGAGGATGAGACATCATCCCAGAAACAGAACCATAATGCTTTCTTAGCTGCTATAGATAAAGCCATTTGATCCAGAGAATATCCTAGTTACATCTAGGGAAGTTTCTGTGAAGAAGTCAGTTGTAACCTGAAGACTTCAGACTGCCTCTTCAATCTTGGCTTTTAATATCTCTCTCCATAGTAGCCTTTAGTTCTTTAATCACATATTTCATGTTTGTAGAAACAGCAGCGGAAATCACAGCTGGCTGGCCTCCTGCAATGGTAGGAAGGTCTGGGAGGGAGGGTCTGCTGCTGATTGGCTGGAATGTGTCTGCTGACTGTGAGGTACAGGGTTAAAATTTACTCAATGATGAGTCCGCGGCAAACCATTCTGGACATCACTAATGGCAATTCATTGCTACAAATCAATTTAGATTGGTTTTATGCATTTGCCATAATCCCCGCTAACTGGTTCTGTGTGTTCATAAAATTACTGTCATGAGCAGAAATACAGTGTATTGACTTTGTGCAGTAAATTTTCTTTGAGATTCTAATCAAGAATATTCTAATTTTTTTTTTACATTCAACATAATTTAAAAGATAAAATTAAAATCTCTCTATATATCTTAACACTTTAAACACTACACTACTAACCAGGTCCTAAAAGTTACTCACCATTGCAAGTCTTGAGAGTCCATGGCACATTCACCAGGGGTACATTTCTAATTGTCAGGACTAAATGTTAAGTCTAGTGGTGAGTGAAAATTTTGAGCCCTGATGTCTGTCTATATAAATACTCTTATGCATCACCTGCATATCTCAAGTTGAACCGGGCATAGAAACTTAAGAATTTGTTTCCCCAACAATCCCAAAGTTCCCAGCTTGGCATACAAATAGGCACAGCCAGGCATCGTGTTTCAAACTACATTTAGCAATGGATGATACTTAAAACAGAGGTTTTTTTTTTTTTTTTTGTGCAAGTCCTAAGATCCAAAAGGATCAGTGACCAGAAACTAGCCAGTTTTGACATTGTGGGTCTCATCATCATGACACTAACTTGAGAGATGCAGATGATGCATAATAGCAGTTTTTTTGTACTAGGGGGAGTTCAATTGTGCTTGGCCCCACCACAATATTTTTGGTTACTAACTAAATGTAAATATGTGTCTGTGTATGTATTGATTAATACATAAAAATATATAGAATCAATACAAAGTAAAGGCTTTTTTTTTTTATTGTTTAACCCCTTAAGGACACATGACATGTGTGACATGTCATGATTCCCTTTTATTCCAGAAGTTTGGTCCTTAAGGGGTTAAAGAAAATGTGTGATACCAATTTTATCATGGTCGGATACCTCCCGTACCAAACAGGCACACGCACACACAGGACTAGGAGCCATTCACGTTCTATGGGCTAAGCTACAGGGTTATTTTATAGGAAATTTCAAGTTACGTAGGACTTCCTATTACTTTGTCTCCGTTATTACTTTCTGTGGTGCTGTTCATCATTGCTAACATGAAAGAAGTCAACTATACACAGAGAGAATAGCTGTCATTGCAAATACCATTGAGATAAAATAACTCCTTTCGACTGGGACTTTAAATTTCTTTAAATTCCCTAGTGTTTGGTATTTTACGCAAATTAGACTGTGCTACAAAATGCTTTTTTTTGTGCATTGTTGGAGGCAGTAAGCCTAGAGCTTTTCCACAATAGTCTTAATGTTTTTATTTATAACAATGTTGTGCATTTTGCTGAATTGGTTGTTGTGCCCCATTTCACATGTTGTCAATTAGATCCCTCTGTTGAGCAGATGAACATATTCTGGCAATGACCTTGTAACATCAGAGTGAATGCTGCTATTTTACCAGCTACGCCTGAAGAAGTCTTTCAGCAATCCGGAAAACCATCAGCTCTTATCATTTAGCTATCAAAGGTGCATTACCATATGGCATGTCCATAAACAACTATTTGTGGGAACATTAACAGTCAAATCTAGTTATTTGTTTTGTAAACAAATTATTACTTCTAATCTGTCACATATCAGATGATGGTAATATAACATGCAGAGCTTTTCTGTTTAAATCTTCCATTTTTCTAAGCAGTGCATGTAACTGTTTTAGTACAGACTTGAAAATTAGTTTCCTGGGCCTCTGTTAAAGGAACAATATGACACTAGGAATACAAAACTGTTAAAGGACCACTATAGTGCCAGGAAAACATACTTGTTTTCCTGGCACTATAGTGCCCTGAGGGTGCTCCCACCCTCAGGGTCCCCCTCTCGCCCGGCTCTGGAAGGGGGAAAGGGGTAAAAACTTACCTTTTTCCAGCGCTGGGCGGGGAGCTCTCCTCCTCCGATCCTCCTCTTCTCCTCCCCGTCGGCTGAATGCGCACGTGCGAAGAGCTGCGCGCGCATTCAGCCGGTCATAGAAAGCATTCATAATGCTTTCCTATGGACGCTGGCGTGCTCTCACTGTGAAAATCACAGTGAGAAGCACGCAAGCGCCTCTAGTGGCTGTCTCATTGAAACTGCTATGTTTATGAAAGAATGGGTTAACCCTAGCTGGACCTGGCACCCAGACCACTTCATTAAGCTGAAGTGGTCTGGGTGCCTAGAGTGGTCCTTTAATGCAAGTTTCTCTGACAATAGCGAAAGTTAACACTGGTGTTAAAAACTCTTAATATTTACCTCTTTCCAGTGCCGAGGTCCCTAGGCACTGGCTTAATTTCCCCATCGTTCCAGCGATGGGACAAGCATTATGCCCACATTTTATCTTACCCATAGGCAAGCATTAAGTCAGTGCTTTGCTGTGGGGGATTTGTAAATGCTAGATATCCTTTAGTGGCTGTCTTTCAGACAGCCACTAAAGGTGGAATTAACCATGCAATGTCATTTTTTTCTGTAACCCCATGTATACCTGGTGTTAATTGTGTGAGCAGGGAACTTACCCTGCTCACACAGATATTTGCAAAGGCATTTTAATGACTCATCTAAAAATTGAAAATGGCCCACCAGAAAGAGGAAAGCCCCAGATATCTCTTGATACCTGGTGCTCCCTGATGTGAATAGAGATTTAACTCCGCTCACACCAAATATGCAGGTCGTTATATGCCACCCTACTGGCATTTAAGACTCACTTTATATAGGACGACATAGAACGCCCAAACAAAGTTAAGGGGGTTAAAGAGTGCTCAATATCAACCTTGAATGTCTCAAGGTTCTTTTCCTTTTTTTATTATCCATGATTTTTTTTTAGGTGATATTTTACAGTGCTATCAAGGCATTCATTCACAAGTCATGGACAGGAGAAATAGTCCACACAAATTGTGAGCTGCTTCTTTCGCTTCAGTAAAGGTTTCTCCTGTTAGCTCAACTTTATTTGTAAGCATATGTTCTTTATCAACCATTGGTTGAGGGAAAAAAAAAAACATCCCTCATTAGTTTTTTCCTTGGCTAGTGAGTTTAGAGCAGGTTTAATCGTATTAAAGCAGGCTTCCCCTACCCCGGCCCTCCAGCTGTTGCTGAACAACAACTCCCATGATTCTATGAATGAAATGGGTTGAGAATCATGGGAGTTGTAGTTCAGCAACATCTGGAGGGCCGGAGCTTAGGGAAGCTTGCATTAAAGGATTACTTCAAGCACCATGACCACTTCAGGGATTTTGAAGTGGTTATGTTACCTGCAGTGTCGATGTGCAGCACATACAGAGATACAGTTTTCTGTGCAGAGTTAGCATTAATTGTCAGCACGCATAGCATGCTAGCAATGAACACCCAGTGGTGTTATGATCACCATCTTTCCTCTGCTGCCTGAAGTCCTATCTCAGCCTGGCTCTTGGGAAATCCCTTCCCCTATCGAACGGGTGAATACAGTCATCAAAGGCAGTTTTCTGGATCATTAACAAACACACATTATTATTATTATTATTATTATTATTATTATTATTATTATTATTATATATATTTTTAGAGGGGACCATGCCAGCAAAGTTTACTCAATCAAAAAAAATGTATTTTATTAAAACACTATTTTAATTTTTTTGTTGTGTTTGCAATGTATAGTTTATATTGATGGAATAAGTCAATCATTTGCATTGCACTTGTAGGCTTTAGAATGAGCTATCATCTGACTATGTTTTTACGGGTCTCTAAAGGATAGCCCCCCATGTTTTATTTCCTAAGAAACCTGTTTGTCCAGCACTGCTGTACGCATTGCCTTTGTTTTTCCATTTGGAAAGTTCTGTATTTTAACTTCTATGTGGTTTCCTGTATCTAGTTATTTTTAAATTAAAATAATGTCCCAAAATACAAAAATAAATGCAAGAAAAAATAAACCATGCCAGGAAACTTAGATTTTACTCACTCAATGAATATGATTTAGCAGACGTCAGCCTTCTGCCATGTGGAACGAAGTATTTTATTGGGTTCTCCAGTAGAAATAAATATAAAGCACATGCTACCAGGCTCCTAGTAAAATTGATCCCAGTATTTTGGAAGTCCTGCACTTACAGCCTGCAGTAGCAATCACAGTGCGGTTCCTAAAAGGGAAGAACTGTGCAGTGAAGGATCTTTGTACTAGGTTTAAGATCTCTGATGTGTTCATTCCAACATGTTTTTCATCTATGATATAGTAGTAGTTGATGTTGTAGTGTGTTTTAACTTAAAGCAAAAAATGGGGAAACTTGAAGGAGAGAATAGGTACTACTGGTGTGAATTCATGTTAATTTGACGCACTTAACAAGAACATGGGAAAAAGTTAAAGGCCAATCAAAGTACTATTATTATCCGTGTAACATTAAAGGGGTCAGTTTAGCATATTGTTTCCCATTTAAGAGGATACATCAGAGAAAAAAAAGTAGTCTGATTGTTTTGTCTATTGCCTTGACATTAGGAATAATCATGAATACATTGCTCCATTGTTTAGAATGTATCAGTAAAATGCAATGGGCCATGCTGTATGTGTTATAAGAGTAGCACAATGCTAAATATGGAGCAATTCGCAGAAATCTCTCATTGATTTCTATGACAATTGCTTCACATTTAGCTTTTACTTGATAAATAATCTTTCACAAATAACCCAGCTTAAACCCTTAAGGACCAAACTTCTGGAATAAAAGGGAATCATGACATGTCATGTGTCCTTACGGGGTTAAATGGCTTGCATAAATTGTCATTTTGTGGCCATCATGTACACTAAGCAGTTTAATTCAACCTATTTGCAATGCACAATATCGATAAGTATATTAAAATATAAAGTAAAAGCACAATGGTTTAATTGGTGTACTGTACGTTTAATCAAAAAGTAACTTTTTATATCAACATACAGTTAAGCTATGGCAATCAGGTGCGTTAGTTTCACACAGACTAGTTTATCTGCTTTGAAGAGATGTTTAAGCAATGATTAACTTCTAGTTATCAGATAATTCCCATTGGGATCTCGAGTGACTAATCAAAAAGGGTCCGTCCGTACTATTTCTATTTTCTTTCCTATAAACATTCGCTTTCCAAGAGAGATTCTTTTTAGCTTTTCTTCCACTAGTACTTGAAATGGCCAGCCAGGCACCATTTCTAAATGAAACTGGTTACCTGGGGATGTTTGCAGTACTTTCTTTGGTCTCCCAGATTGATGACCTCACTGAGTTCCTTCTCAGGTCCATTAAAGTCAGTGGTGTCATCCTTGTAATAAGTTCACAATTTCCTAAAAAGTTTTTAAGACCATTCCCAGTGAAAGGGAAACAATTGAATCTAGAAAGTTTTGTAGTCCATCCTGCACCACTTAATGTACACTCCAAGCACAGCTGCACCTATTCAGGAAGGTTCATGCACTATATTTCTTATACCCACATAGATTTTTTTTATTTTTTTTATGTATGAGCCAGCAATTTGCTTAGTCACAGTGTAAGAGAAGGTATGCCTCAATCTCTCTGTGCATGTACTTTGATTATGTATGCACACGTTTTGTGTCCCACATTCTGTAACAGACTCTCTCATAGCGCATGTGCCATAGCAGCCTCCTATGTGAAGCTGTGTTATGGCATTTACTTGATTGTGCAGTTTTATTCATTCATATATTTTATACTGGTGAGCAGCACTATTCATGTATGTCCTGACGGCTTGTGGAACACAAAGCTATCAAAGACAAAAGTGCAATTTCTAGCGGCCTCTATTTATATTCCTCATTAATCAAACCAGGCCCCCTAGCCTATACAATAGCTATAATGTTGCACTACCATGACTGTCTTACCTTTTGTTTCCTCATACCCTTGTCTTTATGCTCCTATACTTTATGTGAACTGGCTTGTTGATGAAGGAAGCAGAGTTGAGACATTATTTTATTTACACTTAGCCCTACATCACTAATAGGCCTAGTCGTACGCATATAGCAGATTTGCAGCAAGTGTGTTATGCCAGCCCTCTCTTAAGCTCAAAGGAAATATTGGGGACTTCAGAAATTCACAGCCTCCAACGTATACCAGTCAGTAATCTAAATTACTGGTGCATTAACCAGAGACTGAAAAACCAAACTAAACAGCATGCATAGAGGCAGACATTGCAGGTCTGTGTTCCACTAGCAAATGGGGATTTGCTTAAACTAGTGGCTTCCTTATGCGCCATTGTAATTTTCTTGGTGAGACCGTTTGTTATTCACTAAAAGTGGTAACCATGGAGTCCTCTCCATTTTTACTGGTGAGCATAAAATAAACATTTGGGCCTGCTTTCTAGGCCGCTGCCTAAGTGTTGTGAAGGACAGGTAAAAGACTGCCTGATAGGGAGTGGGCACTACTATTTATACTGATTTCTCAGCTCTGTAAGTATTGTTGTAATACTTGTATTATTGTGTACATGTTTCATAGGAACTAGGAATGCAACAATGTAGCACTAGGCTGAACTATCACTTTTTATACAGAAAGAAGGAATGGTAATCATCTCCCCTTTCATGTTTTGACATAGGTTTCCCGTCTAATACATACTAGTACCACAGTACAGAGAAGAAATATTGCAGCCCAAGGACAAGAAAAGTACACAGAAGCTTTTATTAAAAAGCAGATTGAAGAGTTCAACATTGGAAAAAGACATTTAGCCAACATGATGGGAGAGGATCCTGAGACGTTTACCCAAGAGGATATTGATGTAAGTATAGGCGCTGTTCTGTAGAAGTAATTTAGTGTGGAGGTTCATATTGAAAGTGCTTAACTCTGTTGTGGCTGTCCCGGCTTCCTGTGAATTTTAATCAAACTGTCGTTACATGGCAGAATACATCACTTTCACTCGAAGTGGATTTGTTATCCTGTTATTGGGTCAGTCAGATCTAAAGGTACATCACTATGTTGTCATATTATTCTATTATTCTTTGACTTGAATCCTGTCTCTGTTATGGGTCATGATGGCAGCAAGGGAGGATTGCTGAAATTTTAGAAATTTTACCTTATGTTCCATTTTCATTTTCTTTCCGCCAAGCGTTTACCAGGGAAACAATCATGCAGTCCTTTTTGAAGCATGGGAAAATGTTATGTAGTGATACTGCAGTCCAGCTAGTGGTCACAATCAAGTTTTAATTACAGATTATATCTGACCCTTGCAGTTCTTGGAAGAAGTTAGGCCTCCTCATTTATAGCAGATAATATTTTACCTGCATGTAATCTGTAATTCAAAACACCCATGCCTCCGGCATAAAATAGAGGTCTAGATTTTTTTACAATTTTTTTTTTTTTTTATTCCATCTGCCTAAGGTTAGAAGTTCCCGCAAAAGTCCTGCTCAGCTTCCTTTCCCATCCCCTTCAAGTGACCTCATGCTACTCCAACATGCTATTCTTCGAGTTGTTGTATTGCTTCCTCTGATATGTAGATCATGACTGTTATATCATTCTCAATATGATGTTACTGGCCTGAAGAAAAATCTGCATTCCCTTTTTTTTATTGATGTCCTCATCTGATTTGGTTTATAGATCAGTGGTTAAGGTTTCTGCTATATGGTCTCTAGGACAATGTTTCTTCACCTCGTTTTGCCTCTCAAATGATGTACATGGCATAATTATTCCTTAATAAAACTAGGTTAGTTATTTTCAATTGTATTATGATGGGGTTTCCCTTGTGCTTGGGGGAAAAGGCATTAGTGATTACAGCAGACATTTTGTAGGCTTTTCCCTGGGGTCTGACAAGCATGACATGCCTATTTCACCAATAAGTTTCCAGCTTTGTATCCTAATACAGGACTAAAAACCACTTTTGCCCACAAAACACACAAAAGCTAAAAATAATTCACCCAGGAATGATCTACATTCTTGCTCACCTTTCTCTGCTTTTACTGCCTTTACCTGTCTGAACCATATACTGATTTCTAACTTTGAGTGGGAAAATATATATACATATATATATTTTTAACATCTTACTCATTTGGTGTTTGGTGGGGAAATATAATCATATGTCAAGGTTCTCATCCTGCTTTGCTACTCCTTGTGGTATTTGATTGAAAACATACTGAGAAACATTACCCTGTTTTATATTATGTGTTTAGTGTGTTAAACGGGTTTCTAAAATTGGTAAGGAAGGGTAATGGATATCTAAAATTGGTAAGGTAGGGAAGGGTAATGGATATCTAAAATTGGTAAACGGGAGTTTTTTTGGTTTTTTTTTACCTTCTTTCTTCACCCCTAAACATGGCTATAAATCAGCAGTCACTGAGCTGTGTTCAACTTGAAAAATCAGGCCAATACAGTGTAGTAAAACGTAGGACAGCTCATTGTCTGCAGCAGTAAATCCTCCTCCTAAAGTGTTGATCCACAGAAGACTTGCGTTAGACTCCAAGGAAAGGTTTAATCCCGTTTCAGACTGCCGGTGCTCACGTCTACCACCGCAATGCGAGCAGATTGATAAATAATGCTGCCAAGTTCTCTTCAATTGCTTTTTAATTGTTATCTCTGCTCTTGTTCAGAAAGCTGCGTGTTCTCCTTCCTGCTAGGACGAAATCTTCTGCAGGAAATTTCTTTAATTGATTTGCTGTGTCCATTCTATTTGCCGTATCATTTTTCACAATGTTTCATAATTTGTGCTCATTTCTAATGAACAGAGTCATTAGAACAGGCATGACTAAATACAACTGACAGCTAACATTAGGTGCCAGATGCAGTTTCTGATGCTACGTAGAAGTGAAGAGAACAGTTTAAATAAATTAGCACCTGTACATTAGTCTCACTTGCTGGTAATTTATAAGCGAATCAGTCGAGATGACATTTAGGTAAGTCATTGATCACGTTAACAGCTGCCTACCCACTGCCCAGCTGGGATAACTAATTAATAGAGATAGCAGGCTGACCTGATGGGTTTCCCAGACCATAGATTGTGCTATCTTATAATTTCTCTCCAGCCAGAATAAAACCCTTTTGTTTGCTGGATATCTTCTGCAAACAATGAGTATTGAAGCAAAGTAAGTGATTTTTTTATTTTATTTTTTTTTATCTAATTGCGGCTTTAATTTTTGTGGTTTGTATCTCCATGTGTTATTTTACACTTAGGGGTTTATTAATTAAATACCAAATTGTAAAGAATTGAAAAGTAATAAATTTTAGGCAAAAATAATGTAAACTATTTTGTCTAATTTCTGTTATTAATTTGAGTATAGTGAATACACCCCTAAGTGTAAGTTAAACCTACCTTGCATTTAGGTTTTATGTTGTAGTCAACAGCATGCGCTGTACCTTTTGGGGTTTGCTTTTGGGGGGAGTGATTGGATGTGTTTATATATTTGCTTGTGCTGCAGGATATATTGAAGCTTCAATAAATAATTGGTGATTTGTAAATTTCATAACCTTCACCTTTTATACTATGAATTAGCTCTGCTTTTAATATTTTTCATATTTTTGTTATATAGTAATCTAGATTGAAAAAGTTCACCATTAAAACCTATTTTGTTTATGCTGTTGATCCAAAAGAAGGCAAAACCCCTCCATCCCCCCAAACAATTGTTGCAATTTTCAAATGTACCACAATAATGGGAAATAAATCTTTGTTGACTCCGTAATGGCAATCAAATTTACATACACTATATGGACAAACATTTTGAGACACATGATGATTATACCAATACGGACCTTTATGACATTGCATTCTAAATACATAGTCATTGATATGTTGTAGGTCCCTCATTTGCAGCACAGCTTCCACTCTTTTGGGAAGGATTTTTATGAGACTTTGGAGAGTGATTTTTTTGCTCAATTATCCAGTAGAGCATTTGTAAGACGCGGATGTTGGATGAGAAGGCCTGACTCGTAGTCTGTTCCAGTTCATCCCAAAGTTGTTTGATAGGGTTGAGGTCAGGCTCAGTGCGGGTCAGTCCACACTAAACATATCCAACAATGTCTTTATGGAGACCTTTCTTTGTGCACTCTTGTGGAGTCATGCTGGAATAGAAAATGACCTTCCCAAAACTGTTCCCACAAAGTTAGAAGCATAGCATTGTCCTGGTAAACTGAAGCATTAAGATTTCCCTTCACTGAAGGGAAAAACAGCCCCTTCCATTTATCCCACCTCCACCAAACTTTACATTTGGCACAATGCAATCAGACAGGTAACCTTCTCCTTTCACCCGCCAAATCCAGACTCACAAATCAGACTGCCAAACAGAGAAGCGTGATCGGCACTCCACAGAACATATTTCTACTGTTTCAAAATCCAGTGGCTGTGATCTGACCCTTGGCATTGTCTTTTCAACAAAAACGAACATCCGTGCCTTTTTAAATACCTGCAAAAGGGCTAGGGCTGCGCCCGAGGCTAATATCAGTAATCTATAATGACAAACAACCAGACCAAATGGTCTAAATGGAGATACAACAAATATGCCTATATAAAATAGAACAGTAAGGCGTTTAAAAAATCCCAAGTGAACAATAAAATTGGTAATTCTCAGGAATATAAAATGGTAAATAAAAAGTCACATAAGTCTCTCTATATACCAGGATGCCGATGGTGTAATATCGTCAGGATATTACACCATCGGCTATTTTGTCGTTTTCCCTTTCTCTCCACATATACGGATATTTTAACCATCCGGACGGATCAACTCCTGAGGACTGCCAACTCCCCCCCTATCCTGGTATATAGAGAGACTTATGTGACTTTTATTTACCATTTTATATTCCTGAGAATTACCAATTTTATTGTTCACTTGGGACTTTTTCACTCCTTACTATTCTATCTTATATATGCCTATTTGTTGTATCTCCATTTAGACCATTTGGTCTGGTTGTTTGTTATTAAAGATTACTGATATTAGCCTAGGATGCAGACTTACCCCTTGTGCATCTTTCTATCTTGTTCTAAAGGATCTTGAGGGATTCCCTTTTTTGGGGTTCCTGCCCTTTAGTCTGTTATCTAGCACTGACTCTTCCCCCCCCTGTTCTTTTAAAATACCTGTAGAATCTGATCGCACAACTTCGGTATGTAGAGAATTCCACATCATTTTTGTCTTAATGTCATAATGACACACACGGTGTTGAAACATTGCTTGCCCTTTTGTATGGCTGAGAAAAAACAATATTACACCGTGATGGCTGAGTGCTGAAGTTTTATTTTTATATGGTGTACCCTTTGGAGCTATGGTCTGGCCTATGGTGCAGATCCAAAAGATATATTTTGTTATAAGCGTTGCAGTTGTCAGAAGAAGTGAGCAACAAACAATTATTCTCCTCCTCCTATGCAGTGTGAGGAAGCATTAGACTGACCAGCAATGGGCAGCTGTGATTGGCTGAGAGGGTCTGCCTTTTCGATTGTGGAAACACATGGGGAAAAGTAATTTTCATCCATCTCTATGTGGAATGTAGATTACCGTATTTTTCGCTCCATAAGACGCACTTTTTTTCCCCTCAAAAGTGAGGGGAAATGTCTGTGCGTCTTATGGAGCGAATGTAAAGCTTTACTTACCTGTGTTGGAGCATGGGCTGGCTTCACAGCGCGCTCCGCGGTCCAGGAACTTCTATTTCAGGTTCCGGTTTCCGGCGGGACTGAAAGGAAGTGCACACTTCCTTTCAGTCCCGCCGGAAACCGGAACCTGAAATAGAAGTTCCTGGACCGCGGAGCGCGCTGTGAAGCCGGCCCACGCTCCAAGACAGGTAAGTAATTATGGGACAAGGGGAGGGGGGGGAGAAAGGGAGGGGAGACACTATGGGAGAAAGGGAGGGGGAGACACTATGGGAGAAAGGGAGGGGGAGACACTATGGGAGAAAGGGGGGAGACACTATGGGAGAAAGGGGGGAGACACTATGAGGGGATGGGGAGACACTATGGGAGAAAGGATGGGGAGACACTATGGGAGAAAGGGATGGGGAGACACATGGGAGAAAGGGATGGGGAGACAATGGGACACTATGGGAGAAAGGGAGGGGGAGACACTATGGGAGAAAGGGATGGGGGAGACACTATGGGAGAAAGGGATGGGGGAGACACTATGGGAGAAAGGGGAGGGGGAGACACTATGGGAGAAGGGGAGGGGGACACACTATGGGAGATGGGGAGGGGGACACACTATGGGACAATGGCAGGGGGGAGACACTATGGGAGGGAAAGTGCACTATGGGACAATGGGAGGGGGGGACACTATGGGATCAGAACACTAATGGACAATGGGAGGAGGGGTTAAAGAACACTATGGGACAGTGTAGGAGGGGTTAACAATCACTATGGGACAGAGGAAAGGGGGGGTTAAAGATCATTATGGGACAGGGGAGAAAAAAGAATATTCTGAACAAACTGTTCCATAGTAAGAAACACTATGGAACAGTTTGTTCAGAATATTTTTTTTTTCTGGGTTTCCCCCTCTAAAAACTAGGTGCGTCTTATGGTGAGGTGCGTCTTATGGAGCGAAAAATACGGTATTTGCATAAAGTGAGGGAGATGTTTAGTCGAAATGCTTGTATGTATTAAGTGGTTCAGTCAACAGATGTGATTTGATTTAATATACACTTGTGCCTACTGTTTGTCAAATCAATAGTATCGACTGGGAATAATACACTATGAAAAAGAAATGGATTAAAATGTCAGTCTCACTTATATTTTTGATGTTTGACGCAAATGGATTAATACATTGTGTTCGTGGTTGTGAGGCTTTTTCTAGATCATGTTTGTGACAAGTCCACAAATGCTTGACTGTTTAAAATAGTCTTCCATCAATAACAATACATAACACATCATTTTGTTGCTTGTTATCTGCCCACTGCTGGCAAATGCATATTTGAAATGTAATTGCAGAATTTTTTTTGCTGCGGCTTTATACTTCAAAAGTTTAAATCTTATTGCCACCTGAACATGTTCACTGTCCCGGTCCTTTTATTGTTACACTAAAATCTTAATTTAATGGCCATTGAAGTGATGCTAAAACCCTTCAGTTATTTAAACATGCATAGGGATTTAGGACTGTGCGCAAGTAACTATTTTTTCTTTGGTTTTTATTGTATGTGTACTATGGCAGCGATTCCCAGTGGGTCGCGCTGACCCACACATCAAGTGCCGCCAGAGACTCGAGTCAGGCAAGCAGACTGACACCAGGAGGGGGGGGACCCTCTCTCCCCCCCCCACTGTAGCATTCTCTCCCCCTGCCCTCCCACTATAGCCTTCTCTCCCCCTGCCCCCCCCACTATAGCCTTCTCTCCCCCTGCCCCCCCACTATAGCCTTCTCTCCCTCTGCCCCCCCCACTGTAACACTTTCTCACCCTGCCCCCCCCCCCACACTGTTACCTGCACACTGCCTCCCACACGGTCACCCTCACCTCTCCCACACACTGTCACCCTCACATCCTGTCTCTGCATGTATGTGTATCTGAGTGTCCTTTTGTGTGTCAGTGTGTATCTGTGTACATGAGTGTCTGTGTATCTGTGTGTGGGAAAATAAGTGTCATTGTTTGTGTATTGCTGTGTCTGTGTGTATTTGTGTGTCTCTGTATGTGTATACACTGCACACATATTCCATACAAAAAACATGCTTACATTCAAACACACATTGTGTACATGTATATTTTATATACACAATATACACACACTGCATCCACTACACACGCACTGCAATCAATACAAACATTACAAACATTACTTACAAACACACCCCTGCATCAAAACACTAAAATTATATACAAACACCCCTTAATTCAAACACCAACACTACACACAAAGAGCACACCTGCATTTAAAGTCCTACACTACATACAAACACACCTGTGTTCAAACATTACAAACATTACAAACAAGTACACCGCTACATTCCAATGGCAACAGTACATACAAATGCTCCCATACATGCACACATATACTTAATACACAAGCATGCTTACATTCAAACGCCCAAACACTGCTCACAAATATAACCCTGCAACGATGGGCAAATGGTAGATTCCCAGCTGGCATAGCATTGTTGAAGTTCTCCGACAAATGGCCACACTTGCACTAGAAGGGGGGCCCAGAAAACATACTTGCACCAAGGCCCTCTCTATGTTAGTTCCACCACTGGGATAATCAACGTGAGGTGCTTGGATGAGCAGGACACACAACTTCTGATTCTGACTGAGTCTGTGAGTAAGCATTTGTAAGCCTGTAAAACTGATTACCATGATGTGCAAAGTTTCTGCCTCTAAAATTGCCATGATATGCTAAATTATGCCTCTAAAACTGCAATGATATGTCAATTGTATGCATCTAAAGCTGATTGCCAATTGTGTGCCAATTGTATACTTTTAAAACTGATTGCCATGGAGTGCCAATTTTATGCATCTGACTGTTTGCAATGGTATGCCAACTGTATGCCTCTAAAACTGATTGCCATGATGTGCCAATTTTATGCCTCTAAACCTGGTTGCCATGGTGTGGCAATTGTAAGCCTCTAAAACTGATTGCCATGGTGTGCCAAGTTTATGCATCTAAAGCTGCCATAATGTTCCAATTGTATGCCTGTAAAGCTGATTGCCATGGTGTGCCAATTGTATGCCTGTAAAGCTGATTGCCATGGTGTGCCAATTGTATGCCTGTAAAGCTGATTGCCATGGTGTGCCAATTGTATGCATCTAAAGCGGATTGAATAGTGTGCCAATTGTATGCCTCTAAAGCTGATTGCCATGGTGTTCATTTTTTAAAATATGCATTTAAAGCAAGTGGGTCTCCAAAAATTACCATTTTGAAAAGTGGGTCTTGGCCCATAAAAGTTTGGGAAGCCCTGTACTATGGCCATTGCTGCCGCCCAGGAGTAGTGGGAGTCTGAGCACAGACCTTATTTTTCTGTATTTGTATTTGCTTTTGTATTACGCAGCTATGTTACAATGCTACCACCCATCCCACGTGTTCCATATTAAGGGTTAATAAGTATGTAGGGGTTTAGAAAAATACCCCCCTCTGTCTCATTAGAATTTTTTTTTACCTGAAGCTGAAAAGAAGCAATAGGTTTGCTTTGAAATTGCAGGTATGCATACATTTAATGGCCATTGCAGTTGTACTAAAAATCTCCAGTTATTTAAGTATGCAAATGAATTTGGGATAGTGAGCAAGTTAATATTTTCTTTGTTTTTTTTTTGTATATATTGGGGCTGATGTATTATGTTCATTGTTACCACCCGGGAGTAGTGGGAGTCTGCATTTCCTCCCCTCTTTCCCCTCATGATTTGCTACCCATATAAGTTCAGCACGAGTTTGTCATCAAGCAAGGCCAATTCTCAAATGCAAAACTAATTCCTTAGTGCTCATGGTCTGCCCTGAAAGTATCGTTGCCATACCCCCAATCCAGCCTCACTCCATTTCCATGCCTTTCAAAGTTTGCTTTTGCAAGGTAACCGTTCATGTTATGGAATGAAGCCCACAGCATCAGCACTCGCCAGCAAATCGACAGCAACTCTTGATTTTTCAGCAATGACAATTTCATAAACACTAGAGCTTGAATTGTCAATCCTGTAAAATACCTGCATGTCTCAATGTGCCCAGACATATTCACATGTGCTTTGTCTAGTACATTTACATTGTTTCTCTAGGGTGTTAGAAAATTGAAATTCACAGAATAGTATAGGCTGTGTAATAAGTGTTTTCTTTGTGGGTACATTGAATTAGCTGCAAATTGTACAATTCTTTAAACTGACAATGTTTGAGTCATGTTGTGTATCCTTGACTGTGCATTTTCGTTTCTTGCACATTTAAGGGACATTTAATGGAAAAATAAAATCCCCAGATTTTGGGGTAAATTAATCCTTCAGAAAACTTATGACTATCATTTGTCTTATGCATAATATTTGCACTCTTTTCATACATTAAAAAAAATTAAAATCAAGAAAAGGTTGTATGAACATACGTTTTGCTTTTAAAGTAGGCTTCACATGAAAGAAGTAGCATTGACATTGCTTGTAAAATAGATAAGGCTGATTTTTCCACTAGCATTATGTGTGATGCCTTCAAGCAAGCCAGATGAGTTATGTTGTATATCTGTATCAAGACTGTGATTTCAGCATAGAGATTACACATTAATGTCTCTGATCATATTTAGTTATGAATTCCTTCTAAAACACAATTTCCATATTTTGACCTGATGGTTACATGTGAACTAATTTCTAAAGGTGAGGTTTATTTCTGTAAAAACCTACTGAGACCCAGCCCATTAACCTGTGTCCTTTGTACTGGACATTTCGTTCACATGCATCTTCTCTTATTCTTTTGAGCTGCCCTATCAATCCCTGCTGTATTGTAAAGAGGACATCCTGGGCTTTCCAGTGATAGGCTGGGATGCTGGGAGCTTCCTAGGTCGGAAATCACAAAAAAAGAAATTGGAAGACCATTTTTTTTCCCTCGGTTCCCAGAAGGATAATATTTCTCGCCTTTTAAAGTTGGTTCACATGGATGTATAATAGCTATTTTCGTACATTCCATAAAATGCCTATCTTTGCAACAATTTGGTTAGAATCCAGATATCCTCAATGTAAAACAGGTGTATTCCAGTAAAGGCTTGGCTGGTAGTGCTGTAGTAGTGTAGCTTATGATTAGGCAGACTTTGGAGTCGTGTTGCCTTGAAAAGAAACGTGAGTTAATTAATGATGGGCAAATGTCAATAGTGAGCCAGCAGTGTGTTCCAGTTAGGACAAAGAAAAGAAGATTCTAATGATTAAGACAAATGCTGAAAAAATAACTTTACACAAACAAATGTTTTCAATAAATATATATATATTTTTTTAAAGTGGGTCTTATGTTTCTATTTAACTATTGCATTTTTATATTTTAAATAGTACTGACTGCCAAAAAAGTCGAACAGTTGTGTTATGTGACTCTGTACAGATTCCCTTTTCTGTAGTTTCTGTAGTGGTAATTTTAGAAGATACTTTTTTAGCCTTATGTCATTGGGTGCCCAAGAGCTGGTTGGCTATCCACCTTAGGCCCCACTCCTGAGGCGGGCTGCGAGAGCTGTCCATTCCGATCTTCTTGCAAATCTCGCTTGCACACCCTGTAGTGATACTGGCTGCCAGAATATGACCTCATTTTGGTCATCAAAATCAACGGCACGCGAGGGAGCACAAGAAGAAGATCTGAACAACCTCACACTAGACTCTAGGACAGGATGCTTACCTAAAGGGAGGCTGGTGAACTTTGAATTTAAATATCAATTAAAATTAAAGAGTGAGTGTCAATATTAGTGTGTGTGTGTGTTAGTCTGTCAAATCAGTGAGGATGTGTGTGCCTGTCTGTGAGTGGGTGTGTCACCCTGTGTTTGTCAGGGAACGTGTGTGTGCCTGTTTGTGAGTGGATGTGTACTATTAAAATGCAAAAGGAACTGCACTAATTTTATTTAAGCATAAATTGGGTGCCGTCAGGTTAGCACAAACCCCAAACAGTTGAATCCAAGGTAGAAGAAAAAGGTCCAGGCACATTTATTTAGAACAAAGATTTTCCACCGTTTCGAGCATACGTTCGTCTTTGTCAAGCTTGACAAAGACCTAATGTAGCATCGAAATAATGCTGGGAAAACTTTGTTCTAAATAAATATGCCTTACTGAGATTTGCCTGGACTTTTTTCTTCTACCTTGTTGGTGAGTGTTTGTCACTGCAGCTTTGGCAGGTAGGGGTGGGGCAAATTTAGATTAGAGGGAAGCCCGAGTTTAGTCATGCCTAGGTCAGCACAAAACCACAATACACCACTGGCACCACTTTTTTTTTTTTGTCAACCTATGAGAGTAAGAAACCATAATGAGAAATAGTAATAAAAGTAAACTAACACGGATAACCTCTTTAAAACAAACATACTTGAGACCTACCGTATATACTCGAGTATAAGCCGAGTTTTTCAGCACACTTTTTGTGCTGAAAAACCCCAACTCGGCTTATACTCGAGTCAGTCTGTATTATGGCAATTTACATTGCCATAATACAGACTGGGGGCTGGCAGAGCTGTTACTTACCTCTCCTGCAGCTCCTGTCAGCTCCCTCCTCCTCCGCGCCGGTCCGGTCAGCACCTCGGTCAGCTCCCAGTGTAAGTCTCGCGAGAGCCGCGGGGTCATAGTGCAGCTCTCGCGAGACTTACAGTGTGAGCTGAGAGAAGAGCTGCACGGACCGGCGCGGAGGAGGAGAGAGCTGACAGGAGCTGCAGGAGAGGTAACTAACAGCTCTGCCAGCCACCCTCCTCCCCCCACTGAACTGCCAATGCCACTGGACCACCAGGGAAGGAGAGCCCCCCTCCCTGCCATATATCAAGCAGGGAGGGGGGACAACAAAATAAATAAATTAATAATATATAAATAATAATAAACAAAATAATAATATAACAAAAAAATGAACTAAAAACTAAATAAAATACATAAATAATAAAAAAAATAAAAATAATAATAAAAAAATTATTAAAAAAATAATAATATAACAAAAAAAATGTAAATAATAATAATTTTTTTTTATAAAAATGCCCACACCCCACCAAGGCTCTGCAACACAAACACACACTGACTGCATCACACACACACACACACTGCATCACACACACACACACACACTGCATCACACACACTGCACTCATACACACACACTGCATCACACACACACTGCATCACACACACACTGCATCACACACACACTGCATCACACACACTGCATTCATACACACACACTGCATTCATACACACACACTGCACCACACACACTGCATTCATACACACACACTGCACTCATACACACATACACTGCATTCATACACACACACTGCACTCATACACACACACACTGCACTCATACACACACTGCACTCATACACACACACACACTGCATTCATACACACACACTGCATTCATACACACACACTGCACTCATACACACACACTGCATTCATACACACACACTGCATTCATACACACATACTGCGCACTCATATACACACTGCATTTATACACACACTGCGCACTCATACACACACACTGCATTCATCATATACACACACTGTAAATAAATATTCAATTAATATAATTTTTTTAGGATCTAATTTTATTTAGAAATTTATCAGTAGCTGCTGCATTTCCCACCCTAGTCTTATACTCGAGCCAATACGTTTTCCTAGTTTTTTGGGGTAAAATTAGGGGCCTCGGCTTATATTCGGGTCGGCTTATACTCGAGTATATACGGTATTTTTATTATTGGTTTTATTTCTATGGATGACAAATTCACCTTCAAAATCTAATTACCTGGAAATTAATTTCTCCTTTTCTGATGTCATGCTTCCCAGCAGATTTGGGTTAGTTCTGCCATATCTGGTTTGTTTACAGTTATCCTGCAAGTATGCACAGCGTGCACACGTGATCAGGCACACTCAAACTGTGCAGATTACACTTGCAATTCAGCATGTGGACAGAGTGCTTTAGCAGCACTTTGCAATGTGCATTCCTGAATGGGTCTGGACAACATGTCAGTTGGTCAGTTTTCCATGTTTCCATGACTAATTTACCCACTTTTTAAATTTATTTGTTTGTTTGTTTTTAATGGGACCTGTTCTCTTTCCACTTAGGCCAGCCCCATTATGGGTCACCCTTGAACCAACTTGTCCTTACTGTATCTCTCATTAGGATGTAAAACAATGGGAAGGTGCATGACAATGATACAAAAAGAATAACTGATACACAGTAGCTCTGGAATTACAATCATCCATAAAAGCACACCATCTCTGCCAATTTTTATTTTTTTTATATATAATCTTGAATGGGTCAGTCTATTCAGTGCGAGACAGGCCTCTATGCTTAGTAAGGTTCTAGGACTTATTAAATATCTGTTTATCCAGTGGTTGAAATAAAGTTCAGCTTTTTATAGGATCACCGGAAACCAGTAGCTTTGTGAGGTTAAACATGCACTTTATTTTCTAAAGCTAACAAAACATAATTTGATATCTTTTTATGTTCATTCTTTTTTTTAATAGATATTACATTCATTGTTAACAAGTAAAGGGAAAAAAAAGATACTTGCCTTCAAAGATCCTGAATTTGCACAGTTGCTAGAGACTTTCTTCAGTTTCAGCTTTCATTGCCTAGGAAGATACTCCACCAATTAGCAGCCTCTCTGGGTATAATCATATCCCATAGACACCTGTCCAGCAGGTACATATGGGATAAATAGTTTATCTTGAAGCTGTAGCACTACTCAAAAAAAAAAAAAAAGCCAAAAAAAAAAAAACAGCTGTACCAAAGCTTGTATCTGATGATCCACAGCCTTGTTTAAAGTTTGGTTCCAGAGCATTGTATAATAAAATCTGTGTCTGTTGCCAGCAGAGTATTGCAACCGAAGAACATTGGATAATATAATATCTTTCTATATCCAGCTGAGCATTCCTGCAGCTGATCATTGAATTGTATAATGCCTCTATATACCGCAGAGTATTCAGGTTTTTTTAACATTGAATAATCAGCAGAGCGTTCCTGCAGCTGGACATGTTTAATAGAATCTTCTATATATTTGACCATGTTCCTGCTCTAGAGCACTCTGAAATGCATAATCATTCTTTGGAACACTGGTTAATAGATTCTTTCTCAATCCAGCAGAAGATTCCTGCAGCTGAGCACTGGATAATATAACCTCTTTATATATCCAGCAGTGTATTCCCGCTCCAGAGCACAGGTAATAGTCTCTATGTGGGAGATTTAGCACTGAAAAGAGTCCTTTATTTTTGGCCTCCATTCCCTTTGTATTTATTAAACTGGTCTAAAAAGTGTCACCTTTTCAGTGCTTAAGTTAGACCTTTTATTTTCAAAATGATCCATTTCAGAAAAGGCCGCCAAATTTTCTGAGTGGCAGAGAAAAAAAATTAAAAGAACACTTTTCTGAAGGAAAATGTGATGGAAAGAATGTAAAATCTGTTGCATAGCCAGAAAAAATGGCAAACAATTAAGAATGACCGACTGTTGGGGTGCAAAAGAAGCAACACATAAAAACATTCTGGCAGATTTAAGAAATAACTCAGGAAAAAAATAATAAATGCAAAACTGTCTGCAACACGTTTATAAATCTCCCTTTGTTTTTCTATACAGCATAGTACTGGTGTTCTAGAGCAGCGGTTCCCAACCTGTGGTACGCGTACCCCCAGGGATACAATTCAGTGCCCCGTGGGGTACACGAACAGAAATCATTAATGGTGGCCATGTCCGCGCAGCTGCACCGCACTGACTGGGAACCGCCAGTCCATCGGATGGCACATGCACTTAGGGCCACCTGATGGAAATCTGCCATGAGGGGCCCGGTCGAGTATTCTTGCGCTTTAATTGTGCGACCGTACCCTTAGTAAGCCGCCTGGAGAGCTGGGAGGAAGTGCGAGCCTGTCACGTCCTCCCAGCTGACTTACTCTGAGCCGTGCGTGAGGGAGGCGGGCGTCGACCCGCGATGTGGGAGCTGGTCAGGAGAGGAAGCAAGAAACCCATCTGACCGCCCCAGCCATGGAAGTCACCCTCCTGCTGCCAAAAGGTAGGATGTCTGTGTGAGTTTCTGAATCTGTACTTATGTGAGAGTGTATGAATCTGTATGTCTGTGTATCTGTATGTCCATGCAGGTGTATGTGTATCTGTATGTCTATGCAGGTGTGTGTGTGTGTATCTGTATGTCTATGCAGGTGTATGTGTCTGTATCTCCATGTGTGTTGGTGTGTGTAACAGTGTGTCTGTGCAACTGTATGTGTGGCAGTGCTTGTATCGCTGTGTCTTTACATCTGTATATGTGGCATTGTTTGATACACATACTGACCCACATACAGGTGCACAGACACACTGATACACATGCAGATGTACAGACATACAGATACAAACATTGCCACACATCTGCATGCAGATACGTAGAGACAGATGCAATCACTGACACATGCAGATACACACTGATACACATACTGGCACACATGCAGATACAGTGTGTCTGTGTATCTGCATGTGTGTCAGTCAGTGTTTGTATCTGTGTGTCTGTATCAGTGTCAGTGTTTGTATCTGCATGTGTGGGGAGCAGGCAGAGCCTGGGTTGGAGGGGGGGTAGGGAGAGAGGAGGGGGGAGCAGGGGGGGAGCAGGGAGAGCCTGGGTTGGAGGGGGGGAGAGTAGCAGGGAGAGCCTAGGTCGAAGGGGGAGAGCAAGGAGAGCCTGGGTCGGAGGGGGAGAGCAAGGAGAGCCTGGGTCGAAGGGGGAGAGCAGGGAAAGCCTGGGTTGGAGGGGGAGAGCAGGGAAAGCCTGGGTTGGAGGGGGAGAGCAGGGAGAGCCTGGGTTGAAGGGGGAGAGCAACTATGTTCATTACAAACATTTTGCTATTATGAGGGATACAATTTATGGAAATTGGCTGCCAAGGGGTACTCAAATGAAAAATAGTTGGGAACCACTGTTCTAGAGCATTGAATGCTCTAACTATATCCAGCAGAGAATTCCTGTTCAAACTCTTTATATAATCACTCCTGTTTCTAGATCCTTTACCATACCTCCCAACTCTAGTCTCCTGAGAAGTGGGATTCTGAAGGAAGGGGGTAAAGGGAGTTTTGTGATTAGGGTAAATGGGGCATGTCATGCTGCCTGCAAATCATATATGGCCAGGCCACTTTAACAGACACTGCAGGGAGCATTGTTTTAGTGCCCTCTGCAGCTAGTGCCCTTAATGTAGGGTGAGCACGTCTAATAGCGCTCCCGCCGTTGCAGCTAGGCATTGGATAATAAAATATATTTCTTTGCCCTGTTCAGGAACACTAGATGCAAGTCTCTATGCAATTCAATAAGCTGACAGAGTGTTCATAGCACAACACTTGATATGATCTTTCTATCTTTCTCTCTCTTTTTCTCTTTATCTTTCTGTTTTTCCTCTCTTCCTGCTTTTCTATCTATCTTTCTTCTCGTATTGGCGTAATGCGACATCAATTAGTTTTTTCACGTTTCTCTAATGATGAGGGCATGGAAAAACAAATGCACTGCCGACATTGATTTATTTATGCACCCAGACTCCGTAAGTTCCATAAGAGAAGATAATCGCAAATTTGTAATTGTCATCTTTTACTGCTGTGTAATTAATCCATAATTTCCTTTTGGGTATGATTGAATTATGTTTGCCACATATCTGTCAATGACAAATTCTTTATTCTAAAAGTCATTATCATAAATCAGTATATTATATATCAATGTATTTGGGACCTCAACCAATTAAAAAAAAAAAAAAAAAAAAATGGTTCTCCAGGCCATAGGGAGTTTATCCTGTGTCTCTGCGACAAACATAAAAACATAAGGCACAAGTAAATTAATCTGAACAAAGCATTAAAACGTGATGGCATTGGAGCTGTTTTGAATTTTGTATGTAAGTCTGTGGCCTTTCATTGTGTTTTATAATAGTAAGCCAAAAATATCAGGTGACAATAAAAAAGGGGGCAGAACTGATTTAGTGCCACCTTTTTTCCATCTCAAAAATTCCTTTTGGAGCAAGCTTCCAAAATATAATTACGCAGACGTACTGAGTTTAATGTAACTCCATGTTTGCTTTCTCACCCTGTGTATTAAATTTGTGTGCTTCTCTAGTTCATGACCAACTGCGGTTACGTATCTGTCACCTTTAGAATAAAATTAGACTACATGGTTCCATTGTTGAAAGAGAGACGTGTTCATAAAGTTCAGCCTATACTGCCATTATCCTGTTGATATGGTACCTTATTAATACCTGTACAGGCAATTTTTTTTTTTCTTCCAACCTCTATATGAATATATTTTCTTTGCATGTTTTTGTTTTTATTCTTTTGCCACCTTTTTAATCTAGGGATTAAATTGCCATGGAGGTAAAAGGTCTATGCACCATAACCACGTTAGACTTCGAATGGAGCAGCAGTAAATTGTGGACCAAATCACAGCAGCCATATATATATATATGATACCATCATCGAGGTCCGCCTCCTCTGATGTCATCCGATTAATGTGTGTGTGTGTGTATATGTATATATACACACACACACACTAATCGGATGACATCAGAGGAGGCAGACCTCGATGATGGTATCAGATAAGTGAATAAAGGGTTATTTAACCATTTGCATTGCTTGGGGGGAGTGGGATGGCATAAGGAACAGTATCTCAGAGGGGATATAAAAATGTTACACACATATATATATACCCACATTTTATAGAAATGCAATTTTACTCAACGTAAATTTCTTTTTCCTTAATGTGGTGGCAGTACAATAGGTATGTTCTCCCTAGGACAAGCATCTGAAATTAAAATTAACCTTAAAAAGTTCCTCCCCCAACAGGTATAAGACACCAACCTGCCATAGACACTCCGTACGTTCTAAGAAAACATCAGAGACTTAATACTACAAAAAAATATCAAATTTAATAATAAAGAAGGGGGAATGATGTACTGCCACCATATTAAGGAAAAGGAATTTACGGTGAGTAAAATTGCAGTTTTTCCTGACACATGGTGGCAGTACAATAGGGATATATCGAGATACCACAGCTATGGGCGTGAATTATGCAACCACCGTTTGCAACTCTTTATGCCCGAAAGCAGCGTCAGAGGCAGAGTATATATCTAGTCTGTAATGTTTGACTAAGGTGTTAAATGAAGACCATGTAGCAGCTCTGCAGATATCTTCTGGTGAAGCTTGCCCTTTTTCAGACCAAAGAAGTAGCTATGGCTCTTGTAGAATGAGCTTTCAAGGAGGTTGGTAAAGGCAGATTTGATGAAGCATAAGCCAATTTTTTAGTGTCCACGAGCCATCTAGCTAGAGTAGACTTAGAGGCTGTAAACCTTTAAATTTACCAAAGAAATCCACAAACATATATGGTCAGTCTTCCTGAATTCAGAGGAGTGGTCTAAGTAGATTTTAAGGGATCTTCCGACATCAAACTTGTGCCAATTTTCTTCCAGATCGGAGACAGATGTATTACTAAAGGCAGGCAGGGAAATGGGTTAATAGCCCTGGAAGAGATTACTTTTGGTAGAAATGAAGGTTTTGCATATAAAACAACTTTGTCTAGAAGAATCTTTGTAAATTCAGTAGAAGATGACAAAGCCTGAATTTCTCCTATTCTCTCTTTTTTTTTTTTTTTTTTTTAATAGACCATAGCTTTAAGGAAGTTTCCTCCAAAGGTTCGAAAGACTGGGAACAAAGAGACTTTAACACCAAAGACAAGTCCCAAGAGGGAAAAACATCTTTCATTTGAGGCCTAATGAGCCTGACAGCCTTAAAAAACAAAAAAACAAAAACAAATTTCTAACAAGAATATCTGAAGCTAAGTTCTTGACTAAAAAATGGCTCAGAGCAGATACTTGAACTTTAAGGGTAAATAAACTTAGACCCTTTTGAAGGCCGTCTGTAAAAAAGGCAAAATTGTATCTGTAGAAGGAGAGGTTTTTAGGCAATGATGAGAGCAGCACCAATGAAGGAATTTCGTTCAAATAGATAGCAGAGGTAGATCTCCTGGTAGAATTCAGCAGTATTTTGAATCTCTCTTTCTTCATGCCCCAGTTATACATGATTAGCCGTGCAGCAGCCAACCCATCAATTTGAACATCTTCAATGTTTCTATTGGATTCCCTTTGTTCCCCAGGAGCTCTGTTGAAACTGTAAGTTCCCAGTACTTTAAACCCATCGTCTTCAAAACAGAGAACGAGCTCAGATTTGGCCAGTATGGAATTATGGCCAGTACAATCGCCTGTTCTGTTTTCACTTTTTGCCAATTTCAGGGGAAATTTGTATGTGAGGCTGAAGTCCCATTTGATTGACAGACCATCCAGGACCTGACGCATGTCTGACTGGAAGAGGTAGGCAAATGCTTGTACCTTTTGTGTTCGACCTTCTTGCCATAAGATTTATGACAGGTAGACTGAATACTTTCACCAGTTGATAAATAAAAAAAATGACCGGGTTCAGAGACCATTCGTTCTGGGACCATCTCGATCTGCTTAGGTCATCTGCAATTATGTTGTCTATCCCTCTTATATGAGTAGTGGATATGTCTTCTAGATGACTTTGAGCTTAAGACAGAATTTGTGTGCAAAGGATGTGCAACTTTATCTTTGTACCTCCTTGTTTGTTCAGGTAGGCTACCGTTGTCTGACTGAATTTTCACAGCTTTTCCCACAATTAGAGAGGTCTGAACTGATGAAGAGCATACAAAATGGTTATTAACTCCTTGTAAATTGAGGATTCCCTTCTTTCTTCTGCGGACCATGTCCCTTGCCTCCAATGATACTGCAGATGCGCTCCCCAACCTGTGTTTGAAGTGTCTGTGGTGAGTATGACCCATTCTTTTGGTCGAAATGAAAGACCTAATAGGTAACTGTTAATTTTCCACCAATTCAGTTGTCTTTTTAGAGGATCTGACAGCTTTATCAAAGTATCCAAGTCTTCCTCTTTCTTGGACCACTTTTGTAAGAATCTCCCACTGCAAAGGCCTTGATTCTGCCCTGGACCATTTTATCACTGGGATAGTGGTGTAACCGCAGCCGGTTCCCCTATTTACCACTATAAATCTTAAAGCATAGAACTTAGCAGGGCTAACCATACAGTTATCTTAGCCATAATATTATATAGTCTGTAAGAGATCCTCTATTTAAAATATACAAATAATTGAGAATACAATATAAAATAAGGATTGGTTTGGAAACAATAACATTTTCTCTTTAGATATTTTATTAAATAAAAATATAAATATAGACATATAAAACCCAATACAATAGTTTATAGCAGAGTTTATAAGATTAAACTATATGCAGCGTTTCTGACTCCAAATCTCTCCCCTGTGTCATAACATTGAAAGTACACATTGTGACGAAATGAACCTCATCACGGGTTCTTGGAGGGGCCTGCTGGCCAGCCTCTTGCCTCTGGACTATGGGTCCTGCAATATTCCTTGCCCAATGCACTTGAAAAGGCTCTGTTCATTTGAGTTATGTAGTATTGTACTCCAGACAGAGAGACCGACCGTTAGCCCTGATTCCCTGAAACTGTTTTGGGCACAGGACCATGTGCACGGTCGGTCAAAAATAAGACTTACAGGAAATTCCTGAACCCCTGAACTGATCTGGGTGATTTTTGGATATGTTGGTCACCCGGATCAGGGCCTTCATGGGATGTAACTTTTGTGGGGGCTGTATGTTTTAAGGTATTTTGGGGGGGTTTGTAAAAATGTATGTTTATTTTCCTGTGCTTGGAGATAATTGGATTAGATCAGTACAGTTCCTGATCCAATTATCTCCCAGGCACAGAGGAGGGATTATCTGATTTATGTTTGGGAATGTCCTGGAGAGCCAATGTGATTGTGTTATACTCTCAGGTCCAGAGGGGAGGGCCCCTTGCATTGGAACTGTCATAAAAGGCCAGTTGTGGCTACCATTAAACTGAGATTCATTTTACCCCTTCATGAAGTCTTGGCTCATGTTTGGGGGATTGGAGAGCTATATTTACTCTGGGGATTGCTATAATCACTATACTCCCTTGGATCACAATGATTGCTCTTGTAAAAGCAGCCTGCTTTGCTCTCTGGCAGGGCCGGACTGTGGATTCCAAAGCAGCCCTGGAAAAAAAATCTATGCCAGCCCCATAAGTCATTGCGCCATATATTGTCGCATGTAATATGTAAGGCTATGTCTTGCAACCCTAGATGATTCAGATATATATATATATATATATATATATATATCTCCAAACGGATCTTGCACTCCACCAATTCAATATTCAATGCCCGGTGCTTGTCAGCCAAAAATGCTAAAATATTGCCAGAGATAGCACTCCAAGGACTAATATAAAATATAACTTTTATTACCTCCACTAAAACAACACAAGGTCAACGTTTCAGCTTGATCCCCTCAAGCTTTCGTCAGGACATCTGTGAGTGTCTGTGTCAGCAATGTGTGTCTGTGTCATTGTTTGTGTCTCTTAGTCATGGTGTGTGTGTCACTGTCTGTCATGGTGTGTGTGTGTGTGTGATTGTGTGTCTCTGTGTCATGTTGTGTGTGTCACTGTCTGTCATGGTGTGTGCGTCTGTCTGTGTCATGGTGTGTGTGTCTATGTCATGGGGTGTGTGTGTGTGTGTCTGTCATGTAATGTGTGTCTGTGTCACGGTCTGTGTGTGTCATGGTGTGTGTGGGTGTGTCTGTCTGTCACGGTGTGTGTGTGTGTGTCTGTGTCACGGTCTCTCTGTGTCGTGGTGTGTGTGTCTGTGTGTCACGGTCTGTCTGTGTTATGGTGTGTGTGTGTGTGTGTCTTTTTAAGGTGTGTGTCTGTCATGGTGTGTGTGTCTGTCTGTGTCATGGTGTGTCTGTCTGTCATGGTGTGTGTGTGTGTATGTGTGTTTTTACTCACTTTTTTTTTCTCCACGTCATGCTGGTCTCCCCTCTCCTGGCCCTGCCTGTACGGCTGAAATCATCAAGCTTGATGATCTCAGCCAATCCGCACTGACACAGGAAGCACCTCTAGTGACCGTCTGAGTGTCTGTCACTAGGAAGCAATGTAAACACTGCCTTTTCTCTTAAAAGTCAGTGTTTACATTGAAAACACATACCATGACAGACACACACCATGACACAGATAGACCGTGACACAGACTGAAACACACACACACACCATGACAGACAGACACACCATGACAAAGACAGACACACACACACACACCATGACAGACACACACCTTAAAAAAGACACACACACCTTGACACACACACACACACACACCATAACACAGACAGACCGTGACACACACACACACAGTGACACAGACACACACATTACATGACACAGACAAACACCATGACACACACAGACCGTGACACACAGACACACACACACACCATGACACAGACAGACCGTGACACAGACAGACACACACACACACCATGACACAGACAGACCGTGACACAGACACACACACCGTGACAGACAGACACACATTACATGACACAGACAAACACACACACACACCATTACACACACAGACCGTGACACAGACACACACATTACATGACAGACACACACCATGACACAGACAGACCGTGACACAGACTGAAACACACACACACACACACCATGACAGACAGACACACCATGACAAAGACACACACACACACCATGACAGACACACACCTGAAAAAAGACACACACACCTTGACACACACACACACACACACCATAACACAGACAGACCGTGACACACACATTACATGACACAGACAAACACACACACACACACCATGACACACACAGACCATGACACACACACACCGTGACAGACAGACAAACATTACATGACACAGACAAACACACACACACACCATTACACACAAAGACCGTGACACAGACACACACATTACATGAGACACACACACACACCATGACATAGACACACATTGCATGACACAGACAGACGCACACACCATGACAGACAGTGACACACACACCATGACAGACAGTGACACACACACCATGACTAAGAGACACAATGACACAGACACACTCACACACCATGACACACACAGACAGACACACACACACACACCAAGACAGACAGACACAGACACACACACATACACAATTTCTACCTGTGGGGAGCTCTTCTGGCGGCCGCAGAGGGAGCTCCTTTGGCGGCCGCATGGTTTGCTGGCTGTTCTTGCGGCCGCAGGGGGAGCTGGCTGTTGTGTCTCTGCTCCCCCTCCCCTGCGCGCCGCTTAATGAGACCGGGGCCGGAATATGACGTCATATTCCGGCCCCGGTCTCATTAAGCGGCGCACAGGGGAGGGGGAGCAGAGACACAACAGCCAGCTCCCCCTGCGGCCGCAAGAACAGCCAGCAAACCATGCGGCCGCCAAAGGAGCTCCCTCTGTGGCCGCAGGTGAGCCAGTTGGCTGCCCGGCCCCAGGTGCCGACGGCCCACCGGGAAATTTCCCGGTATCCCGGTGGGCCAGTCCGGCCCTGCTCTCTGGTAAAGGAGAGGTCTACCCACTGGAAGCTGGATCCTAGTCTTGGGTCCTTTAAGTCCAGAGACTTTTCCAATAGATATAGTAGTCTTTTTAGACAACTGAGCAACCTGTACATCGACTGGTAAATCATCCCACTTGTCTTCTCCTTGTATTTTAAACATGCTGTCTAAATGCCTGTTTTTTTCCACTCCTTGTACATAAGCTCCGGAATCTGCTGTTGAACTGGTAGGGCTATTTTACTCGACTTTTCTGATACCTCTTCAGAGAAGGCAAAATTAACTTCCTTAATACATTTTCTTAGTTCTTGTTGTGGGAAACCAATTTCCGTTATTGAAGAATCGCTAGACGTTTCTGAATAGGAAGACATAGAACATTCGCCTGAAGACAGCTCTGATATAGATGATCTCTTCCGTTTTTGCCTATGTTTAAATGGTGCTTTAACAGGTGTTGTAACATTTGACTTAGCGGTTTCTTTGAATTAATTAAATGTTTGAGCCAGATTGTTTGGAAACCAAGATTAAAATGATTTCATGTCCTGTTGCTTGGACTTTTCCAGCGTTCAGGACGAACACTGATGGCAGATCCTTTTTTTTGTACCATCTGGTAGTGATGTGGAACATTCGCTACAACTCACATGTTTCAATTTATAGTTGGCTTTTTTTTTTTTAGGTATTGGAGAAGTCATTTTGTCTTCATCCATAATATCTGGAGAGACAGGACTAGACCTATCTGCAACACTTAACGACAATACAAAATTGTTTCAAAGATAAGCCAAATAAAATGAACATAGAGATCTTAAAGATTTGAGACTGAAAAATTCTCCTCTCTAAAACCTCTGACCCAAAGGGGGGGCTGGTGACACGGGAGATCCTTCTCCGCAGGTTGAAGACAGGCCACTCAGCTCTCCTCCCGGGATTCTATCAGGCCTGTCAGCAACCCATGTGCCTCACCAAAACGTTCCAGATGCTGTTTGTTCCTGATGGAACACGAAAGAGACATCACTGCTTAGTGTGTGTTGTTCTGTGGGTGCAGGGAAAGGTAGATTTTACTGATTTGAAGCTGTCACTTGCAGGCTGCTGCCATCTCCATCCAGGGAACACTCTGCAACTACTGGTGTTTCACCTGCCAGAAGACTTCATCAGTGCTGTACTATCATGCATGCATCTCATGACTACAACACTGATACCTATGCAGGAGACTGGGAGCCTCAACAGTCATCAGTGGCAGCTGGTGGAATTGACAAAAGTTCCTTCTTTCTCTTGTGATGTATTTTGACTGACTTGAAATCTCAGTGAAATTCCAACACGGAAATTGTGAATAATTCATAAAGATTTTATCTTTATGACATACTCAACTTTGAGAGAGCCGCTTTAAAGAAAAGACCCAGAGCAGACTCATGGGGTATTTCATTTGAGCTATTAACAAATTCTTTCTGAACACTACTATATGTAATACTTTCTGAACACAATAATATGTTCAATTTAAGGACAAGCATTTTCATCTAAACCAATTGATCTTTATCTGTACAAAAAAACAGGTTGCGCCAAAATGTGTAAAACAATAGAATAAATATATTAAAAATTCCAAATATTCAGTCAAATATCGCAAACCCAGCTGTTTCTAGATTCTTTGGGAATGTTGGATCTTGATTAAGGTGCTTGCAAATATATGTAGGGAGACACAAACTGACAAATAATAGTGCAGACTGTTTTGGCACAAAAATAAGACTCACAACAGTAGTATATGATGTAGCACTCACATGTTATGGAGCTTAAACTAGCTCTAAGTAAGATTGCCTGCAGCGGTACAATCCCCACTGATGGATATAACATATGAGGCGAATATCTCAATGTCAAATGCCTTGGCAAAATCGAAGTATATCACATCAGCTAGAACACTGATTTAAACTTCTATTGACTTCTTCACGGAATGCAATTGACAGGGCCCTCTAAACAAACTCTACCATTTAGGAACGGTTTGACATAAACAGGGGTATTGCCTGTTGCCTTGAGTCTTACCCCTTCTCATCCTCTAGTCGATAATAGGCAACTAACACTATAGCACTGTCATCGTTTATTTAGTCTCTACTGGTTGGCGTTGGTTGATTGCAATGGGATAACCCACCCCCAGCACTCTGCAGACACCAAGGATGTAAGGAGGTTAATGGAAATGAGCTAGTGACCATGAGAGGTGGAATTGGCCTTGTGAGCATGAGAGGTGGAAGTTAAGGAATAGGCAGGTGAAGAATGGGCTATGAAGAGGACTTATTAATTGGGCTGGGGACTGGGTATGCAAATACATACTTTCACACACTAACCCTTCACACAAACCCGTGCATTTACACACTGAGCCTCTTCACACATATGCCACTGCATATTCACACACAGGCGCTGCATCAAAAATCTACTCCATAATTTACACACTCACAGGGAGTAACAAAGATGGCTGCTTCTGAAATGTTAGTTCCAAATAATGCTACTTTTCTATGGGAACTAGCAGGACATTTTGACATTTCTTTGCATGAACTGAAATATTGTCTCCATGCATGTCTTTTTATTTAGATTGATTTATTAAAACAAAGTGAAAACCTACAGCATGGCTTGTTTTAAAATCGAAATCTAAGCTGCTTAGTGTGCTTATATGGCCGTAATGGGTACTATCAAAATTTAATTAATACACCCAAGAGTCCCGTAATGGATTAAAGCAGCTGCTTGTAATTTGCATGCCAAATAAAGTAAAAGATAACAATAATTCCAGCATCTTTATGCATCACTATTCCTTTTTCCGATATATGACTTTTACTACCTGAGGTTCTTTAACGAATAACCTATTCAGTGCCAACGAATGTGAGCAGAAAAGGGCATACAAAGTGTTAATAAAATTCTCTGTCAGCTGTAAAACACAACATGCAAAATAATGTAAGTATTGGGGACATACCAATGAAGTGGTCATGGTACTTGGAGTAGCCTTTTTTATTGCTATGTATTGTCTTTATATTTCTTCATAATCGAAACACTTGGTTTTCTACCAGTTATAATGTTTTGGTTTGTGATTTTTTTTTTATTTATTTTTTTTTCTCACCAGGATACATTAAAGGAACTGGGATATGATTATGTACAACAAAACAAAAATTGTGTCCTTTAAACTAGAGGAGGCTTGTAGAGACATTTTTTGTGGTTTAGTAGTTATGATGCCAGGAGGGCCCTGGCACCACCCTATTGTAAGTAGTCAAACCATTTTAGAACGGTTTGACTTCCAATCTTGTGTTGAAGTGTTCATTTAAAAAGGCTGAATTTTACCTCATCCTTGAATTATAAGGTTATTATATGTAGTGATTAGAGTAAACTCTTCAATAGAGTATAAGCTTGTTTTATTTTCATGTATTTTGCAGTATGAAATCTCGTCCATGAAGTCTCATTTAAACTCTAGTTATGATTACCAGCCAGTGGAGGAATACATTTCTCTGCCAGAAGCCCCTAGTCACTGATCTAATGAATGTAAGGTTGCTGAAAAGGTCTGCTCACCTTTTGCTTCTAAACACAGGAAGTTTCAATGGTTGATCTAATTCCTACAGTCAGGGATGGGGAGCGGTGAATGGACATTTCACTGTCAACAGTACATTTGCTTTCCAGAGATTGATGAATATTGCTTTGGCAGTTTTAAATACCTTTTATTTTGGAACTATATGCTTTAACTGCATTGATTGTATGTGGGCATTATGCTCAAATGCAGACATTCTTTTTAAATTCTGTTGTCTGATTTAGTAAGCTGCACTTTGAGTATTGCCTTCCGGTTCTTCACAAATACCTATAAGCAAAGTATTTGACCATTCGTATTTATATATTTTTGTCACATCTATTGTATGCGCTAAAATGTTTGCTTTTTTGCATTTTGCTTTTATACTAACATTTTAGACAAAGTGTGAAATATTGTATGATGAAGGACACTGTATACGATCTAATGCTTTTCATTTCCAAAACATTGTTACAAAGGATGAATGTAAAATAAAAATTGTGTAAATGTACATAATTAAAATGTTTAAGTTTGTCTGCAAAGCAATTATACACAAAATTGTGGTGTTTATTTTTTTATATGCTATCTATGCATCACTTGGTTCAAATACATCTTATGCTAATCCTTTTTAAATAAAAAAAAAGTGCTCAGTAGAGAAGGGCTTACAGAAAAAGAATTGAACTTTTTAAAATGAACACCTAGCAGGGATACTTACCAAAGTGAGAATTCAGTGAATTTCAAATTGAAGACTATAGTAGCAGAGCTGATAGAATAGTTGATATATTGTATTCTTCTTCTTTCTGAATCCCAACTTGTGAGATGCACTGGAAACAAAATTTCTCTTGAGTACCCAATATTTTTCGTGTGATTGTGTTTAGTATTTCCCTAATCATGCATTTTCAGAATAATAAAAATATAGACTAAATTGTAGAGTTATTTGTAGGAGCGATTTAGTAATGTATTCATTTGTAATTTGTACCATTTTTATTGTTCTTTCAGAGAGCTATCACATACCTCTTTCCATCTGGCTTATTTGACAAGAGAGCACGTCCAACAATGAAGGTGTGGTATACATTATATTTTATATATAGGGAAACCATTGGGGTATCTGAAAAATAAAATATATTTTTTTTGTACATCAGCACATCTGCAGGGAGGTGTTTCTTAGCTAGTTCTGATCAGCATATAGCTCAGGCAACACTCTGATGTGTGATATTGCATATTGGCAGATGGACTGTTTTATTTTTATTTTGAAGATCATGTACATAATTTACTCAATGAGACTGCTTTCTGAAACCATTCTAAGGACATTACAGAATGTTAATTTGTTTGCTCACACATGTATAACTTCGGGCATGCTGGGCATAGTGCATTATCAGAGAAGTCAAAAGGCTGTTCCCTTCACAATGGAAATACTTGGTGCAAAGATAGTTGACACATACCAAAAATAAGAGATGATTTAGTATTTTATAATGCATTTTGGTGCACCATTAGATCTATCATATGAGCTGCTTATTGTAGCTGGGGTTTTTTTTTTTTTTTTAACACTTATTCAGCCAAATACCCCACTCCAACACATTTCTAATAAGCACGTTTTTCAATTAAGTTGATTCATACTATAAACATCTGTGAGTCTTGTGCATCAACACTGTATGCATTAAATGCCTATTTATAAATCACTTTTAACATTTTCAAAAGTAAAGGTTAATGTTTTTGGACTCCATTGCAAAGATTCCTTCTCCTAGCATTTGTATAAATATGTAGTGTCCTGCATGCATTTGTAGGCTGAATGGTTTAAAGATGAACATTGCTAATGTAAAGATGTATGTTATACACTGAACAAAATTATAAACGCAACACTTTTGTTTTTGCCACAATTTTTTCATGAGCTGAACTCAAAGATCTAAGACTTTTTCTATATACACAAACAAAAGGCCCTTTTCTCAAATATTGTTCACAAATCTGTCTAAATCTGTGTTAGTGAGCACTTCTCCTTTGCCGAGTTAATCCATCCACCTTTCAGGTGTGGCATATCAAGATCCTGATTAGAAAGTATGATTATTGCACAGGTGTACCTTAGGCTGGCCACAATAAAAGGACACTCTAAAATGTGCAGTTTTATCACTCAGCGCAATTCCACAGATGTCGCAGGTTTTGAGGGAGCATGCAATTGGCATGCTGACTGCAGGAATGTCCACCAAAGCTGTTGCCCGTGAATTGAATGTTCGTTTCTCTACCATAAACCATCTCCAGGCGTTTCAGAGAATTTGGCAGTACATCCAACCAGTCTCACAACCGCAGATCTCGTGTAACCACACCAGCCTAGGACCTCCACATCCAGCATCTTTACCTCCGAGATCTTCTGAGACCAGTCACCCGGAGAAGACTTGGTTTGCATACCCAAAGAATTTCTACACACATTTACAGAAACAGTCTCAGGGCAGCTCATCTGCATGAGATACCGTGACAAGATCCCGAGGCCCATTGTTGTGCCATTCAACCACGACCATCACCAGTATGATCATGCACAGCCCCATGTTGCAAGGATCTGTACACAATTCCTGGAAGCTGAAAACATCCCAGTTCTTGCATGGCCAGCATACTCACCGGAAATGTCACCCATTGAGCATGTTTGGGATGTTCTGGATTGTCATATACGACAGCGTGTTCCAAGTCCTGACAATATCAAGCAACTTTGCACAGCCGTTGAAGAGGAGTGGACCAACATTCCACAGGCCACAATCAACAACCTGATCAACCCTATGCGAAGGAGATGTGTTGCACTGCGTGACATAAATGGTGGGCACACCAGATTCTGACTGGTTTTTGCACATTTTAGAGTGGCCTTTTTATTGTGGCCAGCCTAAGGCACACCTGTGCAATAATCATGCTGTCTAATCAGCATCTTGATATGCCACACCTGTGAGGTGGATAGATTATCTCGGCAAAGGAGAAGTGCTCACTAACAGATTTAGACAGATTTGTGAACAATATTTGAGAGAAATAGGCCTTTTGTGTACATAGAGAAAGTCTTAGATCTTGGAGTTCAGCTCATGAAAAATGGGGGCAAAAACAAGTGTTGCGTTTGTAATTTTGTTCAGTGTAGATATATTGTGAAGAGAGTTTCCATCACGTGGTAGGTAACTTGTAAAATCTCTTCCCATAGCTTGGCTTGCAATACTGTGAATAGGCTGATTGCAGTCATAGGATGACTATCTATTTATTCAGGAGTTACTCATTCTGTGTAATAAGTGGAACTGCATCTGGGACTGAAATCATATCGCATCAAATCCGCTGGACTGGTGTTTCTTTGATTAAAATAAAAGACCAGTATGAGAAGCTGCTGATTGATGCAAGTGATGCAGTTTTAGAAATTTGTATTATTTGTGTGTCACTTGTATAATGTATATAAAGATGTAAATTTTGCTTATAGTAAAATACTCAATGCGAGCATCTATATTTGGGCTGTATCACCTTCACGCAGGCCTGTCTTAAAGCCAAAGTTGTACCAAAGATCCATCAAGGTCTATCAAGCTTGATAAAGGCCAGATATTAGCCGAAACGTTGCTCTGTACACATTGTACTCTACATTATGTCCTCTGTTCTTCAGTGACACTTTTTAGGACACTGTAGGCATTTTATTTTGAAATGTGCCTCAGAGACAAATGTTCTGTATGTAGAGTGTTCTGCTTCTATACATACTCTAATAAAATGCACGTTTTTTTCTTATTGTTCTATAGCATCCGGAGGAACTTTTCCCCAAGCGCAGAGGTGAGATTGATTTTAATTAAAAAAAAAATTTTGTTTTTTCCTCCCCAAAAAATAAGTTAAAAGTGCAGTGTTATGCATCTTGGGGGGTTTGGTTGTATGTTGTCGAAAAAATTCATAAATAAAATAAAAATATTTAGTTAAAAAAAAGCTTTGTGACATTTTGTTTCTCCTTTATAGAGTGTACATGAGTGCAGTAAATCGTAACACAGTCTTAAACTGCACAAATAGCCCATTATTCACAAATTTCCCAACTCTATTCCAGTGGGGATGCTGGACTGTTAGTGTGCCATAAGGACTGGATGGGTAACCATGGTGTTATTCCATAGGGACGACTGAGCATCACTGACTGCTGACTTATTCCACCAAATGTTATTATTTATCTTTCCAAAATAACTGATTTTCACTGCAAAATATGTTTATGTTCCTTTAACATTAAAATTATATTTACTTTTAATGTCTGTATTCCTGTGTTTAGATCAGGGCTCCAAATATCCACTTACCCAATAGCCATTGATGAGTAAACATTCAGCCCTGGTGAGTAGAAATTCACTCTCCAGCTTGCAGTGCTGGGTAACATTTAGGCCTGCCTAGTAGCATAGATCATGCAATGTTGATCCCTGCATTTATTATTAATGATGAAGTGCCTCTAGTGACTTTCAGTCTGACAGCCACTAGAGTCATATTTTCAGAGAAATATCTCAAAAACCACAAAGTTTACATTGTAAGATAAACTGACGGCATTTATGCTTAATTAAAACCACTACATTTAAGATGTTTCTTTAATTCCTACACTTAGGACAGGACATGACTTTATTATGGGTACAGGCTAAGCCCATGTCCTCAGCACTTTTTTGTCCAGTGTGTATCTTCATGTGCAGATATCCATAACATTAAATATATGCAATGTACACTATAAATATGGTGTTACAAAATTAATTGTGAAATAGGCTGATCTACACAACTTTAATATAACACCACTGATATTAACAAAAACTGTGCTTTGTTTCCATAGCAATTCAGTGGGGAGAAGATGGACGTCCACTTCACTTTCTGTTTTATACTGGCAAGCAATCCTATTACTCTTTAATGCACGTGAGTTACATACAACCATTATGATTATCCAAACCAGCAGCATAGGAATATAGCTATTATTTTTAATCTATAAATATGCATGCAAATCGATAATCTCTATGTTTTATGGGACAAACACAGTTTCTGTAGTGAATAGGGAATGATGTACATCATATATAACTGTTATTCTGTGTCCTGTTGTGGGTTCTTGTATTTGACCAGTAGATGCCAGGTTACATATGTGCACAGTTAATCTCTTGCTGCCTACCATGTATTGAATTATTGCTGCACCTAGCTGATGTATTTTAGTATTAAGTACACAGTGTAGATAGAAAAATGACTCTTGTGCATCACCTGTATATCTCAAGTTGGATTTGGGCAAGTCCCCCCATGGCAAAGAAACTGAGAGAAATCATGTTTCCACAACTATCCCAGAATTCCCTGTTTGACATGTAAATATGCACAGACGGGCATGATGTTTCAGACTTTACCCTGCATGTCTGCAGTTACCCATAGCAACAGATACTGCTTTAACCCCTTAAGGACACATGACATGTGTGACATGTCATGATCCCCTTTTATTCCAGAAGTTTGGTCCTTAAGGGGTTAAACTAGAAACTTTCTTGTGACTGGTCCCTTTGGATCTTAAAGCTGTGCTTAAAGCAGTGTCCACTGCTAATGGTGCCAGCAAAAATGCAGAGTGAAATCTGTAACACGATGTTTGCATGCTCTCATTTGTATGTCAAGGTGGGAATTCTGGGGTCGTGGAAACATGATTTATATAAATTTCTTTCACTCGTGTGCTTTTTTAATTGGATAAACAATATTTTACAATGAAAATGAAGAAAACATAGGAAAAGGTAATTGTATTAACCTGATTAGAGCTAACTGATGGTGGGGAAGACCAATCTATATTTGGAGGTTAGGCTCATTGCAAGCAGTTTGTGAAAATTGCTTTATGTAGGAAGGGGAGAAAGAGGGTGGGCGTTACAGAGTTGCCATCTTTACAATGTCTGAAATTGGGTCTGTGGGCATTGTCTGTGACTGTGCTTGCACGTGACAGCAATTGACTTCTCCGACACAGTCTGTACACACAAAGAGAGCGCATCAGCCCAGAGGCCATATTGTGTATCACACAGCACTGCCATCTAACTTGGTAGGTCTGGTGCTATTTATGAATAATAGAATGATGGTTGAGTAAGTAGTGACTAAGAAGTAGTTATAGATAGAAAATAAATCACCTTGTTTAACCAATCAACTTGAAAGATTAAAAATGAAGTATGAGAGGTAAATACAATGGCAAATGGTCAGGTGGTGGTGCCAGCTCCACCAAGGGCTTGTACCCTGATAGATTAATAAACTGAAAAATAGAAATGATCTCCAAGAGTAAGGAGATCTAAAGCTGGCAAAAACGTAAATAGACAACGGTAGTAGAATGATACCTAAGGACTCTTTGTAGTTATAGTATAGTTATCAGTGGGGGAACATGGACAACGTTTGATTGTATTAACTAGTGCCCTTATGGAACAAAGTAAAATTGTTGACATATGTCTTTATTGGATCCTTACTAAGTAACAGAGGAACACTAACCTCGCTCCCCCTTCATGGCCAAAAATGGTACTTAAATTTACCTTTATTGGTCTTGCCAAGGGCAGCTGGAAAAATTCCCTCCAAATCTATGGATGTAGGCAGAGAGTGAAAATCTAAAGGGAGGCTGTCCTAGTATATACAGAGACAAGATGATACAAAGTGATAAATATACTATAAACAGACTGCCACCCCTTCTCATCATTTGTTCCCAAAGGTGCTGGGCTGGTGAGTGGATAGTGATAATCCTAAAGAAAGGCTCTCTAAACCAATCCTCTTTTCTAACCCTTAATCTCCTCCAACACCTTCGTGGGTGTTCAAAGCTAAACTCACTCTAAGCGATTGAAACTGCCTAGTCTGCCATAGCCATAACTAACAAGAGCCAACACTATAAAAAACTAAGAATGGGTCTAAATACCCATATTGTGCAGTGAAATATCCCTAATATAAACTGTGAAGTGAAAAGAAACAAACGAGCTAACGCCCGACGCGCGTTTCGGTGTATGGGAACACCTTCGTCAGGGGATAAGAATTGTCAACTGAGAGAACCGGGACTTTTAAATGTATGATAACCAATCAAATGTGGGATCCCCCTATCGTCGTCAGTTACGCACGAGATTAGTCCAGCGTCACTGATGACGCGCCGTCCCACGTGACGGTGGGTGGTAACATGAGAGGGATTCCTCTATTAACATGCCGTCCCACGTGACGATGGTAGGTAACATGGGAGGGATTCCTCTATTGACATACCGTCCCACGTGACGATGAATGGTAACGAGGGAGGGATTCATCTATTGACGTCATATAATTGACAGGACTGCCTGTCAATATTAGCTGTTCTCAGGCTGATGTAGATATGGTCAATATTAAAATAATATGAGGTTAGTTTAAAAGAATGAATGTTAGATATGATATATCCTCTTCTTTAGTGGATTTCTTGAGCAATGTGTATTATACAATCTAACCCATAGTGGTGCCATTATTGTTAATTTAATGCGCACCCCTCTCATAATTTGTAATACCTATATTAGATTACTTAATATTATATGTGATGCATTCTGACACTTGATAATGAATTAATCAATAGTTGGAAGTATTTTTATACAATTAAAGTGATGACATAGTCACTAAATTAGAATTGCCTCCATTCATTAAAAGGTATATATCAAGTATTTAAAAATTACCAGTATGAATTTAGAAAAATATATACAGTTTTAAGGTAACATATTTTAATACCAAATCTGGGGCAATTAAGGTGACCATGTGATCATACAATTGATATTGCCTCCATATGTTATATAGAGGTATTTCTAATAATGGTAAAGAGAAGAGGGATACAATTTATTGGGATGACATCTTTTATATTAAGCCTATGGGTTACTCAACTTAGAATAATGTATGCTATAGTCCTTCCAGGTATGTATCCATAACTCAATACATAACTGAAAAATTGGACTATCAAAGCTGTGAATCTATGAAAAAGAGTCTCCTAAATTCAGGAGCTAAATTATAATTACACACTGTTCTTCGAGTGTTCCATAATAAGGCCTGTAGTGGCTACATTGTTATTCATCCTATTTGTTATACATTAAGTAAAATTTAATTGGTTATTTATTTAGAATGTTTAGATGTGCTCAGTGTATTTAGTGTTTAATATATATGAAATAATTATTTACAGTACGTTCCACTAATTTACTTGTCAATATTTACATCAAGAGATCATGTAATGAATGGGGAATAGGTGAATCCCTCATTCAGTCCGTTTGGGGACAAAGTCTGTAGTTGATAGATCCAGTAGCACTCCCTCCTCCTAATGCGTTGAGCACAGTTATCCCAGTTAGAACTTATAAGACAGGACCAAAGGAAGGGTAACTGGGATCAACGCATTAGGAGGAGGGAGTGCTACTGGATCTATCAACTACAGACTTTGTCCCCAAACGGACTGAATGAGGGATTCACCTATTCGCCATTCGTTACATGATCTCTTGATGTAAATATTGACAACAAGTAAATCAGTGGAACGTACTGTAAATAATTATTTCATATATATTATACACTAAATACACTGAGCACATTTAAACATTCTAAATAAATAACCAATTCAATTTTACTTAATGTATAACAAATAGGATGAATGACAATGTAGCCACTACAGGCCTTATTATGGAACACTCGAAGAACAGTGTGTAATTATAATTTAGCTCCTGAATTTAGGAGACTCTTTTTCATAGATTCACAGCTTTGATAGTCCAATTTTTCAGTTATGTATTGAGTTATGGATACATACCTGGAAGGACTATAGCATACATTATTCTAAGTTGAGTAACCCATAGGCTTAATATAAAAGATGTTATCCCAATAAATTGTATCCCTCTTCTCTTTACCATTATTAGAAATACCTCTATATAACATATGGAGGCAATATCAATTGTATGATCACATGGTCACCTTAATTGCCCCAGATTTGGTATTAAAATATGTTACCATAAAACTGTATATATTTTTCTAAATTCATACTGGTAATTTTTAAATACTTGATATATACCTATATAATGAATGGAGGTAATTCTAATTTAGTGACTATGTCATCACTTTAATTGTATAAAAATACTTCCAACTATTGATTAATTCATTATCAAGTGTCAGAATGCATCATATATAATATTAAGTAATCTAATATAGGTATTACAAATTATGAGAGGGGTGCGCTTTAAATTAACAATAATGGCACCACTATGGGTTAGATTGTATAATACACATTGCTCAAGAAATCCACTAAAGAAGAGGATATCTCATATCTAACATTCATTCTTTTAAACTAACCTCCTATTATTTTAATATTGACCATATCTACATCAGCCTGAGAACGGCTAATATTGACAGGCAGTCCTGTCAATTATATGACGTCAATAGATGAATCCCTCCCTCGTTACCATTCATCGTCACGTGGGACGGTATGTCAATAGAGGAATCCCTCTCATGTTACCACCCACCGTCACGTCGGACAGCGCGTCATCAGTGACGCTGGACTAATCTTGTGCGTCATTGATGACGATAGGGGGATCCCACATTTGATTGGTTATCATACATTTAAAAGTCCCGGTTCTCTCGGTTGACAATTCTTAGCCCCTGACGAAGGTGTTCCCATACACCGAAACGCGCGTCGGGCGTTAGCTCGTTTGTTTCTTTTCACTTCACAGTTTATATTAGGGATATTTCACTGCACAATATGGGTATTTAGACCCATTCTTAGTTTTTTTTATAGTGTTGGCTCTTAGTTATGGCTATGGCAGACTAGGCTGTTTCAATCGCTTAGAGTGAGTTTAGCTTTGAACACCCACGAAGGTGTTGGAGGAGATTAAGGGTTAGAAAAGAGGATTGGTTTAGAGAGCCTTTCTTTAGGATTATCACTATCCACTCACCAGCCCAGCACCTTTGGGAACAAATGATGAGAAGGGGTGGCAGTCTGTTTATAGTATATTTATCACTTTGTATCATCTTGTCTCTGTATATACTAGGACAGCCTCCCTTTAGATTTTCACTCTCTGCCTACATCCATAGATTTGGAGGGAATTTTTCTCGCTGCCCTTGGCAATATCAATAAAAGTAAATTTAAGTACCATTTTTGGCCATGAAGGGGGAGCGAGATTAGTGTTCCTCTGTTACTTAGTAAGGATCCAATAAAGACATATGTCAACAATTTTACTTTGTTCCATAAGGGCACTAGTTAATACAATCAAACGTTGTCCATGTTCCCCCACTGATAAATATACTATAACTACAAAGAGTCCTTAGGTATCATTCTACTACCGTTGTCTATTTATGTTTTTGCCAGCTTTAGATCTCCTTACTCTTGGAGGTCATTTCTATTTTTCAGTGACTAAGAAGTAGCTTACTAAATTAAATGATGGCAAGGGCTGGTTTGCATTATTCTGGATGACATGGGCTAAGCGGCGATGGCAAACCTATGGCACGCTTGCCACAGCTGGCACGACTTTCAAGCCATATGTTTGCGATCTCCTGGATACTGCTATGTACTTGTTTGTAGCTATTGCTGTCCACACAGTGCATGAGCTGGGACTTACTGAAATTTCCATTCAGGCTGATGGGCTCTCTGACGTCTCCCCATCCAGCGAAATTATCACCACTATGAAAAGGGGACTGCACAGCACTCCCCCCGCGCACACACAGTCAGAGAAGCTGAGAGGCTCCCAGTCTGCTTACAGCACTGTAAATTGGAGGGGTTTTATTTAAAGTGAAATTTGGAGATAATCTGTGGCGTAACGTGGGGATCTGTTTTGGGCAAGAAGTAGCCTTTGCTTTCAGGCAAATGTGGGGATTTTTTGTGTAAACAGGAAGGGAAATAATGGGTTCATCCGACACTGTGTGTGTATTTGTAGTAGCTTGTGTAGATCCAAGTAGAAAAACACCTAGTAGGAAGTACAACTGCTAATTAAACCTTCCACAATACACTAGCTGCAAGGATATGAAGGCAAACCACCTTAGTAAAACCTATGTTTGCTATATTGTTTGATATCATTGGCAGAAAACCATTTGCCATGGTTTAAAATTTGCCTCACCTTAGGACTCCGAGCTGCTGGTGATCTGTGCCCCTGAATGATTAATTTGCTGGATACTCCCATCTCTATTTTTGTATTATTCTCTTGTGTTAAAACATCATTAAAGCTAGGCGAGTACTGCTTCATACCTCCTAAAAACTATTTGTATCATTGAAACCTCTTTTATTGTGTTTTCCTTTTCAGAAAAAAAGCAGTTAATTAGTACAGACAGCTGTGTAATGTGTGTTCCTTAAACAAAAATCCTTTTTTTTTTTTTTATGTTTTTATTTTTATTTTTTAGGTTTAAATGCAGCGTTGATATATTGAGATAAATAGGTTGGTTTTGCATTTCAGTTGGGCTCATAAGGTTTTGCCATCACTGGATTAGGATACTTTGTGGTGTAAATACAGAGAATTTAGTTCCTACATTGGAATTAGTGTAGGACCCACCGATATTGGGGTACTGCAAAGTAGTGATGGGTTTTTGCAGAAAGAGGTGATTTTAAGTAGCCTTATAAAAATAAAAAAAATTAAAAAAAAATGTTTTCTTCATGTGTGCTCTGTTCCCTATTTTCTTCTGTAGGAAAGTCAGTCTATTTTGAAGGAAGTTCAAACCTTAGGGATATACCACAGCATGGTTAAGCATTCTTTTTGCTGACTGAAACCACCTGTAGCTTTACCGATGATTAAAAATGATTATATATCTAGTCTTCTTTTGAGAGCAAAACTGATTAGCAATACATAAAACATACATACTATCTGGACATACCACTACACAACCTGCAGCTTTCTTTTTTAAAAAGTTGAAAATTTGCCATCATCACTTTCGGCACAACCTATATTTACAGCGTTGAGTGACAGCATATCTTTGGTTTCTTGGTGATATGTGTGGTCTGTCAAGTGAATGTTTCTGAATGTTTGTGGGGTCACTGACAAAGCTCAGCCAGTAGCAAGCTGACCAAATGGATTATGGAAACCACTCTAATTTCTCAAGTCTTTTATTTTTAATTTTTTTATTGCATTACTGATTTTTGAATATTTTGCAAATATCCAGTAATGCAGTATATGTAACACATGTCCTGACAGTCTTTTAAGACCGTAAGAAATTGTTTACGTTTTAAATAATTATCTTCATGACCACACTTTTTGCTGCAATCCAATAAGAGTTCCTAGCAGCCCATTTCATGTGTTCTGCTTGGGCTAATGGTGACGTATTAGCCTCAACAGCAATGTGTGGCGGTGATTGGCTAAGAGGGTCAGCTGACAACTTTCAGCCCATCACTGGTATGAATTGGTATGGTATTTGAATGGTTACTTGACTGTCTTATTCTAATTGTAGCATTGAAGTCTGTATTAAAAAGAGCAGGATTAATACCTTCCATGTTTTCTTTCTATTTTTTTATATAACGTTTGTGCACATATGATGTGGATACTACATGATATCTACAGTTACTAGAGTTGTCAAGCTGCTCACTGTTGGAGCAGTGTTCACATGCATGAATTTTGCTCCCCACAATAAAGTAACACTGTGATGCATGGATGATGGCATACACTTGCAGGGTTTAGTGAATATTCATTTTATGGCATGCCACATATACTAGGACAACTGAAATCTCTGGCAACCAAAGCAATATGATTTGTAAGCCATAGCACACTTGCTAGGCACAATTAAGCAAAAAAATTATAGGTCAAGTGATGTTTGCGTTGAACTGTAGGAAATTGCATTGGGAACTTATGCGAGCTGTTCCCTGTCAGGAAGATTCAGTGGAAGGTAGAGCTTTTCTGACAGACATTCAGCAACATTTAAAGAAAGCTACAAATGCTCCATCGAATGTTGAGTGTTTTTTAGTATGATCTGAGAATTTTGCTTGATAGTCTGTTGGTATTGATCAGGCAGAAGAGAGAATTTATTTGCTGTATCCATCTGTAACGATCACACCACAGTGCAAATAGTCTGCACTGTAACAGACATTTAGCATCAAGTAGTTTCTGCCATTTTATGTTGTTAATGTGTGTTCATATGTTTGTGGGGTTGTTTTTTAAATTCTCTTTTAGTGCCTTCCAACTTGGTAATGAAGCACTGCAAATTACATTTACATAAACTTGTATTTTTAAATGTTATTTCTGTGTAATATTGTTATTCTGTCCCCCTTCTTCCCTGGCCGGATAATATCATTGTGTGTATAAATGTATATATTTACATGTCGGCTTCTGTTATCATTGACCTTGAGCAAATGAGTTTCCATGCCCTGGCAGAAATGAATCTGGTGATAAATGCAGAGTGTGCCTTTGCTGAGTAATGGAGCCGCAGCACACTTTCCACAGAGGTTTTCTCTCCTGCTCAGCCTCCGGCAGCCTTAGGACCCCTGCTGTTCATTTAAATAGGTATGTCAAATCTGCCTGGAGACGCCGCCGGTTTGATCTGTGGTAATATTTGTGAAGGTTCCATATGGACTTGTGCCCCCTGCAGTGCTAAGAAATAATGTACAACGCTTCATGGTGCAGACGCAAATTTCCTTAAAAAAAAAAAAAAAAAAAAAGAAAGATGCAGTGCTGCGTTTTAGCTGTCGGAGTGGATGATGGAGAGGACGCGCTAGGCCTGTCAACTCGTTACACGGATGGGTTGCACACAGCGAGGCTGTGGAAAATCTGTGCCTTTTAACTTTTCTACTTAATCACGGTTGTAGCATTGCCTTTAGACTGTATGCTACATTAATTCTCTTCCTGCCTTCTGCCTTTCATCCCAACTTTCACGGCAAAAAAAAAAAATTAGTAAAAGTCTAGCATGCAGGTCTTGTTGAGGCCTTATCAAACAGCTGTCATCCTACGAGCCATTTGCATTTGTTTTGGCTGAAACAGAGCAACCCAAGGGCAAGATGTGTATGTTGCATTTCATCATAATAAAGAAATTACACATTTTGCAGTGTCTAAAGCGCTTTTTTTGTAATGTTTGTGCTTCAAAACTGTTTAACCCCAACACCCCTGGATGTTAAATGTCAAACTATTTTAAATACCTCTATAATTTCAACTGTCCCATAATGAAAATCCATTTGCATTAAGTAGTATTTACTTTTTTTTTTTAAATTTATTTATTTTTTATTGCACTAGGACTGTTGAGTGAGCATCGTAGATGTTTAGACAGGCCAAAGTGTTTCTTTGTGTTCTTGCTTATGGTCCATGAATAAGTGGAGATTTACCATTATGAAGTGCTAAACTGAAAACTTCAGACGGGATTTAGAATCAGTCTATCAATGTATTATAATATAGATAATGCACCAAAATGCAAAAATAAAAACCACTTTTAAAGGGCTATTTATGTGCATGTATGTGAAACGTGTGGATGCAGGGGAGTATTTTGGTGACCTGGGTGTGAATCTAAGGGTATATTGTATGGCATGTCTTTGAGTGGATTCAGGTGTATTAGTGTGGGGAGAAGGGTATACATGTGTGGCATTTCTGTTACTATGTAAGGAATACTATAGTGTTAAGTATGCAAGTCTGTGTTCTCCTCTGCATACAGCTTAAGATCGTCCCTCCCACCTTCTCTAATCTAAATAAACAATAAAAAAGGGGTTGCAATTCTTCCTCCTGCCCCACATTTCCCTCCCCAAGCACTGGGGTCCTGGACCGGACTACCTTGCATGGTCCAAATTGGAGGCTTTTGCTTTCTTAATGTTTGCTGCATTTTACACATATATTTAATATTATTCATGTCAAGACTTTATTTCAAAACTATCAACTACAAAATCACACATACCGTTGAAATGTCTAACCAATGTGCAGCGGTTGTAAATGCAAAGTTTTGCGGTCGTAAAGTTTTTAATGGTTGCACTTTAATAGCACGTCTCCACCATAAGTTACATTAATGTTTTTATTTAACAGAAATACTAGGCAGAGTAATTAAATTCGCTCCACTCTCCTATTTATTTGCAGGGTTTGTGCTTTAATCGATGAGGCTAATCACTTGTGTTGCTTTATTTGTGCTTATTAGAGAATAATCCTGCCATGGAATTTCTGTGCCAGATGTATTACTTTACTGTCAGATTCATGTCCAGTAGTAGCCTGTTATTGTCTGTTTATTATGCTCAATTCAGGTAAAAACAAATCTTTTATTGATTGATTTGATATATATTTTTGACTAAGTAAGGGATTCCTACATTTATAGTCTCTTTGACATTTGATATTGTGGCCAGTTGTCCTAGCACCATTACCACCGTTACCAGTACTCTGTTAATGGCATCCTAATGGTTATAGTATCTTTATGTATTTAGTCCCATTTAAGTAATGAAGTAGCAGATAATACCTTTTTAAGAACTAAAATTGTTGAAAGACGATATGACATTTGACAGCGGGTTGGATTCAACATGTGTAGAGGAACTCCAATTCCAGTTTGTAGTGAATTTATATCTATTTTTTTTCCTTAATATAGATAGAAAAACTTTTCAGATTACTATTTTTCTGGTGTAGTGACCACAGAAGCTGCCTTGAAAATCTTTCTCCATTGTTTTTCACTCTTTTGTTCCGGATATGTCTGCACAGTGAAAACAATAATCAAATAAGGTCTAAAGTGCTTTCAGTCAACCATAACAAAGGCATGACCACAGAGGGACTTACATGACCCTAAATGGCTTCTCCAGCAATTACGTGTGTTGTTCTACCAGGGTTAGGACATTTGTTATGTAGTTGCATCCATTTGGAAGGACCTCTGTGTTCACCCATGGCTCTATAAATAAATGTTGTCACTTATTTAGCTCTGTTTTACAGTATGTCTTCCATGCATCAGTGACTTGTGGTAGCTCAGTCTGAAGCCTATAGAACTGCAGCTGTAAATTCCCCATTGTTTTTAAATGGCCCCATCTGAATGCACTGTCATGGGTAATATTGCTTTATCAACTCTTCTAGTCCCCTGCCTCTGACAGCTTCTCTCGCACTGACAGAATCATTGTTCTTGCATTTTCACTGGAGGATTACATGAATCTGGAAATAGCAGCCAGAGAACAGAGCTCTGCTAACTCATTCTGGGACTGCATAAACACACTCTTACAATTAGTAGAAGTTTTATTTTATTTTAGATGTCTGCCTTTTAGATGTGGTACAATAATGTTTGTCGCAGACCCCTGTGACTCTGACATTATAGGGGTTATGTGATAACTTTAAGTTTTCACGTTTCTAATCTGTGGTTTATTCAGCTTCTTTGTTGACACACACAATTGTGCAATTTGTCTCATTTTAACATTTATCAATTTATGGTTAGACTGCAGACGGATATATACTTCATCATGTTGCATTCTCCTCACTCTCATCCTGTAATACGTAGCATGAAGAAGAGACTTAATATTTGTATTTATAAGATGGGCTGGCTTGTAAATTTAGTGCATATTTGACGTCTGTTGTCAAATAGCTGGTGACATGGCCACCCCATCCATGCTGCCCAAGTTCTCCCATCAGCTACATTTTGGGGACCTCCCTCCCCTTGTGGAGAGGGCGGAGTGACCTCACAAGAGAAGAGAACTTGTGCTCCCGGTAGAATTGGAACTTAGTGCGCGGCTTTGTAGGAAAATGTTACTTTTCTTTGAAATTATGTATTTCTTTATAGGGGGAGTCATATCAACAAAGTTTCTCCATCCAAAGTTTTTTATTTTTTTATTTAACCATTGATTTTTGGTTGTAGAAACCCTTTAAACGTCTTGATTTCATGACAGTTGAGACGATCTAGTCTTTGATTTCTAATAAATAAATGAGGAGACCTTAACTCAGAGCAGAGAGGGTGTCGGTCCACAGCAACCAGCAGACCCAGGGTTTGACTACTTACATTGAGGTCCCATAATAACCACTACAGCACTTTGTAAAATTATAGTGTTTTTAAAGTTCCTTTAGTACGTGCACACACTCCTTTTTCTTGGACACTTGCATATGTTAAACCTCGGTAAACTAAAAGTATAAAAAGGAGCCATTTCCAGCATGGTCTGTCCCTATAAACCAGGGATCTCGTGCCTGCTTTAAACTGCAAAACTAGTCTTTGTGCTGACAGTTTCCATTCCGGTAATTTCATCTTCCTTAAAGTTGTTTGCCAACAAAACCCACTTTTCAGTTGGTCAAAAATGTAATATTCTGCTTATTTTCAGAATATTTTTTTATTTTCCGTTAAAAAAAAAAAAAATCCTAAAAACAGGAAGGATTTTGCTCACTCTGACTGATTTAGTTTGTTTTTGAGTTAAATAATGATTTTCATTATTATCTGGGCTCTTTGTACCTGTGAGTTACTTATTTATTTATTTGGTAAATGGCTTTCTTCCAACCAACAGTTATTTTAAAGGGCAGCCTCACAATGAATGCTAAAAAATAGGTTTCTAGTGTCCGCCACATTATATTCTGTTGCAGTTTTCATATTGTATTTCATATTGTTTTCTTGGTGCCCTGAATAAATATACTGGACAAAAAAAAAACTGAATGTAGTTGGTATTGTGGAATCATGTGCAATTTTAATCTTTATTTAATCTTTTTGTTCACTATTTTTTCAGGAAATGTATGGAAAACTTCTATCAATCCAACAGCATGAAGATCAAATGCGGAAAAAAGGCTTATTCTCTGAAAATACTAAGCGGATGTAAGTTGTGAATGATGTGCTGGGGGGTAATTTACATATATGCAATGTCTTTGTAGAAAACACAATCTTTCCTTGGTTGTATTTTAATTAAAAATAAATAAACTATCCTAAAGTTGTATAAAAATTATAAGTGAATAAGTTTGAAGACCTCTAATATTTTAAACATTGGATATAGATGAAAAATCCGACATTCATATTTTTTTAAAGCTATTTGTACACAGCAAAAAAGGAAATATAAAAAAGCTAATCTTTTGAACAGTCTGTCACATGATTTCCTGATATCAGTGAAGCTTGAACTGCTTTTCTCATACAATAATGCTTCTATTTATAGGAAGCAATTGAAATTGTGATTTTCTGCCGCGTTTCGGTGGATTGTCAAGTCACGCCAATATTAGCGATATCAGGTGATGCGTCTCTAATTGCCTGGATAATTAGAGAATGCTTAATGCTGTATGTTTGTTTTGAACAGAGACCTGATTGGAAGTAGATGGATGATTAAAGAAGAACTGGAGGAAAAGCTAGTTGAAAAAATGTCCGACCAAGATGTAAGCAATTAATGACTTTAATATATATTTTTTAATATAATAATGGAAAAGAGAGAACATTTTATAGAGTGTATGCTGCTTGAAAACCAAATTAAAATGTTCATTTTTAGACTGTTTTATTTTGATGAAATGCACTAAATTCTTGCACCTATTATTTAGCATGAGCTATTTAGCGTTCCTATATAACCCATGTAATACTGGCATCTATTACACTTGCGCATTTGAGCATTATGACTGTCTAAACTCATGGCTAATAATAGGTTTAAAAAAAAGAAAAAAAAAACTCTTGTCAGCTGTAGAAGGCATTCCTTCCAAAACTTAGTTTGTATCTCCTTAATGACAACTTGTGTTCTGCTCATTACTCCTCTCTTGTGGGACCTCTGTTGGCTGTCCAATGACACACTGACTGCCTTCTTCTGGTTTACTGGTTACATTCAGCTTTATCAGATTTTGAACTACACCAGGCAGTTTTTTTAAACTCCTAAATACTTCCCATAAATCTCTCCTGTGCATGGGGCATGTAGGATAAACACTGTGTTCCTTTTGAAAACAATAAAAAGTCAATCAACCAATGTGTGATCTTGCACAAATGGGTTAATACCTGACCCATTTACAGTGAGTTTTCATAGGTCAATTTATCATGTAATCACTTGCTTAAGAGCATGGGAGAAAAAAAAAATAATTAAAGGTGTTTAGAAAATAATTGATTTGAAGAGGCTGCCTAAGAGCAAAGTGGCACTTGGGCTGTATAAATGGCTTGATTGTCTCCTTGTAGAGAGAACAATGATACTAAAAGTAAGTCCTATTTCTCAAGCTGTTGAATGGCCTAGTTGGTTATATTGGAGACAGTAGAGTGTGCACATTGAGCAGGTCTATGTCTATGTATGAAAATCAAATCTTCTGTCATAACACTGTGTAAAGAGATTTACCGGTACTTATCACCTAGCTCAATGGGGGGATTAAAATATCACAGCTTCATTGCTTAAATGTTGTAATTTGATTTTCAGTTCACTAACAGACAAGACAAAGAGGGAGTGAGAGAAAATAGGACTACAGACATTTTTGTTTACAAACATTTCAAGAACTGTAAAGACATATTCGAGATAGATATGAAAACTGATAATTGATCAACATCATCAAAAAGTCTGGTTGTGCCCAAAAACCAATGTCTTTGGTATAAGCTCATCGGTGAACTAAAGCACTTTCTGTTTTGCTGAAACACTGCAAAAGCTGCACAACCTAGGAATTTGCAGCAAATACAGGAATTTCAGACTTGTATACTTTAATTGTTTTGCAAATGTTTATGCAACATCTGTATAATTCATACAAAATTATTTTCAGCTACTCATGTCCTTAAAGGGACACTATAGTCACCAGAATAACTACATCTTAATGTAGTTGTTTTGATGATTATAGTCAGTCCCTGCAGGTTTTTTGTGGTGAACACTGTCTTTTCAGAGAAAAGGTGGTGTTTACATTACAGCCTAGGAACACAACTAGGGGCCACTCTTCACACTGCCTCTAGAGGTCCTTCTTGGGTCAGTGCCGCACATTGTGCAACCCTCCCCACAGAGATGAATTGCTTTAATGCATCTTTATGAGGAGATGCTTATTGACCAGCTGGTGTCAAGAATAAGAATTGACAATCACAGCCAACCAAGCGATTTCTAATGATGTCAGCTAAGGAGGTTGGACGATGGTGGAGCTAGCACAAGCGCAGCTACGTGGCGCTGGTAATAAGGTGAGGTTTCAAGTTATTTAAGGGAGGCTAGCATATTTTTTTTTTTTTTTAACACTTTAGGGCCACGAATATACGTTGGTGTTCCTGACCCTATAGTGCTCCTTTAAATTAGATTAGTAGCAATACAGCAAGAAGTGGAATGTTAATATAGGTGAAAAACCAAAAAACCTATACACATAATATAAAACTTTAGAATCGGGTGTACTAGAGCTGCGTTTCAGTTATAGAATAGTGGGATGAGGCAGTAATGTCAGTTTAGTTGGAATTGGAGGGTTTAGATAAGGTTATGCAAATAGCCATGTTTTCTGGAGTACACGTGAATAGCTATGAGAGGTGGCTGATTGAATGTATACTGGATTTTCCCCCACTGGCATGGATTGGATGTGAGGAGGGGTTTTTGCCCATTGATAGTGGCTGATGGTGAGAGTGACAGAAGTAGGAATGATTATAGATGAGTGAGAATTTTTATAGAGATGAAGGAACAGAGAGAATCGGCAACAGCATAAAGAGTGATGAGTAGTAAGGATGGAGGGATTTGTATACTGCAACAAGGAAAACTATGCCAGTGTTTTGTTTTGGTTTTTTTGGGGGGAGGGGTTATATTTTTTTGTTTTGTTTTTTCTTTCTTTTTTTTAAACATGCAGTCATAAACTGAATGGGATATTGTGGACATTATAGGTTAAGATGTGAATAGTCCGTTGTGATGTTTGTTGCATGAACCTGTCGGTGGGACTTGGCATAAAAATGAAGTTTATCTACTCTGGTCTATAGCTTTCTAATGAGTCTTTGTGTACCTGCAGTACCTGCGCTTGATACAGATGCTGGAACGTATTCGGAGTCAGACCTACAGCAACACAGAAGAGGAATATGTGCTGTCGTTTTGTAAGATGCTTGAAGTCCAGTCAAAAAAGCAGGTGGTTAATCCTCTGCAGTATGATGAGAGTGGTGTGGCATTCAGCACAGGGGAAGGTAATCATGACATCTTTCTGTGCTACCTACTTAGATGAGCGATGATCAGCAGGGGCACATAATGTCTGCTGTACTGTTTCACTAATGTATGACTTTTAAATTATAGGCTTTTGACAGTCATATGTTTACAGCCCAGCAACTAGCAGCTGGCAGGTCTTATCAAGCTATTACGAAATACCTATAGGAGTCATATCACCACATCATAGCTTTTAATAATATTTCTTAGCTTTGTATATAAACAACACAACAGTAATTCCATAAAAAGAACTGTTGCAGGCTATTTTATTTTATTTCTTTTTTTTTCTTATTGTTGTTTTCTCATAATATTTTTTGGTATTCTCTTTATTTTTTTTAGCTTTTGTTTAGGTAAGTTGGTACTTTGGGATCCTTTACATGTCACACTTACAGGTTTGTATGTTTACATGCAAATGGTCTCAAAACAAAACCTCAAATGAAAATGAAGAGAATATGAGGGCAATTACATATGTTAGAAGCATATTAAAAAGTACCTGATGTTTGGCTGTTAGCCAACTCAAAGGCATATTCACAGCAATGTGCATTGGATGACTTAGCTGGACCCAATGTACACTTATGCTATGTTCTCATAACTGTTTTGATGACCTGCAGGTAGAAGAAAAACGACACATGCCACAGTTGTGCTTCGTGACTCTGGAAAAGGACGTATAACCATTAATGGCATTGATTACTTGGAGTATTTCAGTGTGCTCCAAGACAGGTAAAAGTCTAACCCGAATACCCCATGTGCAAGAGTTTCTCCAGTATCAGTGTCCAGTGTCAGAAAGGAGCTTCTCCAAATACTTTCATATGAATGCATACCATGTAGGAAATCTCATAGTTGACTTCTGCTGCAGAAAAAAATATTTTAAAAAGTCCTAAAAGAATATTTTTGTATCGCTTTTCTACTGCATCCTATTATTTGTATTTTGGGGACAGAAAGCTGGAAATCATTCAACCATCCTACTATATACTACACATACAAAAATGTAAAAATGTGTATCTTTCTTTATATTGTAAATGTTGTTAGATATATTTGGAACAATTTCTATAGTGTTCCACCTGTTCTGGTTTTATTAATAGTAAAAAAAAAAAAACCTTGATATTTTCAGAGGTTATATCGTCCACATAAAGCACATTGACTTATTTTCTTTGTTAGAATTTTTTGATATATATATATATATTTTATTTTTATTTTATTTATTTTTTTGTTTTAGAAAATTATTCAGATGTGTATAAATCTGGACATTATGTACTGGTTTCTGTCCAGAGCCACTGTTTAGATTAAAGTAGCAGTGCAGTCTCTGGTACATTTTATGCTTGGCAAGAGTTTAAACATACTCCTATTGAAGAAATGTAATTTCATTCCAAAAGGTTGTAAAGTATGGATCATTATTTACACAGTAACACACAAGCATGGGCGTCGGCAAGATTATTTTCCCAGGGGGAGGCAAAATGTGCTCCCCTTTTTTCCCCTCTTCCATCTCCATTCCTCCTCCCTATTGTCTACCTTTGTTGGCTCAAGAGAGCGGTTTCCTGGTTGGATGTAATTTTTTGTTAATCATTAATAGGAAAAATGTATATGATTGTGATGGCCGTAGCTGAAAGACAGGTATGTACCTGTGTAACACAAGAACTTTAGATTATAATAACTGGAATGGTAAAGATTAGCCACAACTATCACAATTTACAATTTCCATGGTGTCCAGACTGTAATGGCTGGCTGTTTATCATGGGAGCTGCAGTCAACCACAAAAAAGTTAGTTTGTAATGCAGTGGCCACAAGCCCAGTCTAGAACTACAATTCAATTGAAGTACAATTGAAGTTCAGATGCATTCAACAACAATGTTTTTACTGCAGACATAGTCCCCCATAGTGTTCCCACGCCTCACACAGCCCCATCAACCGTAAGCTATTAGTCCTATAATGATCAACTATCAATGTTGCTTGCTCACCATCATGGGATTTGCATTCAATACGTTTAAAGGACCACTCTAGGCACCCAGACCACTTCAGCTTAATGAAGTGGTCTGGGTGCCAGGTCCTTCTAGGGTTAACCCATTTTTCATAATTATAGCAGTTTCAGAGAAACTGCTATAATTATGAATGGGTTAAGCCTTCCCCCTAATCCTCTAGTGGCTGTCTCATTGACAGCCACTAGAGGCGCTTGCGTGCTTCTCACTGTGAAAATCACAGTGAGAGCACGCCAGCGTCCATAGGAAAACATTGTAAATGCTTTCCTATGAGACCGGCTGAATGCGCGCGCAGCTCTTGCCGCGCGTGCGCATTCAGCCGGCGGGGCGGAATGGAGGAGGATCGGAGGAGGAGAGCTCCCCGCCCAGCGCTGGAAAAAGGTAAGTTTTCCCCTTTCCAGAGCCGGGCGGGAGGGGGTCCCTGAGGGTGGGGGCACCCTCAGGGCACTATAGTGCCAGGAAAACGAGTATGTTTTCCTGGCACTATAGTGGTCCTTTAATGTTGTGTAGTATAGTACTATATAGCTGTGTGATACACCCCAAACATTCTGAGAGGTATTAAAAAAAGAGGGGAGTTAGACGGTAGTAGAAAGGGACAAAAAAAGCTTGGATCCAAAATAGGAACATTAAGAACCATTTGGCCCATCTAGTCTGCCCAATTTTCTAAATACTTTCATTAGTCCCTGGCCTTCTCTTAAGTCTATGATAGCCTTATGCCTATCCCACACATGCTTAAACTCCTTCACTGTGTTAACCTCTACCCCTTCAGCTGGAAGGCTACTCCATGTGTCCACTACCCTCTCCGTAAAGGAACACTATAGTCACCTAAATTACTTTAGCTAAATAAAGCAGTTTTAGTGTATAGATCATTCCCCTGCAATTTCACTGTTCCATTCACTGTCATTTAGGCGTTAAATCACTTTGTTTCTGTTTATGCAGCCCTAGCCACACCTCCCCTGGCTATGATTGACAGAGCCTGCATGAAAAAAAAATGGTTTCACTTTTAAACAGATGTAATTTACCTTAATTAATTGTATCTCAATCTCTAAATTGAACTTTAATCACATACAGGAGGCTCTTGCAGGCTCTAGCAAGCTATTAACATAGCAGGGGATAAGAAAATCTTAATTAAACAGAACTTGCAATAAAGAAAGCCTAAATAGGGCTCTCTTTACAGGAAGTGTTTATGGAAGGCTGTGCAAGTCACATGCAGGGAGGTGTGACTAGGGTTCATAAACAAAGGGATTTAACTCCTAAATGGTGCTGGTATTGTATTTCTCATGATGTTCAGCCAATCAAATGGATGCCTGAGAATCATGAGATGTGCATTCTGCAACAGCTGCAATGCCAATCCATAATGATATAATAACAAACCTTATTTGATAACCCCGATATTATTACCGGGTATTATTATTATTATTATTATTATTATTTATATAGCGCCAACTTTTTCCGCAGCGCGTTACAATTTTATGAAAGGGGTAAATTAATCCCTAGATTAAAGGAACACTATAGTGCCTGGAAAACATACTCATTTTCCTGGCACTATAGTGCCCTGAGGGTGCCCCCACCCTCAGGGTCCCCCTCCCGCCGGGCTCTGGAAAGGGGTTAAAACTTACCTTTTTCCAGCGCCGGGCAGGGAGCTCTCCTCCTCCGATCCTCCTTCTCTCCTCCCCGTCGGCTGAATGCGCACGCGCGGCAAGAGCTGCGCACGCATTCAGCCGGTCACATAGGAAAGCATTCATAATGCTTTCCTATGGACGCTGGCGTGCTCTCACTGTGAAAATCACAGTGAGAAGCACACAAGCGCCTCTAGTGGCTGTCAATGAGACAGCCGCTAGAGGAAATAGGGAAGGCTTAACCCATTCATAAACATGGCAGTTTCTCTGAAACTGCTATGTTTATGAAAAATGGGTTAACCCTAGCTGGACCTGGCACCCAGACCACTTCATTAAGCTGAAGTGGTCTGGGTGCCTAGAGTGGTCCTTTAGTTGAAAGTAACATATTTTAAAAGAGCAGAGTAACCATCAATGTCCTAAAATGATCATTTAAATGAAGTGGTTAGCAGATTGGCATCATTGTCATACCCAAGTCTGGGTTAATTTGCCATTTAGCACGTAAATGGGCTTAGTGTAATTAATAAACAAAACTTTGATTTATGGTTTTGGTGGGGGTTGTTTTTGTATGCTTTTTTTTTTTCTTCTTTCTACTTCCACAGTGGTTTCATTAAAATACTAACCCCATTCCGCCACTTTAGACCATTTAAACAGGACAGTTTGTGTACTGATTTAGTATGTGTTCTTTGAACCACTAGCTTTTCAAACACATTGAAGGTTTTTAATCACCTAACCGTGAATTGTGTAGAATTGGAAACAGGATTGCAGAATTTAGGCTAAAGTATCCACATTGGCAATTTTGTCTTAAATGTATATTTTGGCTGTTTAAGTCTCTACAGTTCACTCACTGTTTAGTGAATGCCTCCTTTGATGACTATGAGACGTTAACATCCTCTGCAGCCTGATTTTCAAACTTGTTGAATAGGCCCAATCAAAAAGAATAGCTTTCATCCCTCAATTGTGTCCTATATATCTTCTCTGTATGTATTCAGCTGGAACAGCGACTAGGGTATGTCTTCTCTTTTTTGTCTCTGCAGCATCCCCTACTGGGGGAAAGAGGACATAGCTTTACCTTTAAAGATCATTCAGTTGTGTATTATGCCATTCATAATACCTTGTATATTTTGGTTTGGGCTACTAGGTTTTTTCATTTTATTTTTTTACTATATTGTTGAATAAAATAACTAGTAATCACAATATATATATATATATTAATAGTGGTGATGTATATGTGTCTTAAATTCTATATAGCTACTTTAATTTGAGGCACAGGTTGTTTTTTTTATTTATTTTTTATTTTCTCCAACTTTTTTGGCATTCTGGAGAAAGGAGACCAAGTTGTAGAGCAGCATACACAGGTATCTACCTCTTTGTACCATGACCTGAAACTAACTGCATAGTATCCTAGTATCAAGATGCAGCAGGTAATATTTGCTTGATCAATTCATCACTGCCAAGATTCTCAGTGACATATATATATTTGTAGCCGGGGATAATAAGCCAAGTAATAGTATTGTTTGAATAAGTAGGATGTGGTACAAGTCGGTTGAGGTGTGCCGGGACCGACGTTCGGGGTAGCCTGTACTAAAGAGGGCCCACCAAATGAATGGCTTGTAAAAGTAGAGTGGTGGGTGGGCTAAACCCGGCATTAACAGTCCAGTGAGAAGGGTGGCCTGTGTTTTTATAGCCGGGTAACCCCTCCCACAATTACAGGCTATGCCTTTTTATTTGTAGTCGGGGACAATGAGCTAAGTAATAGTTTTGTTGGAATAAGTAGGATGTGGTACAAGTCGGTTGAGGTGTGCTGGGACCGACGTTCAGGGTAGGCCTGTAAATAAAGAGTGCAAAAAGTTGAATGGCTAAACGCATTAATACGTGTTGATGATACACAACCAATACCTTAGGTGCCTTCCTCAAATCTCTCTCTACTAAGAGATGCTATAGCGGATTCTTATGTTATAGCGGATTCTTATGTTCCGGTGTTCGATTATGTGTACTGTGGTATTACTAAGGATGGAAGGTAGTTTCCTACTATGAGATTTGACTTACAAAATGCTGACGAGTGGTGTACGAGTTGCGGAAAAAGTCTTGACGTATGTAATGCAATTTAAGTTGTGAGTGTATTTTGTGAGATCGAAGACAGGCATATAGTCCTCTGAGTGTAGGATAATTGGTCTAGTATCTAGACCTGAAACCATGCTGATTGGCATGAGGTTATCTCTGTAGGTGGTATGAGATACGTGTGTGGCAAAAAGGAAATGAACACAACCAAGTTATGATAGAATACGTGATGACAATATGATAGGCTGAAGTGCCCCATGTTGGTAGTGGCCAGAGCTCTGTCATTTGAACGGCAGATATTGGCAGAGAGTCAGGTGTGCCACCAATGGAACAAGGCCATAATATGACCCAATGTGGTATAATTCTAATTGTTTTAGGAGTCCTGTAGGTCGTTTGGTAGCGTATGGTGTGCTTAGCATCATGTCAGCAAACGGGAATGAGTCAAATCAACAGCTGCCATGAAATATAGCCTGTATGAGTGTGTGGACAAGATTGCGTTGCTGTGTAGCAAGCCAGTGAACTTCGAAAGTAACTGAGGAGGGAGAACCGACCCTTACAAACTTCACAACCTGATGTGTCGCCTTGGTAGCATTTGAGAGATATACACTCCATAGAGACCCCTGGCAAACAGTGGCTATGTGGGGTATACTTACCAAGAGCCCAAAGAATACTAAAGAGTGAGTGGAGCTACAAGTCACAGACCCAGTGACCTGAAACGGCAGTAGATCTGTGTGGCAGCTGTATCTGCAATATATAGGGGGAATCAACACCCTGTGAGAATTGGATGTGGCGTCCTGTACCTATAAGTAAGACAAAATATGTTTTGACCGTCTGGACAGGTCTGTTAGAACAGGCGTGACGAGCATGGCAGGGTTAATGTAAGCGGATGACCAGGGAGTTGGCGGAGTAGTCCGATAATGTATTTGTGACCTCACAGTATGGCGCGCATGAAAAGGTTCACAGAACCAGGGAGGCTGAAGGTACCTATGATAACAGGCATTCGCCAGAGACTGTCTTCATGTTGCCTGATACACAGGACCCTGCTTTTGGTTAGGCAGTACTTGTCTGAGTCCTGTTAACCGAAATTAGACTACTGGAGGAGGCTACGGCAGCTAGGGATACAGTTGCAAGAAAAAGTATGTGAACCCTTTGGAATAATATGGATTTCTGCACAAATTGGTCATAAAATGTGATCTGATCATCATCTAAGTCACAACAATAGACAATCACAGTCTGCTTAAACTAATAACACACAATGAAATGTTGCCATGTTTTTATTGAACACACCATGTAAACATTCACAGTGCAGGTGGAAAAAGTATGTGAACCCTTGGATTTAATAACTGGTTGAACCTCCTTTGGCAGCAATAATTTCAACCAAACGTTTCCTGTAGTTGCAGATCAGACGTGCACAACGGTCAGGAGTAATTCTTGACCATTCCTCTTTACAGAACTGTTTCAGTTCAGCAATATTCTTGGGATGTCTGGTGTGAATCGCTTTCTTGAGGTCATGCCACAGCATCTCAATCGGGTTGAGGTCAGGACTCTGACTGGGCCACTTCAGAAGGCGTATTTTCTTCTGTTTAAGCCATTCTGTTGTTGATTTACTTCTATGCTTTGGGTCATTGTCCTGTTGCAACACCCATCTTCTGTTGAGCTTCAGCTGGTAGACAGATGGCCTTAAGTTCTTCTGCAAAATGTCTTGATAAACTTTAATTTTTCCTTCGATGATAGCAACCGTCCAGGCCCTGACGCAGCAAAGCTGCCCCAAACCATGATGCCCCCACCACTGTACTTCACAGTTGGGATGAGGTTTTGATGTTGGTGTGCCTTTTTTTTCGCCACACATAGTGTTGTGTGTTTCTTCTAAACAACTCAACTTTGGTTTCATCTGTCCATAGAATATTTTGCCAGTACTGCTGTGGAACATCCAGGTGCTCTTGTGCAAACTGTAAACGTGCAGCAATGTTTTGTTTGGACAGCAGTGGCTTCCTCTGTGGTATCCTCCCATGAAATCCATTCTTGTTTAGTGTTTTACCTGTTGTAGATTCGCTAACAGGGATGTTAGCATTTGCCAGTGACTTTTGTAAGTCTTTAGCTGACACTCTAGGATTCTTCTTCACCTCACTGAGCAGTCTGCGCTGTGCTCTTGCAGTCATCTTTACAGGACGGCCACTCGTAGGGAGAGTAGCAGCAGTGCTGAACTTTCTCCATTTATAGACAATTTGTCTTACCATGGACTGATGAACAGCAAGGCTTTTGGAGATACTTTTATAACCCTTTCCAGCTTTATGCAAGTCAACAATTCTTAATCGTAGGTCTTCTGGGAGCTCTTTAGTGTGAGGCATCATTCACATCAGGCAATGCTTCTTGTGAAAAGCAAATCCAGAACTGGTGTTTTGTTTTTTTTATAGGGCAGGGCAGCTGTAACCAACACCTCCAATCTCATCTTATTGATTGGACTCCAGTTGGCTGACATCTCACTCCAATTACCTCTTGGAGATGTCATTAGACTAGGGGTTCACATTCTTTTTCCACCTGCACTGTGAATGTTTACATGGTGTGTTCAATAAAAACATGGCAACATTTCATTCTTTGTGTGTTATTAGTTTAAGCAGACTGTGATTTTCTATTGTTGTGACTTAGATGATGATCAGATCACATTTTATGACCAATTTGTGCAGAAATCCATATCATTCCAAAGGGTTCACATACTTTTTCTTGCAACTGTATTTAGACCCCCCCAAGGAAGAAAGCATGGCCATGTGTACTGCGTGCTTTGGGGGATAGTAATTGGTACTTTGAACTAAGTATATGTTGACAAGTGAAAGAGGAGGTTGAATAATAGAGATAGTTGTCAAAGTAACTTCTAAAAGTCATGGCTGTAAAAAGGATAGAGCCCATGGTTTGGTGTAGCAGAGAAACAGGGATCGGGTGGTGTAACCCATAAGCAATATTGCACTACTATTACGTAATGTTAGGGCTGTATGCCTAACCCTGGAACATAAAGGTCTTGTAACAGAGGTCCATATGTCCCTACAGACGTTTAGAACGTATGAGATAGCGGATTTATATAGACCAAAGTGAGAACAAATTTGGGCATTTGTGGAAGTATGGTTTATGGTTCAATCTACTGGCTAGACTTTGGGAGATTTGACTTCTTTAGTTTAACGTGAATCAAATAAAGGGGTGAACAGATGTCTGATTCCACAGTTTGCAAGCAATATGCTATGCTGTCTGCAAATTTCTGGGTTGGCAAACACCAACCCTGCTCATGAGTTGTGACAGGGAATGATATACCTTATTTCTGGGCATCAGCAATTGGCTGGTCCAGGATCGCAAGAGACTAGATAAGCGGAATCCTATTTCTATGTTGAGTGTATGCCAGCGGTGGAGGGTTTGTTGCAGGATTCAGGGGTGAAAACCCTGCTTGCACTTAGTTAAGAGATGTAGTATGAGGTACTAAATAGCGTGTAATTTAACAGCCGTGCTATGAGCGTTTAACCCTACATCCACTGGCGTCTTGCTTAGTGCCAAATGGCAAAGAAATTAGCTAACCAGGGATAAGTGAGGCCCTACTAAATGCCAAGTGGCTTTGAGAGGCTCTAGATATGAATTTGGCCGAGGGACTGAGGCCACCGAACAGAGTGGCAGGAATGTTTGCCTCTCGGTGACAATTAAAAGCTTCATTATGAGTGGTCATGACAGGTGAGGCCCTAACTAATAGGAGTAGGTGATGTGTAGAGTCCCACAAGGGAAAACCAACATCAGGAGAGCTCCACTGTATAAGAAATGAGGAAGGGAGGCCCTACCTTTAATCAATCTAAGGATAAAAAGGTATATGCAAACAAAGTATAACTTGAAAAAAACGGTGCGGTGAGATCTACTAAACGGTGCCCAGGGGATCAATTGTCTGGAGTACTAGCTAGCATCTAAGTTCCAGTTCTCCTAGTGTCCGACTGACAGGAAGGTAGTGTAATTGAGGTTAGGGAGAGAGAAGAGGCACAGGGTCCCCAGAGAACAAAGGACCGGGTAATCAGGTCTAAACGCAGATGAAAAGCCTCACACAAAAAATAAATAAATCTCTCAATTCACCCGAAAAGTTACCTCGACACCGTGGTCTAACCACTAGTGTCTACCTGAACCAACTCTCCCTACTAAAGTTATACATAAACACCTAAAAATCAATAACCATAGTGGTAACAAAAATAAAAAAGTGCTACCAAGTGCAGAGATTAAAGAAAAAGAAAACGCTTGAGAAAGACCCGCTATATATGTGTATATATATATATATATATATATCTCTATACACACACACGGAGGTAGGAGTGCAAAGGCTAATATATATAGCAGTGTATATGTATGTGATGAACCCGCTGGCACTCCGACCGAGTACCTCTGTCAATCGATGCTCCTAGTGCTTGTCGAATACTCCAAGCACTCCAGCCAAGCCAAGGCTTCAAGAAAGGGTCAAGCAGGTCTGTTTAATGAGCACACAAAAGCAACAGCACTCATGCAGCAAAACATGCAGCATATATATATATATATATATATATATATATATATATATATATATATATATATATATATATATATATATATATATATATATATATATATATATATAAATGTATTAAGGCAATTTGCCTGCATTTGTGGGAGGTGCTGGTTTGCTACCCCTAGCCTATTTAAGGCACTCCCCTTGCCTGGCTCCTTACCGTTCGAGGTCCGCGTTGAATGAGGATCCACTTCCGGGTTCTCTCAGACGCCATCTTGGTTTAAGTATCCAGGAGGTTTCACCACGTTAAGCTGTGTCCAGGAATCCTGTTCAGGCCTTTACGCCCGTCCAGCTTCTTCTGACTCCGGTCTCCGTCGTAGATCGCGTCCCAGGGACTCCTAAACCGTAAGTCAGACCTTCCTGTCACGCCAGGACCGGTTCCCACGGCGTACGGTACAGCACGGGTCCTCGCTTTACGGCTTTTTCCCTGGTTATGACACAAATGTTTCAAGCCATTCGCAGGCTTTTTCATTCGTACGGTCATTCGGCTGAACATATTTAATCGTTCAGTAGTCATTTCGCATATCCTATTTCATGTTATTGAAACGAATTATCATTCGGTTGTTTTGCCGTTCGGCAAATTTTACATAAGCTCATACACGCTTTTGGTTCGCATAAGTCATACGGTTAAACTAGTCTAACTTCTGTGTTTCCCTCACATTTGCTTTCGGCTTTTCTGTGTGTTCATGTATAATCCTTTCATGAATTATATTCACCATTTCATGTGTATATAACGTTCGGTTAAAGAATTGCTTGCTTAAATAGATTATTTTGATTACTTTTAAATATTGTCAGTATTGTATTACGTCCACAAATCAAGTCCACTTCTCTGTGTATACCATTTGACTCCCACGCTTTCAGGGGTCTGCATTACTTATCCATTTATACAAATGGACTCAGCCTATGTTACAAGCCTCACTTCTGGGTTATTAATACAACACATACAAAGGATATAGGTTCATTTAAGCAATAATTCTCGGGTTGATACGTCTTTTCTATACAGATATATCATATAGATATACATCACTTTACATCATTTTAAATCATTTTGGGGTATCCCTGCCTTTGGTTATTCTGCTACATATCATACATAACGCTGTGTTAATTAGGCCATGACCTCATCCATGTCCCTTTCTATAAACCAGTTACATTTCTGTACAGATCATTGAACTCCCACGCCAGGAGTTTTATAAGTATCCATTTCATTTCAATTCACTCAGCCTATATTACAGGCCTCATTTCTCTGTCATGACGATGACACATAAGGCTTAAATCCTTTTGCATGCATACTCGGGTTGAATCACACGTACTGATCCAACCAATCATACGTCCCCTGCACAGTCATATACATATGTATATAACCTACGTTTCATGTTTTCCTTTACACACCATTATCACGTAACACATAGATTGTTTGTACATAGGCCACGGCCTCCCTCAGATGTCTTATTCAAGCATGCAAACATTTCTGAGCCACTCATAGCTATTCCCATGGTATCAACATAATTTTTATACATTGCTGCTACAGACTATAAGTCTGTTTCTTTTCACACTCCACACTCATCATACTACTCTTTTACCCATTTTTAGGCTGTCAACCTTATATAATTGCTCCACACGGTTTATTCCTGTGATTTGTCATACTACCAGGTACGTACACCTGCTCATATGGTATTCTACCATACATTTAATTTCATCCCCCTAGTTTAGAGTACTGGCAATAGGGTCACAGGATTCCCAATAGGTATTTACCCCGTCTTGGCTGTCGCCATCAGTTAGTGGTCCCGCGAGGCCAACACCCCGCCTCAAACGTTTCGGAGGCAAACACCCATCGGGCCACACGTTAGCTAGCCGCCTCGCATGTTGCAAAGAGAGGGCCTCACCTGTCACTCCCTTCCCCTGTTTTCTGTCGTACAGTCACCGAGAAGCCTAAAACTCCTGCCACTACGTCAAGTGGCCTCAATAACCCCTCGCGCCAACGCATAGATAGAGCCTCTCAAGCCGCTTGGCAATTAGCAGGTCCTCATCTGTCACCAAACAAGTATAATACTTTCGCCATCCGGCCTAGCTAGCCTGCCAGTACAATTTGGTGGTTCTATATACTAATTATTGTTTTATTTATAGTATGTCTCAGGAAGGGGTAGAGGATTTCTCCCTGCCTAGCACCCCGGCTAGAGCTGTCACTCCCACACAAGGAGGAGAGCTAGCTAGTCCAGCATCAATTAGATCCTGGACAATCCCGCGCATAACCACGGAATTAAGGAGACGACAAATCCCCTACCCCGCTACAGCAAGGAAGGCAGAACTTTTCAAACTGCTACGCACATCAACTAATAACATGGAAGCCGGGGAAGGATCTAGCCAGTCCAACCCAGGGGACATACATGCCATGTTATCCTCACTCATGGCATCCATGGGCAAGGTCAACTCCAGGCTGGAGAAACTTGAGTCGGTCACCACGGCCCTCACTCTAGCAGGGCCACCCGCGGCTGCGGTACAAACACCAGCCTTGCCATTAGTCGCTCCAGCCAGCACCCTGGATGACCAGGAAGTTAGCCCGGCCCACATGATACCTGAGCATATCAAAAGGGATATCCTGGAAGGTAAAGACGTCAACCTGGCTTCCCTGTTGATTGCCTCCCAGGACATTGTGGAACATAAGACGTATGCTTATGATGATGTTTCTGTTATTGTCAGATCTAGGGATGCCCGCCTGAACAGGAAACTGACTATCCCTGAATTTGTACTAGCGTTTGGTATTTACAGGGATGTCATCTGTGCGGTTTATCCCAACAGAAGAGAGGAGTTTGATCTCTATATGCACAAGCTGGTAGACCTGGGCAACAAATATGGTGGTTCAGCATTCTATGACTACCATAGGTCTTTTTCTGCAAAAGTGGCTGGAGCCTTCTCCCAGTACGGTACACGATCCAACTGGGGAAGGATTGATACCGTCTTATTTTGCAGACACTTTGCAGGTCTAAGAACACCAGCTTGTGCATACTGCTCCTCCACAGCCCATACCACTAATTTTTGTCCCAACACGGCAGACGGACATGCCTCCACACAAGGAACTAGTTCCTCTGGGGATCCAGGGAAACTATCCAAAGACAAATTGGGACGCCCAATCAAGTTTCTGGGCAAGTCCCAGATATGTAATAATTTCAATGTTGGGTCTTGTAATTACAGTGGATGTAGACTATTGCATGTCTGTTCAAAATGTTTTAGGGCACATGCAAAGACCATGTGTCCAAATAAAATGTATTCCAAGCCTTACCTTACGTCCATTAATATGCCAGTATTCACAGCATTGATGTCTCAGCACCCATCTAGACACCTGGTAGATTTTCTTATTTCTGGTTTAACAGAAGGCTTCCACACAGGTATCCTACACATACCAGCTGGAACTCTGGAATGCCCTAACCTACAATCCGCCCAACACAACCCCACAGTGGTTGACACCCTCATAGACCAAGAAGTGGATGAGGGCTTTGTATTGGGGCCTTTTAGAACTCCTCCATTCACAGAATGGCGCACCAACCCTATTGGTATTGTCACAGGGAAATCTTCCCAAAAACAGAGACTCATCATTGACTTATCGGCTCCCCACTCATCGGCCAACCCCAGTCTTAATTCCCTCATACCCTCTGAGGAATTCTCTCTGCAATACACCACCATAGATCACGCCATTACAGCTATCATACAAGCAGGGGTTGGAGCCTGGCTCAGTAAGACCGACATTACTAACGCCTTCAAATTACTCCCTATCCACCCCACACTGTGGCACCTGCATGGCATCAAGTGGTCCGGGAACTACTATTTTTTCTCCCGGTTAACTTTTGGGTCCAAAAGTAGCCCAGCTATTTTCGACACATTTGCCGAAGCATTATGCTGGTTACTATTGAACATAGCCGGATGCCCTACGGTATTACATTACTTGGACAATTTCCTACTGGTCGAGGAGAATACTGCACCTCCCACTAGCCTCAAAGCTACCACTAAGCTGTTTGAGCAACTAGGTGTACCCATCTCCCCAAAGAAAACAGAAGGGCCAGACACGGTTATCACTTTTCTGGGTATCCAATTAGACTCTGCCACAATGCAAGCAAGCCTACCATACGATAAGATAGAGAATATTCTCACTTACATAAACAACTACCTACAGCTCGGCACTTGCAACCACAAAGAGCTACAGTCCCTGCTAGGGTCACTAAATCTTTTCACACTTTTTCTACATGACACGCACAGGTTGTCCTTAGATGCCCAAGCTACGGCAGATCTAAACATGTGGAAGAGATTTTTAACCACTTGGAATGGTAAAAGTATGTTCCTCCCTCAATTGACTGAATCATCTCCTACCATTTGGTCAGATGCGGCATCTACCACTGTTTTTGCAGCAATTTTTGGGAACGAATGGCTTTGGGGCAGCTGGCCTTCAGCAGTTCTGGATTTGGAAGGTTTTTCCACTACCTCAGCTCTTTTTGAGATCTACCCCATAGTGGCGGCTGCCGTAGCGTGGGGTCATTTATGGGCTAATACGCCAGTGCGTTGTTACTCAGACAACCAGGCAACCTGTCACATCATCAACAAAGGTCGTTCCAAATCTCTTACGATCATGAGATTTCTGAGGAAACTCACTTGGTTGGCAGCTTGTCATAATTTCTTCCTATGTTGTTTCCATGTGCCAGGTGTATATAACACAGCTGCTGACAATTTGTCTCGCTTTAACTTTCAGGAGTTTCATCAAGCACTCCCGTCAGCAGCACCCACAGCCACCATCACTCCAACATTTCAACAACTCATACTGGACTAGACGTCATCATGCAGCATAGCAGGACATTGTCCCAGTTGGCACTTTCACACAATACAAACAAAGCATACAGCAGGGCTTTCACACTATTCAAACGATTCCTTCTGGAACATAACATCATACAACCGTTTGATATAACATCTATTTTGGGGTTTGCTTCCTTTTGCCACCTTAAACTCAAAATGTCATACAACACCATCAAACTCTATCTCACTGGCATTCAACACCACATGCTCATCTTACACCCAAATAACAGTTTCATGGCCTCTCACCAAATTAAGACCATACTCAGAGGTATTCAAAAATCAGAACCCACACATTTGGCCCAGAGGCTACCCATAGATAACCATATCTTCAAAGCATTATCTAACCTACTCGACCTAAAACCGTTTGACACTAATACGAATTCTATCATCAAAACAGCAATATACATCGCTTTCTATGGATTTCTACGACCCAGAGAATTCACTACGACCTCCACGACCCAAACCACTCCATTCCTCCTCTATTCCCACTTGACAAAACATATGGATCATTACATCCTGTCTTTACCTCACTCCAAAACCAGCCAGCACATACCTGTAAACATTCCGTACTATCCCATGCACAACAGATGGTGTCCCGTCAAGGTTCTTGATGCCTACATACAGCACCATCACTTACTGCCCTCGCAACCGTTATTACAACTACAAGGTGCAGTACTCACCACTACAACCTTCATGACCTACGTCAGGTCCTTGCTCACACAACTGGGCCTCAACGCAAACAATTACTCAGGACACTCCTTTCGTATAGGAGCCGCGTCCACAGCCTCCAGTGTCAACATCCCAACTCATGTTATCAAAACACTGGGGCGCTGGAAGTCATCCGCTTACTCACGGTACATACCGAACCCAGTACAAGAATTAAGGGATGCTTTCATAAACATGTCTGGTTGATAAATGTATATGTATTGGTTGTCTGTTAATAAATTTGATTACTTAATTTTTGCCCTCTTCTTTCTCAGGCCTACCTCATCGTCGGTTTCGGCACACCACAACCGACTTGCTCCTTTTATCATCCTACGCTTATTCATGGTATTTCACACTGTACTATCTTAAGCACCTAACACAAATATATATATATATATATATATATATATATACACACACACTATATATATATATATATATATATATATACACACACACACTATATATATATATCCTCTTCATCCTATTCCTGTAAGTTTTTGTAATTGTCTCATTTATTGTTAAATCTCCCCCTCCTATAATATTGTAAAGTTCTACATAATTTGTTGGCCCTATATAAATGGCAATAATAATACACACACTACATACCTCTGTACCCACACACACTATATCACTTGTATATGGGTGTGTCTTATTTTCTGAAACATACGGTAATCTTTTGTTTGTGGTTTTAAAAACAACTAATTTAGGGAAAAAAAGAATGGGGATTTAGTAACAGCATGTGATGATTACATTACTGCCAAGTATGACAAAGGTACAATATTCCTTTAATAAATAGAAAGTGCAAAGTGCTCATAGAGTGCTAAAAATAAAATATGGGTTATTTTATTTTTAGCACTCTATGAGCACTTTGCACTTACGATGATTTAGTATCTTTATTTTGTTTTCTTTTTTACCTGTGGCAACAGACATTTAGGTTGAGCTACCAGACTAGAACACCCACGGAGGTGTTATAAAGGAGACATAGGGTTAGCTTAGAGAGATAGCTGCCTTCATGATTTCTTTTGGTTTTTTGTGGGGGGGGGGGGGTTCTACAAGCTGGTTCAAGTATTGTTGTATGTATCCCTTTATATATTTGGGGTATTATACATTATTATTATTACCCTTTTGGGATACCACATACTCTGTGCACAGCAAGACCTCCTATTGCTCTATCGTTGTTATTACTCTGTGTTTCCCACTAATCTGGTGACGTGTGTATTGTTTAGTATACCGTCTCTAGGTATGGACATAATTATCTGTTAGCATCTTTACTTTATTAGGCTAATTATTAGTCTTTAGTATACTATACTCCTCTCCATATGAGATCCTTGATACCTTTATCTAACCACCTTTCTGTTCCCAGGCTTTTAATAGACTATAATAACGTTTTTTGTTATTTTCAGACTTACTGCTGAGATTGGACTGGGTCCTTCTCCTATTGGCTATCTTCTAGTAAGGTAGCTTTTGGGAATTATTTTCTATACAATATTCCTTTACTCTTGAATCCCATCACCACGGAAAACCAAAGCTCTCTCGGAATTGTTCCCAGTCAATTTACGGTTTCCTGTGAGAGCCACCTGGTTCATACTGAATGATATACCTCATCTGCTGACAAATGTGTTCTTTAGCAGTGTTAGTCAAATAGATTCTATGCACTGCATATGCATTAGGCATCCTTCTAATTATCTTAAAGGGACACTATAGTCCCCAAAACAAACTAAGCTTAAAGGACCACTATAGTGCCAGGAAAACATACTTGTTTTCTGGCTCTATAAGGTCCATGGGTCCCCCTTACCCTCAGGGCCCCTCTCCCCCGGCTCTTGTGTGAGGAAGGGGTTAATCCCTTACCTTTTTTCCAGCGCCAGGCTCCCTCAGCGCTGGGGACTCTCCTCCTCCTTTCCCTTCATCGGGCTGCACGCGCATTCAGCAAGTCTCATAGGAAAGCATTCTCAATGCTTTCCTATGGACGCTGGCGTCTTCTCACTGTGAAAATTCCAGTGAGAAGCGCGGAAGCGCCTCTAGCGGCTGTCAATGAGACAGCCACTAGAGGCTGGATTAACCCTAATGTAAACATTGCAGTTTCTCTGAAACTGCTATGTTTACAGCAGAAAGGGTTAATCTTAGATGGACCTGGCACCCAGACCACTTCATTAAGCTGAAGTGGTCTGGGTGTCTATAGTGGTCCTTTAATTAAGTGGTTTTTGTGTATAGATAATGCCTCTGGGGTTTCGCTGCTCAATTCTCTGCCATTTAGGAGTTAAATCACTTTTGTTTCTGTTTGTGCAGACCCAGCAACACCTCCCTGCACGTGACCGACACAGCGTGCATGAAAACAAAATTGGTTTAACTTTCAATCAGATGTAACTTACTTTAAAAGTTTTTATCTCCAGCACAGAGTAGGAGATACAAAATTATAAATTAAACAAAATTTGCAATAAAGGAAGTGTAAACATTAGATCTCTCTTTACAAGAAGTTTAGGAAGCATGTGCAAGTCACATGCAAGGAGGTGTAAGTATGTCTGCATAAACAAAGTGATTTAACTCCTAAATTGCAGAGAATTGAGCAGTGAGATTGCAGGGGCATATTCTATACACCAAAATAGTTCATTAACCCCTTAAGGACCAATGACATGTGTGACATGTCATGATTCCCTTTTATTCCAGAAGTTTGGTCATTAAGGGGTTAAGCTAAACTTGTTTTGGTGACTATAGTGTTCCATTAACGGAGTCAAAGTGTGCTGATTTGTGTAGATTGCACTGGTTGTGCTTCACTTGGTTATGGCTGCTTATATATTTAAAGGCAACTTGCCAACAGAATGAAACTTCATACAGATTAATAGTGCGTGAGAGACTATTAATGTTGTGTTACATTTCAAAGGTTTGTTTTAACCCCTTCAGGACCGATGACGGTTCAGGACCGTCATCGGCATTTTTGCCTTGCCGACCGATGACAGTCCTGAACCGTCCTAACGGTCCAATGTACTTACCTGATCGCCGTCGTTGCTCCCGGTGTGGGGAGACTGCCTGCAGCCCAGACAGTCTCCCCACACTGGATTGGGACCCCTGTGGCCATGTGATCGCCTAACACAGCGATAACATGGTCACAATAGGTGTCCATGTGTCTGCCTGCAGGGGGACTGTCTGTGCTGACAGGCAGTCTCCCTGCATGTGTAAAATAAAAAAATAAAGTTAATGTTAATTAAAAATAAAAAAAATATATATGTGTGTGTGTGTGTGTGTGTATGTGTATATATATATATATATATATATATCTCATATATAGACATATATTATATCTATATAATATGTCTATATATCATATATAATGTCATACTAAGTGTATTTTTATATTTTAATATGTACTTATATTAATATAAAAATACACTTAGAATTAAATTACACACGTGTGTATATATATATATATAACTATATATTGTGTATATATATATATATATTCTAAAATAAGTAATTTAAATTAATTTTTTTAAATAATAAAAATTGGAAAAAAATTATATCTAAATGAAATTTTATTCTAACTGTATTTTAAAATTAATATATATATTTATATCAAAATACACTTAGAATGAATTTGTATATATGTATATATAAATAAATAAAAATACGAAATATACATATGTCCATATACAAAATTATATAAATATACACGTAGACTTCAAATATATAAATATGCATATATATTTAAATTCTACGTGCGTATTTATGTAATATTGTTACATAATTAAGTAATTTTATTGATTGCAATTTGAGGGACCTGCCTGCCAACCCAGGCCAAAAGACCAGAAAATTTAATTTGCTAGCACTGTATTTTACCCTGTAACGTTGTACGACACCCTAAAACCTGTACATGGGGGGTACTGTTTTACTCGGGAGACTTCGCTGAACACAAATATTAGTGATTCAAAGCAGTAAAACATATCACAGCGATGATATTGTCAGTGAAAGTGACTTTCTTTGCATTTTTCACACACAAACAGCACTTTTACTGATGATATAATTGTTGTGATATGTTTTCCAGTTTTTAAACACTAATATTTGTGTTCAGCGATGTCTCCCGAGTAAAACAGTACCCCCCATGTACAGGTTTTATAGTATTTTTGAAAGTTACAAGGTCAAATATTTTTACATTGAAAATGGCCAGGTTGGTTACGTTGCCTTTGAGAGCGTATGGTAGCCCAGGAATGAGAATTACCCCCATGATGGCATACCATTTGCAAAAGAAGAAAACCCAAGGTATTGCAAATGGGGTATGTCCAGTCTTTTTTAGTAACCACTTTGTCACAAACACTGGCCAAAATTAGCGTTCAATTTAGTTTTTTTTTACTTTTTTCACACACAAATGTGAATGCTTACTTTGGCCAGTGTTTTCAACTAAGTGACTACTAAAAAAGACTGGACATACCCCATATTGAATACCCTGTGTTGTCTACTTTAAAAAAAATATGTACATGTGGGGTGTTATTCAGAGATTTATGACAGATAATAGTGTTACAATGTCACTATTGATAAATTTTAAAAATGTATGTTTCGAAACCGCAACATCCTACTTGTACCTATAGCCCTATAACATGCAAAAAAAAGCACGTAAACACTGGGTATTTTTTAACTCAGGACAAAATTTTGAATCTTTTTAGCAGTTTTTTTCATTCGCTTTTGTAGATGAGTAAAAGATTTTTCAAGTAAAAGTCAAAAAACATGTATTTTTTTCAATTTTTCATCATTTTTTTAAATTTATTTTTTAAATTAAAATACATGAGATTATATAAATAATGGTATGTAAAGAAAGCTCATTTTGTCCTGAAAAAAACAATATATAATTTGTATGGGAACAGTAAATGAGAGAGCGGAAAATTACAGCCAAACACAAACACCACAAAAGTGTAAAAATATGCAAATGTACAACATCGCAAAAACAGTCCAGTCCTTAAAGGGTTAAAAAGATTATTTCTTACCTTCTTTGAGACTTGTTATGCTATGGTCCTTGAGTACACCTATCTCCTAATTTCAGAACCCCTTATGAAACCTCACATAAAAGAATTAAAAAGCAGAATGAGAATGCAAGAGGGCTCAGGTTTAGAGAAATCATCAGTGCAAATGTTTTTTATAAAATATATAATTATTTATTTCTTTAAAAAAATTAATACAAATTCTATGTTGCATATTTTCATTTTTCTTTTGTCTTTAATCAATTTAAGAATATGCTATGCTAATTAATCTCATTGGTAACGTGTTTCTTACTATGTCAATATGCTATCATTCAACTCATGCCAATATTATCTACGGCAATTGTGTGACACAGTCTAAGATATGATGTAAGTGCCACATGCATATTGTCTCGTATTAGCTGTAAGTACATCTACTACAGCCAGCAAGCCAAATAAGCTCCCCATCTTTAAATATTAAGTGTCTTCTTGTAGGAGGAAGCTAATTGCCAAATGTGGGAGAAGATCTGCTGTGTGCGAGTGATTCATTTTTATCTATTTAAATCTTTTCATGGCATGTAGGGTGGGTGGATGACTGCAGTTTAAGTTAATTTAATGCCAACTATGCCTACACTCTTTATGTAAAGTCTGGATCCAAACACAGAAGTGATCAGAAAAATGTGCTGCCCTATAAATAATTGCTGTTCTATTACATTGTACCCTATTTGGAGGAATATGTCTGAAGGAGTCAAGCACAGCAGTACTGTATTTGTAAAATATGCCTTGTGTTGTATTCACACTATAATCTGGCAGGAAATGACTGCCCCTGATGTATAGGCATCTGTGTTGTGACCTTTCTATGTTTATGGAAAATTGTAAAAATCTGGAGAACAGAACCTTGTAATGTTTTCAGAGATTGAGTTAAATAGCTAAGCAATGTTGGTATGAAAAGGAAAATAAAATAAAAAAAAATCTAACCATACGGTGAACAAAGGGTCAGTACAGGATAATAGCAACTTTGTAACAATATTGTATAACCTGCAAGGAACAAACTTTTATACAGTTGCTGGCTGTAAGGAGAGGAAACTTAAAGTAATGAGTATGACTTAAATTAATCATTTTGCTAGTGAAAAATGTTAGCAAATATGAAGATTAAATGATATACTTCATTATTTCTGCTTCTTCGTTAAGTGCTCAGCACTCCGTATCAACAATTCAGATGCAAAATGTAATGCATGATCATTCACATAGCTCACTGCACTGTGTGTGTCTTTATATAGCTTAAAATAAAATTCTAAAATATAATATAAATGTGGTTTGTGCAGTGTATAGATGAAGTATTATGGTCAATCAGCTGCCAGTATGTCATATTTTTTTTTTTATTTTTTTTTTGATCATAGATGCACATTATATATATAATTTTATATTTTATATTTTTTGTTTGTTAAAGGAGTACTATAGGGTCAGGAACACAAACATGTATTCCTGACCCTATAGGGTTAAAACCACCTCATGCCTCCCTAAAATAGTAAAATCTTACTTGTGTTCAAGCCTAAAGCTGCTGGCTTTGTCACTCTTTCCTTTTGACCTGCCCACTGCCTGCTGGCATCATCAGAAGTGGTGGTCTGAGCCAATCACAATGCTTCCCCATTGGATTGGCTGAGGCTGACAAAGAGGCAGATCAGGGGCAGAGCCAGCACAATTCAAACACAGCCCTGGCCAATCAGCATCTCCTCATAGAGATGAATTGAATCAATAAATCTCTATGAGGAAACTTCAGTCGCTGCATTCAGAGGGAGGAGATACTGAATGTTTGGATGCATTTTAGGCAGCCATGACCCAGGAAGGATCTCAAACAGCCATCTAAGGAGTGGCCAGTGACGTTATCACTAGGCAGTAATGTAAACACTGCATTTTCTCTGAAAAGACAGTGTTTACCGCAAAAAGCCTGAAGCTAATGATTCTACTCACCAAAATAAATTCAATAAGCTGTAGTTTATTATGGTGACCATAGTGTCCCTTTAATGTAAAAGGCTATGATTGCTTTGGCCTGTGTATTGCATTGTTAGCAGACAGTAGTTCTTATTCTCCAGATGCAAGCTAATTGTTAATTTTGCATGATTTTTTTCAGAGAACAGTTGATGTTCCCCTTTCAGTTCCTTGACCGGCTTGGATTGTATGACATGGAATGCACAGTAACCGGTGGAGGACGGTCATCGCAGGCTGGAGCCATTCGCCTGGCTTCATCTAGAGCTTTGTTAAGTTTTCTTCCTGAGAATCAAATTGAGTCAATGAGACAAGGTGAGATCCCTAAGTTGTTAATTATCTTACTGCGGCATCAGTATCCGCAAGTTAGGTTAGTAAAATCAAAGGGACGATGCATATTTAATTTGTGGGTTTATTTTCACTCATTCAGCTCTTTCATATTTTGATTGGGGCATTTTAAGCTTAAATGTCTACATGATTAAGGTCTATACAGCCGAAAATTTGTTGTTTTTTTTTTTTTTTTTTTTTAAATCTGCACACCAGGCCTTATGTGGCTCTAATAATAGATTTTTTTTCACTTGACACCCTTGTTGTGATATCCAGCTTTTACTTTTGGTGTTTGTGTTAATGTGGGGAAGCGGCCCCACTGGAAGACTGCTTTGTGACTAACCCCTGAGTGCAATTCATTTTCACAAGACTAGCTGCAGGTCTGTCCGTTAATTCCATATATCTATGTGATCTGACCCATCGGGCAAGCCACCAGACTAATTTCCTTTGTCTGGTGAATGGTCAAAAGTATATTTTTAGGATCAAGCACTAATGTGTAATACTGCATTTTTGTTTGGTTTAATTTTGGGTCTGTAGCATACCTTGCTGAGAGGATCTAGTTAAAACAGTTTCATACATATTTGTAAAATATTGACCATACAAAAAAGGGGGAAATAAGGTGAAGACATGTATCCTTTCAATAACCCTAATCTTTCAATAAACACAAAAAGCACACGCAAAAATCACCCACAAATGGAAGACATACACAAATCCTAAAATAGTTCAATAGACTGTTAAAGAAATAACCTTTAAGTTAAAATGTCACTTCACAGATATATCCAAAGAGGGCTTTTTCAATGGATCAGAAAAGGTCCTACATAAAAATGCTTGATGTTCTAGATTAGTAAAATGCTGTGTTAGGGCGCCAGTGTTAATTTAGAGCTTTAAGACGTATTGACACATCCTAACATATTGGTGTGAGCAGGGTTAATTCCCTGCTCACACGTAAAGTCCCACATATCAATCGATACCTGGAGCTCCCCTTTGTCAACTGGGGTGAGTTTTAGCATTCCCAGACTGATAAATGTGCTGTGTGCAGTGCTTGTAGTGACTGCTGCTACAGCCATTTAAATATAGGCTGTTGCTGCAATGTGTTGTGAGCAAACTTAAATCCCTGCTCAGACCAGTGTAACCCAGATATCATTCAATAAGCTGCATGCAGCGCTCAATCCATTGAGAACATCGTAGTCAAGCATTTCGTGCTCAGCTGCTGTGAATCTGGGCTAGCTGGTGCTCAAGGGAGAATCCCAGATTCTGAACAAACCGTGACAGTCTCCAGCATGTAGAAAGTTAGGAGATATTCAGCGCTTCACAAATACTGATGCAGTCCTCGAGGCAGCTTAATCGCCAGAACGGGGGTCTCTTGTCCCATGGAACAAGAGATACTGCACCATATACCTCTCATGTCTTCTACATATCTACCAGAGTCACCACCATCATAAGCACATACCGCAAGAGATAATACTCCACAATATACGCAGGCGGGGATTATTCCGCCCAGGCGATAGGAGCTGCATCCTAGCTCCCAAAAAAATGTGAGTGTACCTATTTTTCATTCTGTTATAGTCTGGAGCTGCTCCATACTTCACTACTAACTCCCCTTTTTTGTTTTTACTATATACTTTTTAAGGACAAATAGAGCGCTGCACCATCCTTTTTTTTTTTTTTTTTTTATAGTCTCCACCATGCCCCCATGTCAATCATGATCATCATATTGGGGGGGAATACTACAGGGTTAGAGTTAACTACCAAAAATTTATTTATATCATAGACATATGAGGCTTTTAACATCAGGACTGATATGTAAATCTATTTTAACTCTTAGTTGTGTTGGATGTGTAAAAATTATTATAAGCAAAAAAATTGAAAATGTGTTTTTTCCTACTTTTAACATTTTATTCACAATTAATGTTGTGCTAGGTATACATATAGGATATTGAAAGTTCTTTCTGTTCTTTAAAAACTATATATAATATGTATTGGGGCACTTAAAGAGAAACCCTTAAATTATATTTGTACAAAACATAAAATTAAACCGCAAATTCTAGGTTTGGTTTCAGAACCTGGACAATCACCGTACATTTTTGAGCCTCTATCTTATTTACCCGGGATTTAATTTAAATATAAGATAGATATTGTCTATTTATATAATAGCAGGCTTATTTAATTAACTTCAATTAAGTTTATATAGGACCATTTATTTTCTGTTCATTATAAAAATCCTTCTTTCATATTGCTAATTAAAGGAACACTTTAGTCACCAGAACCACGCAGCTTAACTTCTGCAATGTACAGCCTGTCCCTGCAGGCTTTTCAATGAGAAAAGGCTGTGTTTACATTCAGGACTTGTTTACACTCAGATGACCACTAAACTTGCTTCTTATGTCAGTGCTGTACAGAGTGCAACACCTACGTTCAGCGTCTGCTCTCACTGCATGAAGACGCTGAACGCTCCCCATAGAGATACATTGATTTTAGCCATGGAAACGGAGCCAGTCATGATGAGACTGATGTGGCGAGGGAAAAAAGGTGAGTTAACTTTTCACTGCAATCTGAGGGAGGCCAGAAACCTAAACAGTCACTACAGCACTATAGTGTTAGGTGTACATGTTTGTATTCATAACACTATAGTGTTCCTTTAATGATTACAGGACTCTTATGTTGGTCCTGGGTCTGTGGATACATAGTTGCAGTTTGTGACAATTAGAATACATTCATGAAGTGGTACATTTTAACTTATTATAATGAAGTAATTTTTCACGTCTTTTGAACTCCTTCAAGGTTTGTATGTGTCCTCAAACTGTGGGTGTTTTTCTTTTTCTTTTTTTTTGACTTTTGTTTTGTGTGCTTTTTGTGTTTAGTAAAATATTATCACCTTTATGGATGATGACGTGCTGTACATGTCATACCGTCACTGTATTTGCTTGTTTGGTTGTTCTTACCATCTTTATTGCCTATTTTCTACCTATTAACTGCAACTGTGTCTGTTAATTGCGATACAGATATTTAATTGCAGTGTATTTTTATGTTTTTCTTTCTCAAAAGGTGAACCCGGACCCAGGTGTTTTAGTTTGTTCAGTGTTATCAAAGGTTTTCATTTGATATTTATTTTTTTATGAAGACGTTCTCTGCTAAAGTAGTAAAAATAAAATTACTGTATTAAAGGAACACTCTGGGCACCAATACAACTTTAATACATTAGATAGGTGTTGGCCTCATGCTCAAATATTTATAATTTTTACATTTAAAAAAAAAAAAAAATGTTTTGCAGTATGCTGTTCCATAAGCTTTAGCCACGCCCTTCAGAAAATGCATTGAAATTGTATTGGTGTCCCTTTAAAATATTGTTTCGAGACGTATGTGCAAGCTACGTACATGAGAGGGAAACTTAAGTAGATTTTCGGTGAAGCCAAAGCTGCTAAGTGTAATATAGTTGATATTCTGGTGTGGTGATATCCATGAAAAGAAAACTCCTCTAGGAATTAAAAATCGGAGTGCTATTTTAATTTAAACTTTTAATAATTTGTCTTTCAGCTGGGCTGCTGACATTAGATCCTCGTATTAAGGAACGGAAGAAGCCTGGACAAGAAGGAGCCCGCAGGAAGTTTACATGGAAGAAGCGTTAAGCTGGTTGTACCATTCATTAGGGATTTTTTATAATAAATTTATTATTAAATATTTCATGTATCATTTTATTTTGTATTTATTTTCATAGTTAGCATTTGCTTAGCATACCTGTTTCTAACCAAAAATGTATAACTAGGTAAAAGTTAACAAAAAAAACAAAGCAATTTTTAAAATACAATGGCCCCAACTTTATTTGCCTGCTAGACCTACAGGAGAAAAATGGGAAGCAGGTCATCAGTGTAAGTATCATTGCAAAAGTGGCATACCTAAATGTGTGTAGACACTTGTCACTCTATGCATATATGTAAGTTTGTGTATTTGTGAAAATGTATGTGTCCACCTCTTATTATTGGTCACAAATCCTGCATGGCCCTTCCTGATTTTAGACTCTGGACCTGCATGTTCTGATGTCTTTCAGTTTAAGGAGCAGACTGTTAATTGGAGCTGGAAAAGAAGGCAATCAAGCTTAAAAGAACTGAAATGTATCTTATATGTAGCTTAACCCCTCTAGGACCAAACTTCTGGAATAAAAGGGAATCCTGACATTTCACGCATGTCGTGTCCTTAAGGGATTAAACACTTTTGTCAGGAATCCTGTTGTGCACCAAGATAAAATACACTATTGAATTCAGTAGCAAATAATCTGATAGGTATCCAGTCACTTAATAATTCATGCACTGGTGGGGAAGCCTTTTTTAATACTAAATACACTGCATGATTTAAAAATTGGCCTCCTCAGCATGGCCACAGTTTGTTAAAAAGTATATTAAAGGGACATCATGGTCAAGTTAACCACAACAGTTTTTTTGCAAGCTGTTCTGCAGGTTTACCTTTTCGTTCCTTGTTGTCCTCATAATCTGTGGAGGTGGTGTGAGTGTGGCCTGATTCTAGCTTATTATTTAGTTAAGGTAATCAGGAAATAGAAAATATGAGATAAGTGGAGCACAAAAAACAAATTAAGTGAACTTCTAGATACACTGTGTGATACAAAGTAAATACAAATACAAAAAGAGAAGTCCTGCGCTCACTCCCATCACTACTGGGCCAGCAGCAATGACTACAGTACACTTTTTCTGTTCTTTGGTTTTTGCTATATATTGGGGCTGATGTGTACTGTAGTTATTGCTGCCGGCCCAGTAGTGATGGGAGTGAGTGCAGGACTTCTCTTTTTGTATTTGTATTTACTTTGTGTCACACAGCCTTGTTACAATGCTGCCGCCCATCCCATGTGTTCCCTATTAAGGGTTAATAAGTATATAGGGGTGTATATAAAAAATACCCCTCTCTGTCTCATTAGAGATATCTTTGCCAGAAGCTCAAGGAAGCAGGCTGAAGGGTCAGTGTTAGGACCCGCTTAGGGGGGTCTGCCTTGACGTTGGCAGGCGGGCATTCCCTCCAATGGCCATTGGAGCAACTAAATGACCTCCATTTGTCTAAATATACATAGGGATTAAGGAGAGAGCGCAGGTAACTTTTTCTTTTCTTTGGTTTTTACTATATATTGGGGCTGATGTGTACTGTAGTTATTGCTGCCGGCCCAGTAGTGATGGGAGTGAGCGCAGGACTTCTCTTTTTGTATATGCGCTAATGTGCATACATCTACCAACATCAAATTCTTAGCGCAGCATACTAGACACATGTGAGTTACTGCTCTTTTGATTTGAGGGAGAAAATGCTAGCTTTTACTCCTGCCCTGTTTGTAGGGGTTTTTTGTTGTTGTTTTTTTTTTTTATATCTTTGCACGAACAGCAATAAAAATAGTTATTTGTAAATTTGCTAGGTGTTTACCTATAAAAATATATAGATATAATTGTGTGCTTTATACCTTCCTTATTCAGGACAGATACACGTTACATTTTCATATGTATTACCGCTTAATGGATTGTTTGGTATAGCTAATCATGTGGTTTTATCTTCTAGAAGTGTGATATACTGATAGAACTTTGAAGCTCACTGTATGTGGCAGTCATGCCCCGTTAGAGGGTGAAAATTATCTCTATGCCGTTATTTCAATTTCAGCCATATACATTGTTCATCATATCTTAAAATAACACATGAAGAATAGAAAAAATCATCCGGAAACAAAGTAATACAGGTCATTATTCATGCCAGTTTGCAGCAAGTCTGCTTCTTAGAACTGTAAAACTCAGATTGAATCCTAGTCAGACCACCTTAACATTAAGTGTCCTTGGGTTAGACAACTAACGATATATATATTTACTTTACAATATTTTAATTTGAAACCAATGTCTGTTAGTCTCTCTTCTCCCTGTAATATATGTAATGGCCACTAGATGGAACTCTTGTACTGATTCATTTTGGAAAGGATTTTTGGGAAAATGCTCACAGAAATCAATTGATGACTAATAAGATCCATTCATAAGGAATAATTTAAAATTTTAATACCTTTATAAATTCTCCTCCTTGCCATGTCTTTATCACTATCACATAATTTACACTTCCACATCAGCAATATCAGTTTTGTCCATATTTGAGCACCATAACTACTACTATGGGCTGTGATGGTGGGGTGCTTAGACTGCACCTTAACATCACTGTACAGGTTATGGTGCAGATAGTACGCTTCACCTTGTCTCCCTTTTGAGAGTGACTTATAACTGCATTGATTTGCAATGTCTGTCATTATAAACGTGCTCCTTGTTTACCACCTAACTAGTTCTAAAAGTATTGTTCTACCAAATCACAATACATTCATTACACTAACAGACCATATCATGTTTTTTAAACCATATATTTAATAAGGTGTGTGGTTAAAGGAAGTGTTGATACTTGGCTTTGAGTGAAGGTAAGACTTGGAATGTTGATAGTCGGTGCTCTGAGACTGATCACATGCACTGATGGAAAGCAATGCATATCAAGTACCCAGTCCCAGAGCAGTTGGTATCACTGGTATTTGTAGCGTTCTAGACACTTTACTCTTGCTCACATTTTTATGACAGTCCTGATACACTGCGTCAGTCTCCACTCATTCACAAAATCATTGAAAACTCACTTCTTCGAGAAAGCATTTCAATTAAACTGTTAGCAGGTTTTCATCCCCCACCCTCCATGACTCCTCTCCTGCAACTGTCAAAAAATTACCTATTAAGCCCTTAGCAAATACTTTTCTAACAACTTACTTTGTACCCCTACTTTTACCCTTTGTGTCACTATACCCCACTCCCTCTAGAATGTTAGCTCATTGAGCAGGGCTCTCCACCTCTCTGTTCCTGTACGTCGAGTTGTCTGGTTACATTTAAATGTCTGTTAGTCCACCCTTTGCACAGCGCTACAGAATCTGATGGCGCTATATAAATAAAAAATAATAATTGTGAAAATTACTCCAACCAAAAATATCTAAGAAAACACTGTTTTTGCTGAGATTAACTCTTCCTATCCTGTCCCCCACAAAAGAAAAATAAAGAAAATGGCTGAACTCCTGATATAAGTCCTTCCTCTGCCAGATTGTCCTTCGCTGATGTCATTCCACCTCAATGGAGGGGAATGTATATCAGGGAGGTCAAGCTGAGAGGAGCACATGCCGCCCCTCTGTGGCACCATGTCTGACAGACCTCACACATGCACAGAATGCCACCCAGGATTTATTGTTCTGGGCTGGCTGATGCTCCAATGACACTGGCAGAGGTGGAGTTAAACCTCAGGCACCAGAGGGTTCAAGTGTATGTGCATTGTTTCAGATACTCAAATCAGACTTAGAAGGAATGGAGAATTGTGTTTTTTCTTTCTTCATTCATGTCAAGACAGCTTAGAGCATTAAGATTGACTACAGCCACAAATGGATTTGGGGAGCAGGTGTTTGGTACATACACTGAACAGCCACAACATTAAAACCTCTGATAAGTAAAGTGAGGGTGTCGCAATAAGATCTTGTAGCTGTCACATTATATTCATAAGCAGTATTTTTCATCATGGCAGTGATCACATTTCTATACATTAACTGATATTTTAGTTTTGATTTTTCTTTTAATTATTTTCCATATATAATAGACAGTTTTTTATTTTAGTTATGTTTGTTTGCACATCTTCACTGTCACTTTAATAGTGGCACTTTAATTGTCCTTATCATGCTGGTTTGTTTTTTTTTCCTGCAGGTCCTTTATGCACTGGCACTTTAATATTGTGGAATTATCACATCAAACCCATTTGTAAATTTTATGTGTTCACATATTTCTCACATTTATGGCTTACTTTGTCATAATTATTGTAATCTCTGAATCATCATAAATTGTTTTTCACTTAACACAAAGATGACGCTTATTCTTGAGTCATTTGTATTTTTCAGATGTAGGTTTTGAAATGACTGAAATTTTCTCATTGTTTTTGACTGACTATGTCCATCCTGTTTTTGTTTTTTTGGCACTCACACACACTCAGATACACACTGACATAGAGATACACACACACACACACACACACACACACACTGCCATATACACTTAGATGCACACACTGGTAAACAGATACACACTTAGATACTGGCATATACACTCAGATACACAAATTGACATACAGATACACACACACTCAGATGCACAAACACTCGGATACACAGATACACACCGACACACACAAGGCATACTTTATAGGTTTGCATCCGCCCTCCTGTTAGCTTACTTTTGTGTCTGGGAGGGTGGCTTGCTTGAAGTTCTGGGACTGGCTGAGGCTGGTGGGTGTGAGCATGCAGCAGCAACTCACTCTAGCCTCTCCTCTTCCTACATGCTGCTGTGGGGCCCTCCAAGGCAGTGTTTTGTGCAGCTGGAAGGAAGTGACAGTCTTTCACATCCTCCCTGCTGGCTGATCGCACAGGTGCCCGGTTGGGTCTTAAAGGGCCAGTACCCGACCAGGGAGCATTATCAGGTGGCAAATCACTTACAATATCCTAATAATCACACACACACGGTATGTCAGATTGTGCGTGTGATTTCCGGGATATTGTTTATGATTTTAGGGTGTCAGGCAGCCGCATTAAAAATGCGAGACACTCCCGGAACTACTGAGAGACTTGGGATGTCTGGTTTTTGGTGTCTATGGTAACCGGACATGAGGCTGCTGTTATGATTTATTAATAAGTTGCTCGATTTTGTCAACTTTTGCCTTTTTTTTCCCTCTGATTGTTCCAAGGCCACTCTCGGAAGTGTGTGCACACAACTCCCTGCCTCCCCTCCCGACTGAATGAGTTTTATCACTGATTATGATTATTTGTGTTCCTAAAAATAAAAGGATGTCTCACTTTGTTCATTAGGCTTGACAAAGGCTCATGTAAGAGCCAAAACATTGCTGTATTTTGTTCCTGAATAAGACTACCTTTTTGAAGAAATCACTAGGTTTGTCTGGACTTTTCTGTAATTTCCCAGTAAAATTTGTAGAGATTTGCCCTCCCTTTCTGGAGCACCTTGGTGGGATTATTCCCTTGGAGTGTGTGCATGGTCCTCTTTCTGTTACAAATAAAAAAAATCTGACAAAGAATGTACCTAGTCCATAGACTAGGTACACATGTGCGTTGCGGGGTTAATCAGGGGTCAGATCGCGGCGCAATTAGCCTTGACTGCGAGGGCATTTAGCAACAACTGTTGCAGTGCCCTCGTGCGTTTTTCAAACAGGTGTCCGCGCGGACAGTGTTCTAATTGGAGCACTTGTCTGCGAGGGTATTCGGTGGCAGGAAAATAGGGTATATAAGGCGACCTGAGGTAAGTTTTTGGCGCCAGAAGAAAGACGAAATTCCTGAAGAAAGAAGTATTTACCCCTCTCTGGAGCTGTTTTCCCTGCTCTCCCTATTCATTGCCGTGGTCTTTTATTGGGGTTGAGGTCACCTGCCTAATTAAAAGGGGGGTGGACTAGCTGAGTTTATGATCATTTGGCTGAAGTTCTGGCTAATAGGGCGGAACTCTGGTGAGTTATGTTTTAATTCTCTGGAGGTTTAAAGACCGGAGATGGTTTGGTTATAAAGTTAAGTATTGGTTGTATTAATTTCAAAACTAAATAAAAGACCACGGCCTTTTCTGCAACAGTTCTGAGTCTGTCTTATTTATTATTATGTATCTATGTGATTGTTACGTTATTTACTATTATTGATGTCACTATTTATCAGTCTGATATAAGCCCTGCTCAGCACATGCTTTAAGTAAACACAACTTTCTCAAAATAAATTAATCTAACCTTAAAATAAGTCGAGATTAATATTAATCTTCAAAAAAAACTATATAATGAATACCGCACTCAAATAGTAATAATTGATACTAGAAGTTATTGCTGTGAAAAATTCATGATATTTATTCTAAATAAAGTTATATGAAGTATGATAATAGAAATGTTCATTTCATCCTGAGTACACCAATTATATACATTGAATATATACAATATATACAGTATATACAGAATATTCCATATATTGGATAGAGTTCATCTAATGTGTATACACTTGGTGAAAATTCATTGAAAAGTTTGTTGAAAATACTGAAAAAATGAAAAAATGAAAAATATGAAAAAATGAAACCGATAGGAAAATGAAAAAAATATATAAATAAAAAATAATGAAAATAATGAAAAAATCCCCAATCCAAACCAGAAAAAAGGAAAGGGGAAATAAAAAGAAAAAGAAAATAAGGAATGAAAAGAAAAAATATATAGAAAAACAAGCAAAATAATCTGAAAGTCCTGGTAGTCCAATATAGTGCACTATATTTAGCTGTATCTGGATAGATCTCACCAATTGTAGAAATCTTGTTCTTGGTGTACCAAATCAAAGTTGTAATCAGATGATGATCTAAACGAAGGTGAAGGTAATAGTAGTTGTAGCAAACGGAAAGTCACTCCATCAGCTCCCAGTTGTTGTGTGGTCAGAAGCAGCTCCCAGTGGGTATGTGGTCTGAACGAACGGCAGTGAACTAATGCAGGCAATCCAGTCTAGGGACGGGCTGCGCGCTCGGGACTTAACTGTCCCTTCGACGGCTGGAAGCTCTCACGCTGGGTATGTGGGCATCCATCTTCTAGTAAACCCCATAGGAAAGCATTGATTTAATGCTTTCCTATGGGGGAAGGCCTAATGCGTGTGGCACTCACTACACATGAGCATTAGGCAGAGGCACACATTAGTGTTAGGAATCCATCTTAGCATTCCTAACTCTAAAGTATTCCTTTAACATCCAGTGACGTTTTGTCCAGTAATGTTGTGCATATATAATCCTTTATGCAAATTAGCATGGCTGGTTTACAGGGTCAACCGTATCACACACAGACACAGCAAGGGTAAAACAAACTCAGGGTAATTTACTTAAGTCTGAATTTAAAGTGAATTTCAACTTGAAACCAGAGTAGCTAAACTGAAGGCATTGCTGACTTAGAGAATGTTTCCAGTTTGGCTATTTTAACCTTAAATTTAAAAATAACTCTGAATTTACTTTAAATTCTCACTTTAGTGAAAAACTCTGGCAATATCACTGCTGGTCTTTCTGCATTTCATGCTCTTTTCTGGTGTCAGGATCGGTATTGCAAATCAGGAACCAAAGAACAAACAACAAGCATGTTTGGGCTTGTGCAAGTTGGTTCCCCAAAGTTTGTGGCATGTGGAGGCTCGGAAATCATATTTGTGTGTACAGTACATATATTTGTGTTTATGTTAGAGGCTGCCAATGCCATCAGACCCTGAAGCCAAGTTCTCACACTCCGCCAACCCTTAACGACTTCTCTCCCTGGATTGTAAAACACTTGTTTTTTTTCTTGGAACAGTTTAAACCTTTATGCAGGTATAAGATGGTACCCAAAACAAGATGGAGTCAAGTAAGGAGCAGTATTTTGCTCGTTGTATATATATGAAAAATGAAGAGATTTTGAGCTGAAGTTTTATTATAGTTATATTTTATGCTAGCCTTGAGGATTGTTTTTATTTAATAGTGATGTATGGAACGTTATTCATTGTTGTAGCCAGTAGCTGTGTATGAATATCTCTATAAGATTCTTTATTTTGATGTTCTTTTTATAATATAATAGGGGTGTAAATGAATGGCTAAGGATAGAAGGGGTATTTAAACGGCGATCTATAACAGTTGTCCAAAGCTCATGGCAAATGTGACCATCAGATGCAGTGTCTGGTATCTGGGATGGTGGTGTTATGGACGAATTTCTAAGCTCTGCATTTTTTGTGAATAGCATGATTTAACCCAGGATTAGTATGTGCCCTAGTAACAGCTAGCTATAGATTATGGGGATGGTTTGTGATCAGGGTAATCAGCTTGGTGTTTATCGGAGTATTCTGTTTCTGTGACACTTTATTGGTATATGTGGGAGTCTACATTCTTTATAGCTGTTTATTGGTGTATATATAGGAGTATACATTCTTTATAGCTGTTTATTGGTGTATATATAGGAGTATACATTCTTTATAGCTGTTTATTGGTATATATAGGAGTATACATTCTTTATAGCTGTTTATTGGTATATATAGGAGTATACATTCTTTATAGCTGTTTATTAGTGTATATGTAGGAGTATACATTCTTTATAGCTGTTTATTGGTATATATAGGAGTATACATTCTTTATAGCTGTTTATTGGTATATATAGGAGTATACATTCTTTATAGCTGTTTATTGGTGTATATATAGGAGTATACATTCTTTATAGCGGTTTATTGGTGTGTATATATAGGAGTATACATTCTTTATAGCTGTTTATTGGTATATATAGGAGTATACATTCTTTATAGCGGTTTATTGGTGTATATATAGGAGTATACATTCTTTATAGCTGTTTATTGGTGTATATATAGGAGTATACATTCTTTATAGCTGTTTATTGGTGTATATATAGGAGTATACATTCTTTATAGCTGTTTATTGGTATATATAGGAGTATACATTCTTTATAGCTGTTTATTGGTGTATATGTAGGAGTATACATTCTTTATAGCTGTTTATTGGTATATATAGGAGTATACATTCTTTATAGCTGTTTATTGGTGTATATATAGGAGTATACATTCTTTATAGCTGTTTATTGGTGTGTATATATAGGAGTATACATTCTTTATAGCTGTTTATTGGTATATATAGGAGTATACATTCTTTATAGCTGTTTATTAGTGTATATGTAGGAGTATACATTCTTTATAGCTGTTTATTGGTATATATAGGAGTATACATTCTTTA